AGAGACATGGTACAAAAAACAATGTGGAATTGTTGCCGTCAGTCCAGTTTCCTTTTTTTCAGAATTTTAATTTTGAATTTTTTCGTGGCTTAGAATTTAAAGTTTTTAAATTTACTTTGTTTTAGTTCGCCAATTAGCTCTAGAGCCGGACCAAAACAAGTTTGCAACGGGCTACCTCCGGCTGGAAAGCGTTTCCGAGCCGGCCAGAGAGCCACGTTTAGTCACAATTAACCTTGAACTGTCACGGCCTTGTAGAGAGCAAGACTCCTCGAATTCCGAAATCCCCATTTCAAGTTCGGGATCTTGGAAATCCGAAGTTCAAGTCCAAGTTCAAGTTCGTCCAGAAAAATCTTGAGTTCAAGTCCAAGTTTAAGTTGAAGAAGAATTTATAGGCCAAGTTCCGAATCAAGTGCGATAGGCAAAAAAATGTAAATGTTTTGCTTACATAGAAAATCAAAACTCCATTGTGCAGCAACTTTTGTAAGCCAAGACATGATATTCTGCGCATGCTTGCAAGAAATTGCAGTCAAATAACCCTCAATCAAACAATGATTCGAATATTTTTTATTTTGCAGAACTTAACCTGAAATTAATAATTCACTTGAAGTTGTCAACTTGTTAGGTTCAAAGTTCATGATGAACTTGAACATGGATTGATTTTGAGTTCAAAATTTTTAAATTTGAATTTGGGGAGTTTGCAAACTTGAACTTATGTTTGAACCTTTATGGAGCCTTGTAAGGCCCCGCAAGTTTGTTGAAGAAAGGTTTCACTGTGCCACTCTCAGACTGTAGGTTGAGCAAGATGTGATTCAAGAGATCCTTGAAGCATCACTGGTTGACCTACGCACCAATTCCATGGTATATGATGTTTTATTAGCTTTGTTGTTTCTCGTTTATTCATGACAATGTTTAGTGTTTCAAAATTACAAAAAAACAAAATTAAGAAACAGTACCTCAGAAACGTCAAAGTGCGTTAACAACGATATACATAATTTCAACAGATATATTTATATGGTCAAAAATTTATGTACGGGAGTATAAGGCCCGGCTTATCAGAAAGCGTCAATATTTGTTAGCCAAAAAAAAATATTTGTCGCCAGAAAACTTGATTCCGCTTTTTGCAATTTTATGAACGTTTGCAAACTTCAAGCTTTTAAGTTCATTGCTTGAAAGCTTGAAGCGGCATGTACAGTTTTGTACGGATACCCCTATTTTTTGGTGATAAAAGCTTTTGGCAGAAGGCCGTTTTTTCGTCTCGCCGAATCTCCGCAATTCGTCCACTAGCTCGCATAGAGAAATACAAAGAAAAATGCTGTTCTGGCTGACGTTGTGAAATGGGAACTAAACCTTTCAAGGATTATGAGGTGGCAAGTTCCACGCCGGCATATCAAGCTTTGTAAAAGTAAGATTGCTTTGCTTAAAAGGCCTTCTCGTCGGAAGTTTTATAAACTTTAGGAAGTTAGATAAGTACGAGTCTGTCAGGAAAATATGCACAGTGGCGGACCTGACCCAATGGCAAAAAACCGTACCATTTTGTATCCAGGAAGCACCAAAAATGTAGCAATGACTCCCTTTCCAAGTGGAAAGACTCTGATTTCAAAAGCGCGCCCTTTCCCTTAAGAGAAGAGTCATTTTGCTACATTTTTTTGATACTTCTCGGATGCAAAACGGTACGTTTTTTGCCACTGGATCAGGTCCGTCACTGTAATGAGCGCACAGTAGCATCCAAAATCGTATCGCCGCCGAGAAAATGAATTGTATCGCACCAACGTCAAATTGCTTTTCACTTTAGCGACGTGATTGGCGCAGCAATTTTTTGCTCATTATTTTCCCGACAGACTGATTATCAAATGATTTTATCTTACGTTCAGTATGCTCCCTGAAAACGTGGGTCAATTTGGGAACAATATTTCATTTTTTTCGGATAGAAGAAGGAAATTTACAGACAGTCTAGACATCATGTCCTTGTTTATGGACGTGTATGAACTTTTGATCCACTTAAAGGGCATGGATGACGTATTATCAAATTTCGGTATTAAGCGTATGCCTTAATTTATTTCTTAATATTTTTAGTGTGTTATGGAGTGATGACTTTTCCAATGGATTTTACTGCGATATTTTGATTTTGTGCCTGTTTCTTTGTGTTCTCTCTGCTTTCTTCCGGCTTTTTCTCATTTTTCTCATCAAATATCTTGTCCATTCCGTACATTCTTCATCCCTCAGCGGCTGAAATTTTTACCTTCGACGTTCAACTAACTCATTCATCCATTAAGTTCAAAATAAACAAAAAAAAGAGAGAGAAAGAGCTGAAAAAATGTTTCCCCCTCTCTCTCCCCCCACCACCGTAATTTAATCGGAGAGAAAAGGGGCGAGAGAGCGGCGGCCAGCCCCCCATTCACACGCCCCCCTTGCCCGTGTTCTCTTCGTCGCACTCGCCCTTCGGCTTGCCGCTCGTTTCGCTCCCATTTTTTCTCCCGCCGAATCGATGCGGGTGGCCCCGAAATTCGCGTCCCCCCGCAGCGTTTTTCCCCCCATTCCTCGGCCGTCCCCAAACATTCCGGGCCCGCAATGGTGGCAAAAAAATTGGGAAAAAATCACACATCCGAATATGCAAATTTTGGCGGCGAATTTTGATTTTTTCCAACGAAAAATTGAGAAAAATCAAAAAAATTGAGCAAAAAATTGCGAGTAATCAATAAAAGCGCTAAAATACGAAAACGTTTGGGGCGCTTTGGACAAACCTGCAATCCTGAGGACACAGGAAGACATGAGGAAACGTCGGATGACGGAGACAAAAGCCCTGAAGCTACGCACGTTCGTCTTTTAAAACCACACTTTTTCCGCCCAAAAACGAAAAATTTCAAGGATTTTGAGCATGAAAATGCTGATACAAGACGAAAAATTTTGTAAAATACGATGGTTGATTTGTCCACGACAAATTTTTTAAGCCAAAATTTTTTTGGTTACTGTAATTTTTTCGAAATTTTTTTGGATTTTTTGGACGAAACTCTGAATTTTTCGGAATTTTTGAGGATGTTAGGGTAAAATACGAACTGTTCTTGAAGGGTGTACTCCAGAAGCTGAGTCGATCTTCAATTTTTAGCCACAAAATTTCGTAAATTTTTTAAAATTTCGGCAATTTTTGAAGAAAATCATCAAAAATTCTCGTCATAACCGGGATATTCGTATTTTACCAAAAAAAATTAGCCTGAGGCTATAATTAAAACTCAGAAAAATGTTCTAGACATCATAAAGAAGCTATTGACAAGGTAATTTCACAGAATTTTTGATCAAATTTTGCTAAAATTCTCTTATTTTAGCCTAAAGTCATCAAATTTCGAAGTTTTTCTCCAAAACTTTGCAACTTGCAACAATGACTGGCCTAAAACCGGAGCGAACCCACGAGAATTGATTCGAAAACAGAGTGGGGGGACTATTGACGCGCCCGACTTGACACTCCCTTCGCAAAAGACTCGTCCCAAAAGCGAGGAATGTCTGCGCTCTCTCGTCCCGCCCCACTCTCTCGCGCTGTGTGCGCATCTCACGACGTGGGGGTTTATAATGTTGGCGGGATGCCAACGAACTCTTCCATTATGCCTTTCTTGAGATTTTTCGGTGATTTTTCTCATTTCTAAAATACGATTTTTATTTATTTAAATTTTCGTTTTTAATTGTGGAGGAAATTAAAATTAATTTAATTTTGGGCGAAAAAGTGCGAATAAATTAGAAAAAAAGGTTTGAAATGAAGTTACTAGAGTAAATGAGGTGTTATAAATTAGGTTTCGAGCTGGATAACCATAGAAACTGTGCAAACAAAGCTCATTAGAGCGCCCGATAATTGCACCAAAGAATATTTTTCTCCCTCCAAAACATCATTTCAAATTTTTCTCTCTGTTTTTATTTATTTTTGAAATGATTGGAACAGTAACTAAGAGCGTATTTTACATTTTTTTTGGTCAATTTTTTATCAAAGGTATCAAGTGTAATATGATTTTTGACCAATATAATTTTTTGGCTTATTCAAAAAAATCCCAAAAATCTAAAATACAATTTAAAAAATGTTTTCCGTATTTTAAAATTTTTTAACATTTTAAAAAAATATCAAAAAAATTTCTTTTTATTTTTTTTTTTGCTTTTTTTAAATAACCTTGAGTACTTTACAAAAAAACAGATCAGAAATTACTCTGCGCACCACCAGTTTAATAAAAAACAGAAATGAAAAAAATTTTTAAACACTTTTTTTAATCAACAGTAAACTTTTTTAACTCGTTTTTGAACATTCGTTATTTAAAAAATGATAAATTTTTTCTTCCTAAATAAATATTGAACATTTGCACAATGAAAATACTGTCTTTTATACAATATTTTTTTAGCAGTTTCAAAACAATTTTTTATGAGAAGAAAATTATATTGTAGTAGGTACAAGTAAAAATTAAGTAGTTTAGATGGAGAAAATACAAATTTGAATGACTTTGGCTGGGTTCTAATTGAAAGTTGAAGTGTCTACTCAAAGCTATTGGCAGTGTTTTGCACAAAAATTAGGTTTTTTTAACCCTTATATTGTACTTGATGACGTAAGAAATCTTTATCGAAAAAAATCAAAAAAAGATTAATTTTTTGTTTTTTTAGTCAATAGAACTCTGTAAATAACATATAATACATCTGGGTTATTTTTAATTTTTTATAATAGCTCTAAATCGGAAAAAATCGAAAAATTTCAAAATTTGGCCAAAAATTGCCATTTTTTTTACGTTTTTTATTATTCTTCCAAAATTTGGCAACCTTGCACTTCCTCAATATAAGTTATACCCACCGATCTTTACCTCAATTTCCGGCACCTTTTCCCGTCGTTAAACACCGCTATTCCACCAAAAATTGCCGCAGAACATTCATCCCGGACTCTTTCCAGACCAAAAGACCGCACCGTGCATTGAAGCCCAACAAAGGCCAAGCCGTCCGCCGCCCGCAGAGAGCACGCGGAAGTGGGAGAGCGCGAGAGCATGGAGACGGGGCAGTCGGGCCGTTCCGAGCACGGTGATGAGCGAGTCGATGAAAACGTCCTGACCAACTTTATCCCCACCACTTCGGCCGGTAAGCGAGGCGTTTTCGTTGGCATTTTTGTTGGTTTAGGTGAAGGAAATGGACGATATTTTTTTTGTAATTAGTGGTAGTTGTAAAATACGTAAACTTAATCCAAAATTTTTTAATTTCTTTTTTCAAAAAGTGGATAAAAGAAATTTTTTGCCAAAAATAATTTTTTTCCCCTAAAAATAAAAGTTTCTATTAAAAATGTATGCCCTAAGGGCAAAAACTAGTCTGTTTTTTTATCAAATGTCATTAGAATTTCTCTAGCTGTAATCAACCCTTCATATTTTCTTTTAAATTTGTGTCTAGCTCCAAATTTATCAAAGCCTATACAGGTGTCTAAAATAAGGTCGTAATTGCCGTGATATGGCGTCATTCTTTTTCTTATTTTTGGTACAGGTAAAATACGAGTTGTACAAAATTTGGTCTGTTTTTTGGCTGATAAAAACTTGCAAAAAAAGGTCTATATTACTTTAGATACATAAAGTCATCAAAAAAATTATTATGTCATAATTTTTGAAACTTCTGTCCTAGTGTCGATTTCTGATGAATTACATAACTCTCAGGTCTTATTGAGTCGAGTGGGCATCAAAATTCACTTTGAACAATCATTTTTTGAGGTAAAATTCAAGTCTCAATTATATTGCACTTGATGACTAAAATTTTTTTTTCATCCTTTTGAACTATCTCCAAAATCCCCAAAAACACATTCTACCGTCATTATAGGCCCAATAAAGAATCGTACAACAGTCTTCAGCAAAATTAAACATGTACATTTATTTTGTTTCTCTTCTCCATTCTCCTAATTAACTCAGCCCTTCTCCGTTGCTTTTCCCGATTAAATTCTCGCTCTCCCGAGACAGAATTAACCATGGCTTTCTAAAAATGATATTTACTACTTTATACAAGCGACAGACTGGCTTTTGACCTTCGGAGTTTTGTTTTGAAAATATTTGGAAGCAGTTTTTAGGGATTTCGGAGAAAATCATCGGAATTGTTGGGTGAAAAGGAAAATTTAGTGTTGTAAGCAAGGGCAGACTTGACTGTCGTATTTTAAATTTCATATATTTGATTTACACAGAAATTCAGCCTTTGATGTTTTATTTTTTAAAACTTTCTTACACTAGATGTCTAGTATAATATAAAAAATTTAATTTCTATTATTTTTTACAGATTTTGGTATGAATTCTCCATCCCGCCGTATTTTACACTCTTCCCAAATCTCTTATCGATTTCTGTGACACTTCGCCGAAAAATTCTTCGAAATGTCAAAAATTTCGGAAGTTGGTAAAACAATATCGAGACGGCTCCGGAGCTGCTCCAGCCGTCTTTTACTGTTTTTACAAGCGTCTCTTAAATTATTTTTTACAATTGGTGGAAAACGTAAACAGAATTTTCGGCGTTTATATTGTTATTGACATTTTAGGTAGTAACTATGGAAATTTAGATTTTTAGGCTGAAATAGGTATCGTTTTGCTCAAATTTGGTTTGTAAGGATGTAGACAATTCTAATACAGCCATTCGAACAACAATAGACAAAATTTTTTGAGTAGAAATTGAATGTTTTTGAATTTTAGGCATCTACCTCATGGATAATATAAATCCTGGCGTTTTTTCACTGTGCTTTGCGTTTCAAGTCTTATCATGTCGTTTTTTGCTCATAGTCTCCTTTCAGAACCAGAAGCCACAACAAATCCAAGCCAATTGGCCTCGGAGCCTCAAGTTTCCGGAGAATCGTCGACTACGGGCCAATCAAACTCCCTTCCCCTTGATTCTTTCACGCAGAACCAACCTACATCGAGTTCTCAAGCCGAGGAGAAGCGTGAAGATGAGGGTGTAAAAGAATCAGAGCAGAACGAACGGAAAGAAACCGATGTGAATCCTGATCGTAAGTCTGTTCGAAAAATTGTTATTCTGTCTTTAGAAGAAAAGAAAAGGGACATGGATAGTCGCTCCAACTCGGACTCTCCGCATTCGCTGTTGATTGACGAGGATGAACCGGGTACAATTAGTCGTGTGGCCACAGAAGAGCCGACCAACGAAAGCGCGGCATATCAAAATGACGAGGAGATGTAAGTCGGGGAATTCTCTGCTTTTTCTGATATGAGACTTCAATTTTAGGCAATCGACTGACCCTGCGCCCCCTTTGGAAGCTAATCAGCCGGTTGACGAACGGGAGAATCCTTATTCCGACGTCCTGAAAGACCCGTTGCTCGGTCAACTTCCTTCAAATGAAGTTCTCCAATTATTGGAGCAACAATCCGCCGAAGAGAAGCGACTCCGCGACCAGCAGGAGGAGAAGGAACGAGAGGAGCAACAACGAGTTCGACAAGAGCAGGCGGCTAGTTCGGCCGCGCAAATCAACGGGCATCTGAATGGTCTGGCGCCTCAAGTTAGCCAGGCTCTGAATGGTCTAACCTCTCAAGCCCAAAGTCTCAATGGGCTGACCTCGCAGGCTCATACGCTGAACGGACTGACTTCCCAAGCGCAGCTGTTGAATGGCCTAACTGGACAGCCTCAGGCGTTCAACGGACTGACCAGTCAGGCCTTGGCAACACAAGCCCTAAACGGCCTGGTTAGTCAGGCAAACCTCAACGGAATCTCCTCGCAAGCCAATGGACAGAATGGACAAGCTCAGGCGTTGAATGGCCTAAATTCTCAGGCTTCGCAGGCCTTGAACGGATTGGCAGCATTGAATGGACTTGAACTGCCATTTAATCTATTTGGAGCCGGTCATTTACCTCTACACTTGCAGAGTTTACAGTTTGCAGCTCAACAAGCCGCGGCGTCGTCCATGGCCGACAATAAACTCAGTGGAATCGGTAAGGTTTTTGATTTTTTGTTGGTTTTTAGGCAAGTACAATGTCAGAGATAAGCGATACGCAGTCTTATTGGAATTGATTGAGTTGAAAAAGGAGGTCTTATTGGGAGATTTGAAATCGAAGTCGGTCAGAAAGGGCAGTTAGAAATTGGAGAATAAAGACTTACGTTATACTACTGGTCAATAGAAAATTAATGATGGTTTTGTCTGTGGATCTCTGGTATTGTGTTTGTTAGTTTTAATAGGTAGCTTGAGGTGTCTTAAACGTGGTTTGGAAGTTTCACATAAAAAGATATGGATTTAGATAACAAAATTGAGAAAAGATTTTTGATGACATGGGTAATATAAATTTAATATTTTTGAAGGGCGTTATTGCAATTTCTTGCTGAAATAGGGAACAATAAAACGTATGGGCTAAGCCTGCTTCAAATTGACTAGTTTCATCATCTAGACATTTCATTTTTACCTCATTTTAGGTATCACACCAAACCTTCTCCAAGCAAACGTCCCACAGATTGGTGGAACAAATATCCCATCGTCAATCAGTGCCGCACTCGCTCCAAATAGCGCCACCGACATTCTGAGTGTCTGCAAACCCGAACAACATCAATTGACTGGGAAAAGAAAGGAAATTTATAAGTGGGAAGGGAGAGATCAACTGTTCGCCATGGCCTGGTCGTACAAAAAATACCCAGACCAACGTTTGCGATTGGCTTGTTCGACCATTAAAGACAAAAACAACTTGTTTAAAAATTCGGTCAGTTGCAATTTTTGATCTCCAGATCAAAAATTGGGGAAAAGTGTCCAATTAAAAAAAAACTGAAATTTTTTGAAATTTCCTGTTGTGACTCTCGCACTGACATTTTCTCCTATTCCAAAAAGACACAATTGATGATTTGCAAGGCGTATTTTACCAATTTTTTAGATGTCCATCATCGAATACGATGAGGAAATTGGAGAGCTGGTCACCACTTGTAATGTTTATATTGGAACCCCCAGTTGCGAACTTCACTTCATCCCCGACCCAGACCACACAAAACCCGACCTTATTGCATCCGCCACGAAAGAATTGAGAATCTACAGCTATCATCCCGATAAAAAAGAAGTTGTTCTTGAAGCCAAAATGCTCTCGGTAAGAGTGTTTTTTGAATACTTGCGAGAACGAAATGGTGTGTATTGAGAGTTTTTTAGGGTTTGTAGGGGTTAGTGACTTGATTAAGGCAGTTTTTGGGAAAGGTTTTGATTCTTGATGTCATGGATAATATAATTTTTTGTCCAAAATCGATATTTACTACTGGCTTATGGCAGAATCAGGATTCTTTTATATATATTCAGAGATTTTAACTAGATCAGAGTAATTTTTGTAACATTTTTTGAAAAAAATATTTTTTTTTTATCTCATGGATAATATGAGTTCTGGCTTGTAAAATTAAATAAAGGCTTTTTTCCCAACTTATAACCCCCATTCCAGAACCGAACGGCCACTTATATGGGCCCTCTAACCTCGGTGGATTGGAATGAGGTGAATCCAGCTCTCATCGCGACCTCAAGCATTGACTCCACATGCACTGTGTGGGACGTGGAAGCCCAAAAAGCGATAGTTGAAGTCCCGCCGAAGTTCAACGAGCCCTCGGACCGCTTGAAATACTCTATGCGAACTCAGATGATCGCTCACGATCGTCCCGTTCACGATATTGAGTTCTGTAAACACAACGGGGGCCTTCATAATTTCGCAACATGCTCGGCGGATGGCTCGGCAAGACTGTTCGACTTGAGGGACATGAAAACTTCGCAGATCATTTTTGAGGATGGCAGCGGATTGCCGGTGAATCATATCGCCTTCAATAAAATTGAACCCACTCAGTTTGCGGTGGTCCAACAGGCTTCTAGTGAGGTAAAAGGGGGTTAAAGGAGGCTTAGCGATGCATAAAGTTCAGGGGCGTTAAAACGCCTCGTCAGATCTCGGCGGTTTCTGCATAATATTTGAGTTACTTTTTAGTTGCTTTGAAACTCAAAATTAAAAACAAAAAATTGTAAAATCGAACTAGATCAGGGGTGTTAAAAAGCCTTGTATGATCCCGGCTATTTATGCATGATACGATTAGATTTTTTTGTGAACGCCTTAGGGTACCCCGATCTTCCTTTCTCACAAATTTCATCCGGATCTGACAATGTTTCTTGAAGTCATTACTGTCTTTAAAAAAACGTATTTTACTCTATTACAGTGTCGGTCATAATCTATTGGCAAAAACCGTACCCTTTTGCATCCGGGAAGTATCAAAAAATGTGGCAGAATGCCTCCCTCTCCAAGTGAAAAAACTTCGTTTTGAAGAGCGCGCCCTTTCCCTCACAAAAAGAGCGGGTGCGCTTTTGAAGCCGAAGTTTTTCTACTTGGAGGGGGAGGCATTTTGCTACATTTTTTGATACTTTCTGGATGCAAAATGGTCCGTTTTTTGTCACTGGATCAGCTCCGCCACTGTAATAGAGTAAAATACGATTATTTAAAAACAGTAATAATTTCACAGATCCGGATGAAATTTGTGAGAAAGGAAGATCAGGATACCCTAAGGCGTTCACAAAAAAAATCTGCTCGTATTGTGCAGAAATAGTCGGGATCTGACGAGGCTTTTTAACACCCCTGATCTAGTTCGGTTTTACAATTTTTTTTTAGTTTTGAGTTTCAAAGCTACCAAAAAGTAAATCAAATCGTAGATAAAGCTATGATAATGTAAAATACGTTTGATTAGGTCTTAAAGTTTTACCTTATTTTCGACCAAAGTCGTTGACAACACACTCAAAAATAATTTTCAGGTGATCGTCGGAGATCACAGAATGCCCACGCGGATCCTACAGCGGTTTACAAAGCATGGCAGCCCAATTAACAGCGTGGATTGGGCTCCACACACGTCAATTCATCTTTGCACTGGCTGTAAGACATTTTTTTGTAATATTTAGAATATAAAAAACTACAATATAAGATTACACCCATTTTTGGAGTACAAAGGAAATAAATTTAAACCTTTTTAGCGAGCGATCGTCAAGCCCTGATCTGGCAAGTTCATCATGAAAACGAGCCGATTTTGGCCTACCCTGGTGGCGGAGAGATCACGAAAATTCGATGGTCCGGCGCCTATTCCAACTGGATTGCCATTGCATTCAACAATAAGATTGAACTCTTACGGGTCTGAACACAATTCCATCTAGTACAACATCAAAAACCCCAATTTTAATATTGCCGCGCTGCGCCCCAGCTTCAGCCAAAATCAAATAACTTATGATCAATCTGTTTATCAAGCATTTTTGACTTCTTTTGTTTGAAAATTTAAAAATATTTGGAATATTTTGCCCTAAACTTGTGTTTAGGCGATCTGCGCCCGAACTTGACCTCCTTTTTCCACAAAAACTCGTCGGGATCCCCGTTTCCACGGTCTCTGGGAATGTTTTAGAGGCTATACTAACATTCTACACTACTTCATTAAAACTTGTTGACACCGTTCGTTACACTTTTGTTTTATATTGTACAAATGTCTAAGGTAATATAACTTATATCGTCGTAATAAAGTCAGTATTTTGTTTCGAACTTTTCCAAGGTATATTAGTGAAAATGACACCCCACTTGCACCAGAACTCACGAATTTTTAGCCACAGGGATTTTATTTATTAGCAATGGGAACGTGAAGCCCACTCATGAACATGGGTGGGTATAACAAGGTGATTCAACAAGGTAGTGTCAACAAAACAATCGATTTTAGCGATCGAACAATCAGTACATGTGTTCGTTGTGGGATGAGCGGGGCTTTTTGATCTTCTCCAGATTCTTGGTGATCATGTCGTGAAGAGTGGCCAAATGGTTGCGAGTCTCCATTAAAACGAGTCGAATGTTGATGAACTGCTTTTCATCCACGTCGAGGATGGCTCTGCGGTAGTCTTCCTGAAATTTGAGAGGGTTGGGATTACTGTAATTTTGAGTTTTCGGAATTTTCCATTATTTTTGGGTCTCGCCACGAAAACTTGAAACCGGGGGGAATCTAAAGCATTATAAACTCTTACTTATGTAGGCTATTCCTAAACAAGATACACCTTTCACTACAATGTTTCCTACCGGAGATTCTTCAAAATCTCCAGAATATGCCCCAAATCCTTCCAAGGCATGCTACAGCGCCCTAAACATCCAAATTCAATTCAACAACCCTTCAAACTCACCACATGCGGATATTTCGCGGCTTTGACCACCAACTCAGCCCTGCTCAAGAAATATCTGGACATTTGATCGTAGAAAGTGGCGGCTTCTGATTCAACTGTCCTCACTTCGTTCAGAGCCTCTTCTTGGATCGAGACACCAAAGTTATTTCCATCTTCAATTCGAGGAATCAGGAAAATAATCCACATTTTAACCTTGTTGATCTCTTCAACTGTTGCTCTGATAAGTTCACGGGTTGAGGAAGTCATGGCAGTGAGCTTGGCGTTTGAGGGGACAACTCCGCCACTGAAGACGTAGACCGGAGTAGCTGAAATGATGAAGAACATAGGTTTTTGGATGTATGCTGTTATGAATTTTTTTTTATGAAATTTTACGTAGACAGATTAATCAAATGTGGCTTTAATGGTCCAGAAAGCGGTATAATTACAGTATACTGCAGTAAACGCCAGAAAACATCAAAATTTTGCTTAGCTTCACAGGATTTTTCTGATTTCTTGAAAAAACAGGAAAACTGGCTCCAATTTTGAATTTTCACAAAAAGTTTAGGTAAAATACGGATTTTTGCAATTCGGCATATTTTTTAAATTTACTTGAGACCTCATTGTTCACTTCAATCAACCTCTCTCTCCTTGTTTTTGAGCCTAAAATCAGAGAAGCAATAAAAATAAACTTACAGGTACCACCGTCTCCCTTGATCTTTTTAGCCGGTGTATCGCATTCCATCGCATCTTGTCCCACCTTGCGAGGGATCGGAACAATGGAATCGACGTCAGGTAGGAGTTCGCTTAGCCTGCCATGAGAAAATTCAGGACTATTCAACAATTCGTTGAATTTAACAACTTTCGCCGGAAATCCATTCAAAACAAGATCTTCAGCCTCGTGGAGAAGCTCGGATTTGTACTCGTTCAACTGAAAATTGCTTGTTTTAGGATGTACAAAAAGTTCTACCTCCATTTTTTGCTTTTTTACCATCAAAAAATTAAAGCTATATTATCCATAGCAAAAATATAAGCACTATAAAAGCAGCAGCTAAAATTAGAGTGCTAGACTCGCTACGCACGCTTATTGCCCCTTTCCCTACCTTTTTCAAGTTGATTCCGTTAACTTTGGTGTCAGCCTTCATCTGAAAAAGCAACATTATACCAAGATGGTCTAAAATCAAATGAACATTTCAAAGCACGTTAATCCAAGCAAATGACATCAAACCCGGTCCAGAAAAGATGGCAAAAAGAGAAAACAATCACTTTTCCTGACGAAATCAGGAAAAATATAATGAAAAAACAGAATGCCAAACGATTGTTTTCGTGGTGGGACTGAACAGGAGTGCTCGTGTAGCGTAAAATACGAACATTTCAAGGTGATTGACATGAATTGCGGGTAGCAGAAACCAAACTGAGCATTACTATAGACATTTTCAGGTGTGTTTGACATTATTTTAAAAACTGACATTTGTTGACATTGTACTAGACTCAGTAAGCTAAAATGATATCGAAGATAACAAAAATTCGATCCCTTTGCCCTTTGATGGGATTTCAGAGTAATTTATTATAATAAAACGCAATTTTGTCAAGTGTAAATGTTTGAATTTTGAGTTCTACAAAAACGGATGCCACTTCGCGCTGGGACCAGCCGGACGCGCAATTTTTCGTATTCGAAAAAGTCCGAGACAAAAAATTGTCGGACCGCATTTTTCCCCCGAGCTTTTCGTCATACAGCAAGCTCAAGGACAGTGTGTTGTGCGGTAATTTTTCTTCGTCGCGGACATCTTGAGGTAATGCTTGGAGCTCATGGGCAACATCAGCTGAAGGTGTTCCTGGTGGAAAATCATGGGGTTTTGAGTCAGAAATGTATATGTAGTAGGAGGAACATGACCTGAGGGCTTTAGAGATTTCAAGATTTGCCGGGATCTTTATCAGTTTGGGTGGAAATTTCAATTTTCTTAAAAATTTAACCTAAAATCAGGTGTTCTTGAAAATTTTGTTTGGAATTCCTTATGAAGATAGATGAAGTGTAGATAACATGTCCTGAGGGCCTCAGGCTCCAAGATAAGCCTTTATTAAAATTAATCTAAACCTCACCAGATTTTTTTTCAAGTTTGGCTTAAAAAAAGGTTTTCTTGGAAATGCCTCGTGTTTTTGCGCAAAAATTGCCCCGGAAAAAGACGGAGCTGAATGAATGTGACCTGAAGAGCCCACACATTCCTGAATTAGTCTAAGTTCACGTTATTTTATACTTCGTTCAAAAAAATTTTCTAATATTGGCCTAAAAGAAGGTGTTTTTTTGAAAATTCGTTATTTTTCTCTGGAAAAAGCCTCGCACTGAAACTCAAGCACAAGGTTTCGAAGCCACTTTCTGTCCTGTGGCCATTCGCTCTCTTTTTATTCCGAAAAAAACAAAATTTCTAAAGTATTTTTCGAAATTCCGTTGTTTTCTCTCTAATTTTCTAAAATTTCCACTAAAATCTGATTTGATACTCTGTTATTGTCAATTTATTGTTGCCTCAAGGTACGTTTTTGTAGTTTTTGTTTCTTTTGTCCTTAGGGCTTATCGTTTTCCGTCTAAAAATCGAGGGAAAGTTTCAAAAAAAGAGGGAGATTTTATCAGATTTTTGAAGAACTCGAGAACGCTTGTTGTTCTTACAAAATTCATACAAAAGCGGTTTGGCGGGACATTTTGGCTGCCTAGTGCCAGCCGACGGGTTTCCCGAAACGAGGGCGGGGTAGACGATTTTGGCGCGAAATCGGCGTCGCTTGAGATGGGGGAATTTTTGCGCCGCTCTCCGGAGATATGAGGACATCTGGGCGATGCCGAGTCGGCTGGTATACGGTAAAAAGAGAAACGCTTTTGTATTTACCACAGTTTTATGGGCTTTGAAACGACTGCTAAGCGGGGTTTTCGGAATTTTTGCGAAGCTTAATTGGTCATGGGTAATATAGCCGAGAATTTTGATAGGCGAATGTTTGGGTTGTCCTTGTGAGAATAGAGAAAGAATAAAATTATGCAACCTTTAGTGGGATTTCATAACATTGCGAAAAGATCTGATGGTTAGTATTCTGCGACCTTATCCATGGTGAAAATAACGAAAATTCCCCAACTTTACGGCGGGGTTTTGGTTCCACAGAGTCTACAGTGGGGGACCTGATCCAGTGGCGAAAAACGTACCATTTTGCATCCAGGAAGTATTTCAAAATATGGCAAAATGCCTCCCTCTCCAAGTAAAAAACTTCGTTTTGAAAGGTGCGCCTTTCCCCTCACGAACAGAGCGGGCGCGCTTTTGAAGTCTCAGTTTTTTCACTTGGAGAGGGAAGCATTTTGCCACATTTTTGATACCTCCCGGATGCAAAATGGTATGTTTTTTGACACTGGATCAGGTCCCCCACTGTAAGTTGTTCTGAAATTGCTCTTTTAACGTTCTTGAAGGTTGTACTCTCAGCACTCGCGTATTTTTACATTATACTTGACATCAATCTGCCAAGTGTAACATAACTCATAAAAGTTGTCTGTAATGGAACCCTGATAGATATAAAATGACCTTTAATTTTCGTGTTACAGCCCTTATTTTCATTATAAGTCCATTATCCATCTAAGATCTCGATTTCAGACCTTAACTAACCCCTTCTTCCAACCTCTTCGTATCTCCAAGATGCATTACGTTATCAAGCGCGATGGTCGGAAGCAAATGATGCTCTTTGACAAGATTACTCATCGTATCGAGAGTTTGAGTTATGGTCTGAACCGGGAATATGTTGATCCAGTAAGTTGTTTGACAAAATTTTTGTTTTGAGAGTTTAGATTAGAATTTTTTGGGGGTTTTGATGTTTAGAGGAAGTCAAGAAGAAGTTTCTGATGGATCTGTTGTGGGAAGGGGGAGAATTGAGGTTTTTTGTAGCGGCGAAGGAAGACTTGACTCATTGTCGTAGAGGTTGGGACAAGTGTTACTCTTGGCTACAAAATGAGGGAAAATGTTGCAGACTAAAAAATATTTTGTTGGCATTGTAGAATATGGCCCGTTGCAGCTTTAAATTCCACATTCTTTCAGATTGACATCACCAAAGTTGTTGTTCAAGGAATTTTCGATGGAATCACCACTAGCCAACTCGACGAATACGCCGCCAACGTTGCATCTACCCTCTCTGTGGAGCACCCGGACTACATGGTACTCGCTGGTCGAATCGCCGTCTCCAATCTGCAGAAGGAAACCTCCAAGAAGTTCAGTGAAGTCGTTGAGACCCTCTACAACAACATCAGCTATGGTGAGCCGAAACCGCTTGTCTCGAAGGACTTGTACGATGTGGTGATGAGCAATGCCAAGCGCTTGGATGACGCCATCATCCACAGCCGAGACTTTGATTTCACTTACTTTGGGTTCCGAACTTTGGAAAGGGCTTATTTGTTGAAGGTGGATGGAAAAATCGTGGAAAGACCTCAGTTCATGTTCATGAGAGTTGCCTTGGGAATCCATATGTACGACATTGATGCTGCTATTGAGGTAAGACTTAGATTTTTTATGTTTTTGGCATTTTTAGGAGGTCTACCCAGTGTAATATAATTTTTTGAAATCTTGATTCAGTTGATGTGATTTGGTGGTTGAGTTATGTCTGACATGGCAGACTATGATTCTTCTTGTCCTCTCAAACCTTATTTTGGATGCTTCGACATTGGTTTTGATTAAATTTATATCACTTTAGACCTACAACTTGATGTCCGAGCGTTGGTTTACCCACGCCACTCCCACCCTCTTCAATGCCGGTACTCCAATTCCCCAGCTGTCTAGCTGCTTCCTTCTGACCATGGCCGACGATTCCATCGATGGAATCTACACCACGCTCAAGAGGTGCGCTATGATCTCGAAATGCGCCGGCGGAATTGGTCTCAACATCCATAATATCCGTGCGAAGGGAGCCAAGATTGGTGGAAATCCCGATCGTTCAACTGGAATCGTCCCCATGTTGAAGAACTTTGAGATGACCGCGAAATATGTTGATCAAGGAGGAAGGGTAAGAATTGATATTATTTTTGGGTTTTTAGAGCTTGACTGGACTTTTTATGGATGGATAAGATGATGTATGTGTTGGATGAGCCCTGTAGAGGATTTATGTTAAATTTAGCTACAGTTCATTTGCTTTGAAATGATTTACATAAAGTTTTTCTCCAAGATGTCATAATTTTTCGCTGTTTTAGCGTCCCGGTGCCTTCGCCATATACCTGGAGCCATGGCACGCGGATATCTTTGATTTTTGCGAACTCCGTCTCAATGTAGGCCCGGAAGACCGAAGATGTCGCGATCTGTTCACTGCTCTTTGGGTCCCCGACATTTTTATGAAGCGTGTCCAATCCGATGGAATGTGGTCTTTGATGAGCCCTGATGAATGTCCCGGTCTTCCCGACTGCTGGGGAGAGGAGTTTGAGAAGCTGTATGAAGGGTGAGCACTTTTCATTATTTTTTTTGTTAATTTAGATCAAAAAGAATGTTATACTTGATGCAAAGATATCAAAATTGATGTTTTTCTTTGTAGATACGAAGCCGAGAACCGCTACCGTCGCCAGGTCCGCGCTCGTGATCTCTGGCAAGCAATCATCAAGTCCCAATGCGAAACTGGATTGCCTTATATGGTCTACAAGGATCATTGCAACCGAAAGTCGAATCAGCAAAATTTGGGCACCATCAAGTGCTCCAACTTGTGCACGGAGATCATCGAATACTCCTCGCCGGACGAGGTCGCGGTGTGCAACTTGGCATCCATCGCGTTGAACCGGTTTGTGATCATCAAGGACGAAAGAAATGGAAATAATAGTGAGAGATCCTTCGACTTCCAGAAGCTCCATGATGTCACCAAGGTGGTCGCCAAGAATTTGAACAAGGTATGAGAGATTTGGGGGAGTTTCGGACAAAATTGTAGAAGGAAATCGGGGTTTTGAGGCGTTTTTCGGATATTGTAGTAGATAAAGGCGAAAATATTTGGAGTTTTGTAAGTCTTGAAGGTTTTTGGAAATGATAATGATGTATTTGAACGTGAAATTAGGGGATTAGAAGGGATTTTTTATATTGTTTTAGGGGAATTTATAGAAATTTGATAGATTTTTTGTGTTTTTGTAGGTAAATTGATTTGAAATGAAAATCGAAGGCCAATTCATGGTTTTGGAAGTCGTTATAAAGGAATTGGATGGGAAATTTTGGGCCTGCAATGGATTTGTTATATTGTTTTAGGCTGTTTTTTTGAAAATTTTTTAATTTGAGAAATTTTACGACAATTTCTGGTCTTATTCTTGTCCTTCCAGGTGATTGATGTCAATTACTACCCCATCGAAGAGGCGCGCAAGTCCAATCTCCGCCATCGTCCCATCGGAATCGGAGTCCAGGGTCTGGCCGACGCCTTTATGCTGATGAGACTGCCGTTCACCAGCGACAAGGCCAAGCTCCTCAACATTCAGATCTTCGAGACCATCTACCATGCGGCCCTGGAGGCCTCATGCGAGTTGGCCAAGGAGTTTGGACCCTACGAGACCTACGAGGGCTCTCCAATGTCCAAAGGCCAGCTTCAACCCGACCTCTGGGGTGTAAAACCCACAGATCTCTGGGACTGGGATTCCCTCAGGGCCAAGGTCGCCAAATATGGTTGCCGCAATTCCCTCCTCGTCGCTCCGATGCCCACCGCCTCCACTGCCCAGATCCTGGGCAATAACGAGGCCTTTGAACCCTACACCTCCAACATGTACACGAGAAGAGTGACCAAGGGCGATTTCCAGGTCGTCAACCAACATTTGGTCCGTGATTTGATCGCAATCGGCCGATGGAACAAGGACATGATGTATGACATCATGCGAGACAACGGAAGCGTTCAGAACTTGGATCTGCCGGAGGAATTGAAGGAGATCTACAAGACTGTCTGGGAAATCAAACAGTTGGACTTGGTGCGAATGGCCGCCGACCGAGGACCGTTCATTGATCAAAGCCAGTCGCTGAATGTCTTCATTGCAAGCCCCAACTATCCGAAGTGCACCACTCTGCATTTTAAGGTGAGGAATTGTGATGTTTGGGGGTGTGGAAGATGTTTTGGAGGTTTTGAAGGGGTTTTTCAGCTTTGAGAGTGATAATCAAGTTTTTTGGGGAGAAGTTTCGATTGTGGTTGAAGAATAGAGGACGTTGAGTAGTTTATGAGAGTTTGGAGGAATTTGGGAAAGAGATTTTGTGATAAACTTGAATTTTATGGGATAAACGGGGATTTTTTGGGAAGATTGGATGTTTTGAAGGAATTTTTGGATTTTACATCGAGGTTTGAGACGTATTGGATCCTCAGGGCGCAAAGTGAGTTGTCGAAAAAAAATATGGCAAGGGGAGACCAAATGGATGGTTTTTGTTTGTTTTTTCTTTACGTTTAAAGTTCAATATAAGATATTTGAGAGGTCTAGACGCTGATATTAGGGTCTACAGCTGACTTTTAGTCTGTACAGTGACGGACCTCATCCAATGGCAAAAAATGTACCATTTTGCATCTGGGAATTTCCAAAAATGTAGCAAAATGCCTCTTTCTCCAAGTGAAAAACTTCGTTTTGAAGGGCGCGCCCTTTCCCACACAAAAAGAGTGGGCGCGCTTTTGAAATCGGGTTTTTTTAACTTGAAGAGGGAGGTATTTTTCGATACTTTCTGTATGCAAAATGGTACGTTTTTGGCCACTGGATCAGGTCCGTCACTGTACAGTCTAAAAGTCGGCGGCAGACCATAATATCAGCTTCTAAACCTCTCAAATATCTGATATTAAACTTTAAACGTAAAGAAAAAACAAACAAAAGCCATCCATTTAGTCTCCCCTTGCCATAATTTTTTCCGACACCTCAATCAGCGCCCTGAGGATCCAATACTTCTCAAAAAAACTTCTCAAACCTATCTGTAAAATCCAAAAATTCCTTCAAAACATCCAATCTTCCCAAAAAATCCCGTCTATTCCATAAAATACAGGTTTATCCCCAAAATTTCTCTTCCAAACTCTCATGCACTACTCCACGTGCTCTATTCTTCAACCACAATCAAAACTTCCACAAAAAGGGGTCCCCATGCTGTATAGGCGATGAGTTTAGTAAATAATTTTTAATTTTTCGTCAATTTTTAGGCCTGGGAATGGGGTCTGAAGACGGGAATGTACTATCTCCGCTCCAAACCATCCGTCAATCCAATCAAGTTCACTGTCCCGAAGACGAAGGTAGCCGCAACTGAGGAGGCCGAGCCGTCAACGACCGAGGAAGCGGCTAATCCTCCAAGTTCCCCCACCAAGTCTCCAAAAAAGGCCATTGTTGAAGAGGATGACAAGGAGAATTTGAAGATCCCCAATGCCCGCACCATCCTCGGATTGAAGGACAGCAATGTCGAAGAGGAGGGAGAGGGATGTCTCATGTGCAGCTCATAAGTTATTAAAAGTTTATTTTTTTAAGTTGAATTTTGATGTTTGTACGAATTTTGTTCATTTTTCTGTTTTTTGATGTTGAATCACAAAAGTTACTATTCGAAAATGTCTTGTAGAGGGTTGCTGTGGAGTTTGAAGAAATTTGAAAGTAGTTTTTGACTAAATTTTGGATGACTTTGTCATGGATAATATAAAAAGTTTTGATTTTTTGAGTCTTTTTTGGAAATTATTATTGATTTGTGTTTAAAAAGTAATTTTGAGGATCTACAGTAACCCCGAAACAAGTTTTCCCAGTTTATGATGCAGTTATCTCACTTTTTCCGATACCAAGATGCCTTTGTTTTTACTCGATTGATTTGAGTCTAAATATCTCGTTTTCGCTTTGTTAACCAAGAAAAATACCATACCCCCTTATTGTAAATAGGCTGTCACACTCCAATTGAAAAGCAGAGTCTAGAACTCTTGAATATATTCACCATGTCATGTCTAATATAAATTGTTTGCAATAAAGTTGAATTGGTGTTAATGGAGGATATTATAGGGTTGTATGAGGATAATAGAGGCTGTGACATGGTTTTAGGAGGATCAGCGAAGATTTGAGATCTGTTCTGGCACCTGTTATATTATCCTTGAGGAGCTGATGGAATTTGATCGAGAAATGTTAATTTTTGGAAGAACCTTGAGGGAAAATTGATGTTTATGGATACCGGAGGCCATCTTCTGTAAGTTGGAAGTAGTAAACGGTGAATCAAATAGCTTATTTACAATAAAAAATTGAAAATTTCGAAAAAATGTCAGATTTTGAACGATTTTCGTTGAAAAAAAGTGTGAATTTTTATCAGGCTTTTCAGCCTGAATCATTTGTAAATTGATATTTCTGAATAGCCAAGGGAATAATGAGTTATTTTACATATAAATTTTCAAAGAAAGTTACTGTATTTTACCCTAAAAACTCAAAAAAATTGCAGAAAATCGTAAAAAAAATTTAACTTTTTCGAAGTTCCCCCCAAAAAATGACCATCAAAGGCGCCCACGGAGGAATAATTTGACGAATTACCTTTCCTCCTTTCCTGCAGGCAATGACCTCGGTCTGAAGGCGCTGCAAAAAAGGCGCTTCAGCGGGTTTTTTTCGCCTCCAAAGCCCCCCATTTCGAATCACCAGCCATTTTGGGGGGAAACCGTCGGTTTTCCTGCGTGCACACGCCATAAATTACCGAGCCACGCCGGGTTGTAATACTCTTCAGTGGATGGGAGACTGTTTTTGACAAATATTATGATTCGACTCGCCCTGAAAATTTTATTATTTTCAGTGGAAAGACGTGCAATTGCGCACTTTTTGGAGTTAATATTGTTTTTGTTGTGAAATTGGATTAACGATTAGGTTAGTTGAGACGTGAAAAGTTCGTAGATGTAAGGGAGAAACGTAGGAATGAAATCAAGCCACCTTTTTAGCCAAAAATTACATTTTTTTATCAAGTGTAATATAATTTTTCCCCAAAATCCGATGATTTTTCGGCTATATATGGTGTATTCTAATATTTAAACTATTGTAATGACCTTTATATTATTTTACGACCACCGTGTCACACTTCTTTTTACCTTTTTCCTCTATTTTCGCCAATTTCCCTCAAAAATATGGCAAAAACTTTATTTTTATCCCATCTTTAATAATAAATTCAGATAATCTGAGGCTCACCAAGAATTTTTTATCCTTGCTATCCTATTTTTACTTCATTCTAGCGCTTTTTACATCGATTTTTTTGAGACTTTTAAAATTTTTGATGATTTTGGACGAAATTTCAAAAATTTTTTATTTTTGCTAATGAAGCTTGGTAAAATACGATTGCTTGATGCAACACAATAATGTCTTATGGTATTTACAATATTTTTTGATCGTATTCTTTTATTAAAAAATCCGAAAATACGAATTTTCTGACAATTTTCCGAAATTTTCGCGTAAAATTTCAAAAAATCCCGTTTTACCGGGCCTTTCTCTCAAAAATATGTTAGCCTAGTGCAATGTGAAGACGTCTCAGGGCAAGTATGATATTTTCCGAACATAAACCTCAACTAAAACTCAATTAAAATACGAGTTTTCTCCGATTATTTCATATTTTTTGTCCAAAATTCCAAAAATTCTTCAAACCCACAATTTTTTTTGCAAATTCCTGAAATTTTTCTCTCAAAAATTAGAAAATAATCCTCAGAGACCCCACTGATCCCCTCATTATTTATATTTTGTCCCATATTTTCTCCAAAAATGGTGTCAAATTCCTCCGCCACCCCCCAAAATTGTGACGCATAATTTGCGGCAACAAAGCCCCATCTTGAACGCCCTCAGCGTCCATTGTGATCCTTGTGCAAGGTATTTGATGAAGGTATTATAAACATTTCCGCTCTTCCCGATACTTGTTTACTTTCGAAAAGTAATTTCACAATTTCTGGTCCGATCTTTTTCGAATCCAACTTTTCGCTTGATTCGCAAAATATTTATTTCGGATTTTTTTGTGTGGGAAATGGAGAACGCTCCGAATTCGGCTTGGGCTATTCCGCGAATTGCTTCGTGGGGTTAGTAAGCGTGGAATTTGAATAGTAATTGTGATGACTAATGGTAGTTTAGTAAAAAAGCGTTTGTTTGCGCTGATTTTGGTTGTAAAACTACTGTCAAATAGAATAGTATAGTCGAAAATTTCGCCTCCTTGACCCCCAGGCTTTTTTCTTACGTTTTTATCCCTAAAATACAAGTTATGGAGGAAAAACGTGAAAATAATTGTTCAAAATGAAAATTTCTATCCCGAGGGCAATTTCTATTGTTATTGTGATTGCTGTTGGGGTTAGTAAGCGTGGAATTTGAATAGTAATTTTGATGACTATGGCAGTCTAGTAAAAAAGCTTTTGTTTGAACTCATTTTGGTTGGAAAACTACTGTCTAGAATAGTAGAGTTGAAAATTTAGTTTTCTTGACCCTCCAGACTTTTTTCTCACGTTTTTATCCCTAAAATACGATTTATGGAGGAAAACGTTAAATTTTATGAATTTCAAAATTATGGAGGAAAAACGTGAAAATAATTGTTCAAAATGAAAAAAGACGTCCCATTTGAATTATGGAAGATAAAAATCATTTATTTATTTATTTATTTACAAAGCCAAGTTTTTAAACTTTTTTTTCTTTTATGCCATGTGTAATATAAATTGCTCAAAATTGATAGCTCTAAGGCAATTTTTGGTCCAAATTTCTTAAATTAGTAATCTTTAAAACCTTATAAGCCGTAAATAAGTAATATAGGGTCGTGTGGACATACCGTATTTTACAAATTTTTATTTTTTCTCGAGCCTCCAAGAAATCAATTGAATTGCGATGAATTGCAAAAAAACTCCTTTTTTTTCTCAAAATTGCTCTCTTGTAGATGCTCAAACTATGGTGGCGGACCATATTCCTCCTCACATCAGCAGCTCCTCTCTTCCAAGCGCGCGGCGAACGCGTCAAAATTGACCAAACTTTGGCCGAACAAGGAACAAAATTGGCCTCGCTTTTGGAGCATCGGATAAATGCGGTAACAAAAAAGTGCGACCATCTAATTACTACTTGTTTTTTAGTACAAAACGACCGTTGACCCGAATGAAGACCCATATAAGGCGTGGTCTCCAAATGACAGTGTTATGGCTGTTCCAATGACGCCCGAGGCCGTTTTCTTGGCCTGGAAACTGCCGCCGAACAGCAAACGAGATGACAAATTTATTGTGAGTCTCTTTTTAGGGCTTTTTTATTCAATTTTGGCTTTGTTTTGGAACGTATCTTCATAACTTTAAATTTCTTTTTCAAAAAATAGGTCGAGTTTAGAAGCCCAAATTTTTTATGTTACAGTAATCCAAAGTTTCAAAAATTGCTCACAGTGACTCTACAGGCCATATAGAGTAAAATACGACCGCTGCCAATGTTTGTTTTATTGTTACTTCCCTCTGGCAATCAAATATTCCAGGGCTCCAGTTATAAAATCGTTTTATTTAAAATTCCTTTTTTGGACATAACTTTTGTCTAATTGGATAAACTTCCGTAAAAATCGACACAGTTCTTCTCGAGGCAATACGGGACGACACAGTATTCGAGAATAGTAATTGCAATAATGTTACAAACGTATTTTACAACTTTTTTGAAGTCGTCTTTTTTGATCACAAATGTTGAGACGCCTCGCTAAAAATGGCCATAACTTTTTTCAATAGTCCAGTTAAGACCTCAAACTTTACATAGCAGTTTCTTGGTCGTTGTGGAGTATTTTGGTAGTTACGATCAACATTGTAAGTAGTACTACTTTTTAGATATTTGCAAAAAACTTTTTTGGCCCAAAATTTTGATTATTTTTACAATTTTTCGGCTATAACTTTTTTACTACGTAAAATTACTCTGTAAAAATTCACATGCAAATGCTAAGAAGTATTCCCTTTAATTTACCAGTTACAGTTATTTCTCTAACTAGCACAACTTTTCAGGTATTCTACAAATTCCTCGGCTACAGTCACTACGAGGAGCCGTTTGATGATTTGGAGAAATTGGACGTCAGTAAGTCTATAACCTACAACTACGAGACTCTATCCTTGTTTTTTACAGAAGCCAATATCACCAGCGAGAGGTTTCATGCGTACGTTTTGTCGGTTTACCGCATTTTATTTACGAAATTACTACTTTTGATGGGAAAATTGCCTTTTTTTGAAAATTTTAAGGTTTTTATGGGAAAAATGATAATTTAAATAACGATTATGACATAGAATTTAATTTTCTTTCCAGCCCAGTCTTTTTTCTTACGTTTTTACCCCTAAAAGTAGAGTTATGGAGAAAAACGTTAAATTTTATGAATTTCAAAATTATGGAGGAAAAACGTAAAAATTATTAATGGAAATCAAAATTCGCGTCAAATCTGACCTATTGAAGGACAAAATTATTTTTTATACAATCAAAAAATAAGATTTTTGGACCTTATTTCGCACTGGTATCAAGTGTAATATAATTTTCTCAAATTTGATCGCCTAAAACAGCATAAATTGCTTGCAGACTCTCTCAAGAAGTCCAAACTCTCCATAACATCACTTGCATCAACGATCCATGCGAATACAATGTCCATGGCCTCGAGCACAACTCGAATTACGTCTTTTGGGTTGGGATGAAAAACGAAAAAACTGGAAAAGTCTTCAATATTACGAATATTCCCATGTCAGTGAGAACTAAACAAGACTCGATGGCACTTCGAATCGAACCGTATGGCAGGAATTGTCTGGAATTGAAATTATATTTGGACAAAAACGTGGAATGGCCAACAACAGTGCAGTTTAGGTTTGGGAAGGTACGGAAGGTTGTAAAAATTGATTACTAGCACTGTTTTATTACTGGAAATTGCTGCATGATACACTGGAGACTTCAAAAAATAGAATTCAAAAATTTGCACTGTGCAAAAAAAATAAAAATTAATGCACAGTGCAGAGAAACGTTTAGGAAAATTGCACTGTGCAGGCGGAATTTTTGCTTTACTGCACAGTGCGAGAAAAATTTTCGGGTTTAAATTTTTTTGCACAGTGCAATCTTTTTTGTCCCCAAATTTATCGCACTGTGCGAAAAAAGGCTAAGAAACTATTGCACAGTGCAGTCCGAATTTTTAGTTGACTGCACTGTGCAAAAGATAAAAAATTTTTTTTACGTACTTTTTGATTTTTTTGATCTTTATTTTTCTGCACAGTGCAATCTGTTTTGTCTCCAAATTTATCGCAACGTGCGAAAAAATAAAAAAATATTAGGTTGATTCAAAAGTTTTTCCACATGTCTTTAAAAAATTTTTAAAAATTTAGATCAAAGCCAGTGGGCCTGATATATATCTTGTTAGAAAGAGGGCTGTTTGTAGATTATAGTAGATTAATAACTTTTTACAACTTAGCAATTTGTATTAGTAGCGCCGTGTTAAACCTTAACTACTCGAAGGAAGAAAAAGTAAACCGCCGGCGTTACGTCTAGAGTGGTTGTATCTTCTTAATATTCTAGAATATGGTATGCCTGTATGTAATCTCTATGGCACCGAGGACAATTTGCTGTAGAGCTAGTCGAAAAATTTTTAGTGCGAAAAATCAAAAATTAGGGTCTGGCAAAAGTAGACCCTGTAGACGCAGCTATTAGAAGCACTAAGTGATAACGCTTTCTGTTATTGTAGTGTATGAGTAGCACTACAACGCCCATGCTAAACATTCGCGCTAGCTTTAGCTATGCGGCAGAAAAATCGAATCTTTCTAATCTACCAATATCTTACGAAATTTAGGGGATTTTTACAAAAACGTTTTCTGTTCATTACTCTCGCCCGGTATCCTAGTTATTTAATAAATAATTGATCCTACTTGACATGCACTATCAGTTGCTAGACGTGCTAAGCTGAAGGTCCTCTTGCCATACCAGTAAAAAAATTACAAAAATTGGCCTAAAAGTGCAGTTTATGCTACTTTTCTACCTTATAAGGCAATTTCAGTTGGTGACTTTTTGAATGTATCATCAGCATACTGTCTTTGTACAACCTGAATGGCAGCCGAGTCAAAAAAGTCTAACTCCTTTCAAAAAAATTTTAAAAATCTGCTTTTGATCGGTAGCACGGCTCTCCGGCCAACTTTATGGGATGCTACAAAAAACGTCATTGTAGATATAAGTAGAGCAATAAATTCAGAAGAAACTACAGCCATCCCCAGCACGAATAACCCAAAACCCGAGACTTTTTAGTGGGCTGGAAAATTGCTAGGGCCCGGGATATTCACCATGACACAAACGGAGAAATTTTTAGTATTTTTGAAATATTCTGAAAGTAAGCTTGTAGAAAATAAAATGCTACGAATCAAAAATTTTGCAATGTTCTGCCCCATACATATATGCTTTCAGTTTTAACGTACATTCAATCAGGCTCCAGGAATTTTATTTTGAAGTGTCTCAAAAAAATGTGTAAAAACTTTTGAATCAACCTAATATATATCGCACAGTGCAGTCCAAATTTTTGGTTGACTGCACCGTGCAAATGTTAAAAAAAATTTTACATACTTTTTGGGGTTTTTTTTTGACTTTTATTGTTCTGCACAGTGCAATCTTTTTGCCTCCAAATTTATCGCACTGTGCGATAAAAAAAATTAGCGCACAGTGCAGTCCGAATTTTTAGTTGACTGCACCGTGCAAATGTTAAAAAAATTTTTTAGGAGCTTTTTGAATTTTTTGACTTTTATTGTTCTGCAGAGTGCAATCTTTTTTGTCTCCAAAATTATCGCACTGTGCGAAAAATAATGTATATCGCACAGTGCAGTCCGAATTTTTGTTGACTGCACTGTGCAAAAGTTAAAAAGTTTTTTTTCGCATTTTTTTTATTTTTTGCTTTCATTTTTCTGCACAGTGCAATCTTTTTTGTCTCCAAATTTATCGCACAGTGCAGTCCGACTTTTTAGTTTTTTTCATTTCTGAGCCATTGCGATGCTTTTTTTCGACAGAAAAAATACAAAAATTATTTTTCAGGAGTCCTTCCCGACTCATCACGTTGACAAAAAGTATGACCTAACTTTATACAATGGCTCCATAGTCCCTCACCGGCAACAAAACACCACCGTAACGGATATATTTTGCCCAGGCAACTCTTCAATCTCCCTGGAACACGGGATCGAGTATCAATTTGAGGTCGAAGCAGTCTATAATGGGATTTATGAGGTGGAAAATGGAGAAATGAACGAGTATAATCAAAGTTTTGTGGAGGCGGCAGATGAAACTGTCCATTTATTGGGTAAGTAGAGGTGCACAGCGTTCTGTACTTTTTTGGAATGATTCCGACACCGATTTTTTCGATTTTTTCTAAAATAGCCCGCATTTACGCGGGTGTCGCGAGGATATACTGTAAGATTGACGTGTAAAATTTGCAGTGCTTATAGAGTAAAGAGAGATCTTTCCAACGATACAACTTACGTAAATTAATATGGAAAAAGAAATTTGTAATCAACGCTGAAAAATTGCCGACTTTGGATTTTCGGCGCTAAAGATTGCCCTTAGACAGATCTTTTAGAAGAAGTGGATGGTACCACCTTATGCGGAATTTAATTCTATACAACATATCCAAAAACTACAAAATTTTATTGCTTTTCCGTCGAATTATGCCGCAAAAATGCTATTTTTGCACTAGTTTTACGAATATTTTTAAAATATTTGCACTTTAAGGGCATTATTACAAAAACAGAGTCGTACATATTGAAGCTTGCATGCTAGTTGACCGTACTGTTTTGTTTTACCCTGTCATCTTTCTCCATCTTCAAGAACACCGGAGCTAAAGTTTGGTGTTTGGACCCTCCATGGTGCACCATAAAAATGCCCTAAGGGCGAATTTCAAAAATGCGATAGTGCCACTGAACATAGAATTTTTTGTACTATAGGTATCAACGTCAGGAGTTGCCGGAATAGTTTGAAACATCGGTGGCCTCATGAACACATTTACGCGTTCATGATGTTGCATGGATTTCTCGGAGCAGTCACAGAAGAAGGAATTGAATCGTTGCATTTTGAGCAGGGCTGTTTGAACGCTTATTCTACGTTCAGTGGCACTATCGCATTTTTGAAATTCGCCCTTAGGGCATTTTTATGCCGGCTCCAAGCACCAAACTTTAGCACCGTTGTTCTTGAAGATGGAGAAAGACGACAGGGTAAAATTAAGCAGTATGCTCAGCTACCATACAAGCTTCAATATGTACGACTCTGTTTTTGTAATAATGCCCTTAAAGTTCAAATATTTTAAAAATATTGGTAAAACTAGTGCAAAAATTGCGTTTTTGCGGCATAATTCGACGGAAAAGCAGTAAAATTTTGTAGTTTTTGGATATGTTGTAGAGAATTAAATTCCGCATAAGATGGTACCATCCACTTCTTCAAAAAGATCTGCCTAAGGGCAATCTTTAGCGCCGAAAATCCAAAGTCGGCAATTTTTCAGCGTTGATTACAAATTTCTTTTTCCATATTAATTTACGTAAGTTGTATCGTTGGAAAGATCTCTCTTTACTCTATAAGCACTGCAAGTTTTACACGTCAATCTTACAGTATATCCTCGCGACACCCGCGTAAATGCGGGCTATTTTAGAAAAAATCGAAAAAATCGGTGTCGGAATCATTCCAAAAAAGTACAGAACGCTGTGAGGTGTCACAAGTCTAATTTTGTGCTGAGTTTTGATTTTTAGAGAGAAAAAATCAATGTTTTTTGGTGAATTTTGGCCGAAGGCCGAGCCATGATGACTAAAAATGTCTAGTACAATATAAAATTCATAAATTTTTTTCTGTCTAAATTGCCTGATATTTCGCGTAATAAACCCACATAGCCTAAGTACGCTATATTGAAAATTTCAGGCGATACCATACAGAAACCTTTGAGATATAATACTTTTATCATCAAAAATGCCTAGTGTAATATAAAATTGATATAATTTTTCTGTTCGATCTGCCTGAGATTTTGAATATTGAAAGAATGTAGCTTGAGTATGTTGTGGTAAAAATTTCAGGCGATACCTTACAAAAACATTTGAGGTATAAGACTTTTATCATCAAATATGCCTACTATAATATACGGTAAAATAAAACGAATCTTGACGTCTGATCAAGGTAAAACTTTGCATGAGGGACGATGGGAGCATTATAAAAACTCCATGAAAGAGTAGACCGTATTTTACAAACACTTTTAGAGATGCAAAAGACTTTTTGTATATATCATCGAAAAATGGCAAGTGCAATATAAAAAACCACATTTTTTGGATGTCCATTCTGAATCAAGTTAGTTTTCAACAAAGCTATGGGCGTTATAACGTGTCGTAAAAAAATTTGAAGTCAAAATTTATAATGGTTTTTGAGATATAAGAGTTTTCTCATCAAAACTTGCTACTGTAATGCATTTTTTGCAATTTTGTTGAAGTAAACTCCAATTTCCCTCCGAGATGTTGAAGATAATATTAAATTAGACCTATTACTACCCACCAAACCACTTTTGCTTAACAAAATTTACCATACGATTCGAAAATTTTGAAAAATTTCCGATTTTTTAGCCGACGGCGAGCCCTATCTTGGCCACATTTTTCTCGAAAAACACTGCGGTCATTGGATTCTGAACTACAGCGAGGCCGCCTTCTCCTATCTTCCCGAGCAACGGGACGCGCTTTTGATTGCGATTAGCGTGAAAATGGATCGATTCTCGCGCCCCTACCGATGGCATCAAGTTAGTTTGGGCCCGTATGCGGACGGCTATGTGTTTGTGGACGATATCATTGCGAGGGATAATCAAAGCGAGTTCAAAGCGCGTCTGTATCATGTACGCACCATCAATGGCGTACAAGCGTTCGGGAAATTTGGAAGAAACGGTGAGTTTGGGAGTTTAGGCAGGAAAACGTAAATTTTAAGGGGAAAACGTGCTTTTTGGAAATAAATTTGAAAATTGGTACATTTACTGGTAGGGTGATAAAAAATAAGAGTGTCAAGAGGAAGTTCAAACAGCCATTTTTAATTTCCCGACAAAAAATTTACGTTTTTTGCTCATAATTTCGAAATTCATAAGATTTAACGTTTTTCTCCATAAATCGGTGATTAGGGAGAAAAACGTCAAAAAAATAACGGCCAATTGCCATAGGACTTCTGGATTTTGTTTTAGCCACTTTACAGAGTAATTTTTACGTTTTTTGTCCATAATTTTGACTTTCATAAGATTTAACGTTTTTGTCCATAAATCGATGATTATGGCAAAAAATGTTTTAAAAAATTACGGATAATTGCCTCAGGACTACTGAGTTTTGCTTTGGCTTACTTTACAGGGTAATTTTTACGTTTTTTGTCCATAATTTCTAAATTCATAAGATTTAACGTTTTTCTCCATAAATCGGTGATTACGGAGAAAAACGTCAAAAAAATACAGAGTAATTTTTACGTTTTTTATCCATAATTTCGAAATTCATAAGATTTAACGTTTTTGTCCATAACTTGGTTTTTATGGGCAGAACCGTAAAATAAACGGTAGCATTATGCCTCAAGGCCTCTAACAGGTTTTTTCAACTCATTTATGACGTCATTTTCACTTTAGAACCCGGCGTTTTTGACCATTCCGTCGCCAGTTACATGCGAATTCGCCCCCATGACTACCGACCGTACGAATGTTTCGAGCCGGAAAACAGGATCTGCCAGAACATTTTCAAGGCCCACAAAAAATATTCGGCCGCTCATTTCCACTACGGAATCGAGGACGCGGTCCCGGAATACCACGGATTATCGCGAAATTACTCGGCCTGTATTTCGTTGGGCAAAATTTTGTCGGACGCCGGAGCCGGTCGAAACCATCACTACATCACGTTTTTCGTATTGCTACTAATTTTGGGCTCCATTGTTTACATTGCGTACGATCATAACGTCCATGGGGAACAGAGTTTGTTCACGCGACAAATTTTGCAACGCATCAAGAAGCCGTCGATGGTACAGAAAGTACAGTATGCCCGTCTGATCTCAAGCTATATTTAGAACGGTGGATTTTGCAAATATTTTAGGGGTAACGACGATTTTTTGGATTTTTTGCTTGTTTTAATCAAAAAATTTTAATTTTTCATCCAGATTTTGGCTGAAATAGGTTTCACTGGATGTAATAATGACTGCAAGTTATTTATAGAGACATATCACGTCGTTAAACCGCCAATAACACAGTATTTTTTATCATAATCATGCCGAATATCCATATCAATTGCCATAATGTTGAGTTGTCTGTTGTTATTTACCGATAAACTAGGAATTTGTACCCCGTTTCACTCCAAAATATATTTAAAATTATTAAAATAATTTTTACATTGTAATACTACTACTTTTTACTAATAAAACTGCTCAAAATGCAAGTAAAAAATTAACTGCCCCGTGTGAGGATCGAACTCACGGCCTTCAGATTATGAGACTGACGCGCTGCCACTGCGCTAACGAGGCACACGTGTCCGGCTCTTTTCTTTTCTCTTTTCACGAAAAGACCGAGAGAGCGATGCACAGTGCGGCCGGGAGAGCTCAATAAAACGTGAAAAAAGGTAGCTTTCGAGTGAAAGAAAAAATAAGTAAATTGTAAAATACGCCTGCGCAAGGAGGAAAAAATTATTTTCAAAAAAAACCTGCTCTTTTTTCTTTTATTAATAAAAAATATCAATTGAAATATAAAATCAGTCAAAAATCAACAAATAACTTTAAAATCTGGTACACCCAGATTAATATTCTGGCTTGGACAACTTCCTCTCATGTCTCCTCACTTTTTCATCCACCTCCGGGTCCACCGCATTCTTGGCCAATTCTCTGGTTCTCCGCTGGCCGTCGGGATGGCAGGCTGCGCCCTCGCCTACAGCTTTTAGCGTGTCCTTGGCCTTCTTTTTTACCGCTTCGGCCGCTTTTTCCATTAACACTTTATATCTGAATTTTTTTTTACATTTTTTTAGAAATTACTGTAACAAAAAATACAGTAAGAAGGATAAAATGGTAAATCTCGAAATTCGTATTTTAGAGCGCGAAAGGCCCAGAAACCCTTTTTCAAAGGCAAAGGGATGTTTTTTGTTTTTGTTTACGCATCCTTCCCTCTAAAACCGGAGATCAGTTATATTACTTTAGCCTTCGCTTCGGATGTTTTCCTCGTTTTCTCTTTCGAAAAAATGCAAAAGGTCCTGAGCACTTCAGTGAACAAAAAAATGGCGAATAAAGCCTCCTGGAACGGCATTAATCTTATTTTTGGTCCAAAAAATGAGGAAATTTTGAAATCAAACGGGGAAAATAGAAAAAAATAGGGAAAATTTTCAAATTTTTGTATTGTTATGCAAATCCCACCCCTAAATTTAATTTTCAACACATTTTTAGAGACAACTGGCTACAAACTTCACGAAAATTCTAAAAAATTTCAACTGGATCCAAAATTTTTTATTTTACACTACAAGTACAATATAAATAAATGTATGTACAGGAGAGAGAGAGAAGTGGTACCTTGAAACGACACCAACGGAGAATATTATAGAAAATACTCAAGAATTGGCGGTTGAGGGGCTTGCCATGGCTTAGTGGGAACGGAGGTTATCAGCGGCTCGGTCGCGGAGATCGCCGACCTTGTCCGAGAACTCGCCGGCCTTCTCACCAGCGCTATCCTGGAAAAATAGAGAGATTAGACATCAAACTTCATAATGAAACTGTGATAAAACTGACTTGGGTCCAATTACTAGCTTTTTCATCTTATTTTAGGTAAAGCTAGCGCATCAGGACATTTCCGGAATTTGGACACTTCCGGAATGGCGGAATAGTGACACTTCCGGAATGGCGGAACAGTGACACTTCCGGAACCGGGGAAAAATCAAAGAAGAGGCTTAGACCTGCCATCTGAACCATCTGACTGGATTTATTGTTATTAATCTCAAAAATTTTGTTATTTTTTTTCTGATTGTTACTTTTTTCTTAAGTAGTAGTGTTAACAAGTAATTTTTTGGAATTTTTCCAAAAATACTGGATTTAGGGGTTTTCGAGGGTGCTGATTTCGAAAATCATGTTAGCTTTCCTCTTCATAGTACTATCTGGTACTATACAGTACAAGGTGAAAATATGGCTCTTGGCGTTAATGGTGTTGTTTTAATGCTTAGTACTCCTCAAAAACACGTTTTAAATAACTGGTACTGTTTAGTACTGTCTGGTACTGTGTAGTACAAGGTAAAAATTTGGCCTTTAGGCGTTAGTGGTGTTGTTCTGTTCCTTAGTACTCCTATTTTCACCTTGTACTACATAGTACCAGACAGTACTAAACAGTACCAGTTATTTAAAACGTGTTTTTGAGGAGTACTAAGCATTAAAACAACACCATTAACGCCAAGAGCCATATTTTCACCTTGTACTGTATAGTACCAGATAGTACTATGAAGAGGAAAGCTAACATGATTTTCGAAATCAGCACCCTCGAAAACCCCTAAATCCAGTATTTTTGGAAAAATTCCAAAAAATTACTTGTTAACACTACTACTTAAGAAAAAAGTAACAATCAGAAAAAAAAATAACAAAATTTTTGAGATTAATAACAATAAATCCAGTCAGATGGTTCAGATGGCAGGTCTAAGCCTCTTCTTTGATTTTTCCCCGGTTCCGGAAGTGTCACTGTTCCGCCATTCCGGAAGTGTCACTATTCCGCCATTCCGGAAGTGTCCAAATTCCGGAAATGTCGTGGTGCCAAAGCTAGACGTCAGAAATAATTTTGGACGACAATTTTATAAATCGATCAAAATCAATTTAGAAAAGGGCATAAATATCTCCCTCCTAGTTTCTTCTACGTATCACAACAATAATTTTCCCCAAAACAATCCAAAAATTCTATACAAACTTAAATTTTCGCCATCTACCTATCTAAAATTAACAATAATAATAAACCCTCAAAACCTCACCTTCCAATCACCGGCCTTGTTGGCAGCACTGTCATAGGTGTCCCCAGCCGCCTCCTTGGCATCGTGACTCTTTCCGACCACCGTCTCCTTCACAGATTGGGCTGCACCAGCGACCTTGTCATAGGCTCCCTTGGCGGTGTCTCTGACGGCTCCACCGGCGTTTTGTGCGCCTTCCTTGATGTATTCACCAGTGTTCTGGGCACCCTCCTTCATCTGGGTCATGTACGATTTGTCGCTCATCTTCGATTGCTTGAATTGCGGGGTTGTTTCGATTTTTCTGAAAAAATGTCAAGTGTAATATAAAAAAAATGTCGAAAACCAAATATAACCGCGGCAAGACATGCAAAGTAACATTTCACAGCAATAAACACATCGCGGACTAGCTGTTCAAAGCAATCTTATATCAAATAGACTTATATTATACTAGGCCACAACCTAAAGTAATATACAGGGTGATTCAAAAAAAATGGACACCTTTCTTTCTTTGATTCCTCTTGGCTTTGAACGTTTCTCGGAAAAAGATACACATGGCATGAAACTACTACGTTATGTGTACATATTCATTGCAAAAATTGTTCACTAGCTGCAAAAGTTGCCGACATATGGTTGCTTAAAAATTGCCGGGGCAGCGCACCCATTCCCGCGGCGAAATTTGGAAAGTTTTCGTTCCTAAATGTCTTAAGGGTTTAACAGAGACGTTCTGAGCGGCCTCAGCGAAACACAGACACCTATTCTCTAGGACATTCTGAGGATTTAATCCAGGTCTTTCAGACAATGAAAAATCAGAGGCCAAAAGTTAGACAACCAGCGAGAGAAAATCAACGCCAATTTGGGCGCTTTTTGAAAAACTTAGCTCTGCCGAATGTGGGAAAAGTTTTAGAACCAATTCCATTTGTACCACGTTTACTGCTCTATTGTGAGTATATTAAACGCATTTTAAACAATAGTAACCTTCAGTTGGCAAAACTGCAAGCAAAATTTCGACTTTTTTGACTTTTTGATGAGTCATCGCAATGATACTTGGATTCTGATGGCTAGGTTTGTTCAAATTAACAGAGACCAATTTAAAATTGAAGAACGGACTTATATCACTATCGTATAAATGCAACTTGTCATAGTTGGGCGGCTTGTTGAAGAAAGCCAACAAAAAAGTAAAATTTTTCTGGTCAAAAAATATCGGCGTCTCTGGGTATAGCCGGCTAAACTTTTATAAGCCCAGTGCATGGCTAATGCTCGCCACAGTCAAATCAACTGCTGAACCATGTAAAGCAATGTTAAATGTCTTACAGAAATCACTTTTTGCCGTTAATAGCACAAGCCAGGCCGCCCTGCTAAATTTTGAAACCCAATCATCCCAAAAATCCAGAACTATCTGGATGGATCTCTTGTGGATCACGTTGCGAACTGCTGGAGCGTTATTAATAGAATAATGTCAGCGTTTTCGCTTCTCGAGATTCCCCTTAGTATCTTAATAAACAGTCAACACGCAGTTTTTAGCTGGTTGTAAGAATTCAGCCCGTTAAAGATTTTTGGACCTGCAAAATTTTTGGAAAATTTGGTCAGAATATGGGCTGACCTAGTATTTTGGCTCGTACAAGCCGTTCAGCAAAAATATTTAAAAAATTGAAATAGGTTTCATGAAGCAGGATCGTTGACGATTTTAAGACTATTTTTCTTTCCACCGACTACGGTATTCGTGGTGGGATACACCAACTTCACAAGTTGTCCATTTTTTTTGAATCACCCTGTAAATTCATGTCGGAAAAAAAAAATATAAGAGAGCGAAAGCAACTCGACCGTCCACCAGACCCACTGAAACAGATACTGACTTGCTTTCGCCTCCTCTTTGTTTCTTGTTTTTGTTTCATCGGGTTTCGCAATGCAAGTCGTAAACAACAACAAATTTTGTTTCAACAACAACGAAAATCGTCCAAAATTGCGGAAATACGGGTCAAAAAAGAAAGTCCATGGGCTCCCAAGACCGTTCATGGTGAATTTCGACAACTACATTGTCATACGCACTAATTTCAGAGCAAAATTATTAGGCCTAACTAGGGAAGTGTACAAACGAACCCTCACCAAATGGCAAGTGATATACACCATTGGAAAGCCCTTGAAAAATGGTGCAAGATACCATTTTCATTTTTTGCAGAATGCCTTTCCGCGACGGCATACTGTAAATTTCATTATTTTTAGGTCATTTCGCAATAAAAATCTTTCTCTTGAGCGGATAAAAATTCTCGAAGAGGGTTGCTTCAATAGTGCAGTGGTTGCTGAGCAGGCTGATAAGCCAAACCAAGCTAGGTTCGATTCCAAGCTTGGGCAAAAACATTTTGCGTTCTTACAGTTAGGATAATATTTGAGTTAAACTTTTACAAACGCTTTAATTTTTCTAGAAAACGGTCGATTACGGTTAAAACCATCAAACTTACATGTTTTTCAAAATTAAAAAAAGTGAAAAGTGTTTTTACACGTTGTGGGTATTTAAAACCAATAAATATCATATGTAAAATGGTTTTACTGGCAATCGCCAAACTTCATAATGATTCTTAGGCCAACCTAGTAGCAATATTTACCATTTAGCGTTTTGAAATAAGATTTATTTTGCCCCACGGCAGATATTGTAACTACTTAAGGGACAAATCAACCGTTTATAATTTTTTGCCCTGAGGCATTCTGCAAAAAATGAAAATGGTACCTTTCACCATTTTTCAAGGGCTTTCCAATGGTGTATAACACTTGCCATTTGGTGAGGGTTCGTTTGTACACTTCCCTAGTAAAAATAGAATTTTCCCGACTAAAATTGCTCGATCATTTTCGACCAAAAATCGCCAACATGGCCAAATTTCGGGCCGAAAAGGCATGAAGAATGATCTGCAAACATCTCGAACGGCATTTATAACGCAGATAGCGACCAAACACCACAATAACATGTTATTGTGAGGCTCGGAAGAGGGAAACTCGAAGAAACGCCCCGCGGAGTGGCCAAAGACCGGGTTGGGCCGAATTTGTTTATCGAATGTTTCAAGGCATTTCGCAACCATTCGGTAAACAAAAACAAGTCCTGATCAGAGATCACTATGAGGCAACTCGTTCAAATAATTTTGTTTTCGTGGTGGGACCTGATTACAGGGTCCGTGGAATTTCAGAATCGCACAAAGCGAGATTTCATGCCGGAAAAATGCCGTAACATACATTTATAACAGATTATTGGTCGTTTATTTCAAAAATCTGACAACTTTCAAGAAAAAATAACCTATAATATTAACCATAAAGTTTATCTTACAATAACAAATAAATTACACATAAATTACAATAAAATTTAGAGAGTACCATGTGGATAGAGACCAAGAAACTGGATCAAAATCAAGAAGACATAGGGGTAACATTATGCGGGATGATAGTGGACTTCAGCGATATTATCCATGACAGCTAGTGGGCTATCAAATTTTCGCCGGCCTCTTCGAGATGCTCGCCTGAAATACGAATCCATTATGTCAGATAAGGTTTTTAGGGTCTAATACAAGTCAGGAGAAAGTTTTAGCAAGCTCACCTGTAAGATTCTTGACTTCATTCGCCTTTTTGGAGGCTGCATTTCCCTTGCGGCGGAGCTCGTCGATCTTCTGCGTGGCTTGACCTCTGACCTCATTGGCTTCGTCGGAGTACTCGTGGATCTTCGCGTTGGCCAGATCTTGGGCTTCATCGGCCTTGTGGGCAGCTTTGTGCTGAAAATTAAAAGAAATTATATTGCTTTAGATGACAAAATTTGAAATTTATGTATTAGACTGAAATTTCTTGATGATCCCTCTTGTCATAGCTTTAGAAATGACTGAAACTAATTTTGAAACGGCTTAGTCATCAATTGAAGGACGAAATCACAAAAATTTCATGATTTTTATCTGAAATTATATTACTTAAGACAAAAATTAATGGATTTTTGAAAATTCTAAGTTTCTAACGGTTCGGAAATGATTCAAAACTCTAGTAAATGAAACTAGAATCCTTCTTGAAGACGATGCTGCATAACTCTCGCACTTTACCCCTCAAAATTCCATATTTTCTCCGACTAAATCACAAACAATCAAAAAAATTCCAAACTCACACTGAAGGCCTGAGCCTTGTCAGCGGCCACTTCATAGTCCTCGCGACTCTTCCCGAAGATCTTCTCCTTCACATTCTCAGCAGTGTCCTTGATCTTGTCACCGAGGGATCTTTCGTGGCTCATTTTGAAAATCTGGTTGAAATTTGCGTTGATTTCTGCAAAAATTTGAATAAAAATCAGAGAAAAGGTATTTAAAACGCGTTTTGCCGCACTTTGGAGCTTAGCCTAAAGGAGGGCGGACATTGTTAAAATCGGCATCTCAGAATTGAACGAAAATTTGTCAACTTAATCACTGATAGGCACAAAACATTCGCTTTCTTTGTTTTTGCCCAAAATTGCCGTATGACGGCATACTGTAACATCATTTTTAAAAAAAGATATGCCCTAATCGAGAAAACGAAGCGCTATTTCAGCGCAAATTGAGTTCGGGTATATGTTTTCGATCATGTAGAACATTTTTGTAATTGTCACCGAAAACAAAAAATTACATCTAAGCTATGTTACACTTGAGACAACATACCATTTCGGGTATAAAAAATGCAGTTCGGACGAGGCGCAGATTTTGAAACCGGAATACTAAACTTCAAGCCTCGTCTAACAAACCGTAAAAATTTCAGAAAGATCAAATATATAGTTTTTGAGATATCGGACATTCAATGTCTCATGTGCAAGATCACCTTGACCCCGAAAAAATCTGGCATTCTTAGGTTTTTGGCTAGGCGCAGATTTTGAAAGTTTCCAATACATTTTTATGAGATTTTAGGGGGATATAGAAAGTTTCAGAGGAAAAAAATGAATAGTTTTTGAGAAATCGACCAAAATACCTTTTTTTAGGTCATCAGATGCCCGAAAAAATCTGGCATTCTTAGGTTTTTGACTAGGCGCAGATTTTGAAAGTTTCCAATACATTTTTATGAGATTTTAGGGGGATATAGAAAGTTTCAGAGGAAAAAAATGAATAGTTTTTGAGAAATCGACCAAAATACCTTTTTTAGGTCATCAGATGCCCGAAAAATCTGGCATTCTTAGGTTTTTGGCTAGGCGCAGATTTTGAAAGTTTCCAATACTTTTTTATGAGATTTGAGGATGATACAGGAAGTTTCAGAGGAAAAAAATGAATAGTTTTTGAGAAATCGACCAAAATACCTTTTTTTAGGTCATCAGATGCCCGAAAAAATCTGGCATTCTTAGGTTTTTGGCTAGGCGCAGATTTTGAAAGTTTCCAATACTTTCTTATGAGATTTTAGGGGGATATAGAAAGTTTCAGAGGAAAAAAATGAATAGTTTTTGAGAAATCGACCAAAATACCTTGTGTTAGGTCATCAGATGCCCGAAAAAATCTGGCATTCCTAGGTTTTTGGCTAGGCGCAGATTTTGAAAGTTTCCAATACATTTTTATGACATTTTAGGATGATACAGGAAGTTTCAGAGGAAAAAAATGAATAGTTTTTGAGAAATCGACCAAAATACCTTGTTTTAGGTCATCATATGCCCGAAAAAATCTGGCATTCTTAGGTTTTTGGCTAGGCGCAGATTTTGAAAGTTTCCAATACATTTTTATGACATTTTAGGATGATACAGGAAGTTTCAGAGGAAAAAAATGAATAGTTTTTGAGAAATCGACCAAAATACCTTGTTTTAGGTCATCAGAACACAGAATCGTAGCCATCGGCGTACATTTGACAAAAGTTTTGCAGAGAGCTCGAATTTATTTGTGACAATTTGGAAAAAAAACGGTAACACACATGTATCTCGGAAAAAAAGAGATGCCGAAGAAAATTGGTCGAATTTTCCAGCAACTTGACCTATAACAGGTTCACCATGGTCGATATCTCAAAAACTATTCACTTTTTTCCTCTGAAACTTTCTATTTCCTCCTAAAATGTCATAAAAATGTATTGGAAACTTTCAAAATCTGCGCCTAGCCAAAAACCTAGGAATGCCAGATTTTTTCGGGCATATGATGACCTAAAACAAGGTATTTTGGTCGATTTCTCAAAAACTATTCATTTTTTTCCTCTGAAACTTCCTGTATCATCCTAAAATGTCATAAAAATGTATTGGAAACTTTCAAAATCTGCGCCTAGCCAAAAACCTAGGAATGCCAGATTTTTTCGGGCATCTGATGACCTAACACAAGGTATTTTGGTCGATTTCTCAAAAACTATTCATTTTTTTCCTCTGAAACTTTCTATATCCCCCTAAAATCTCATAAGAAAGTATTGGAAACTTTCAAAATCTGCGCCTAGCCAAAAACCTAAGAATGCCAGATTTTTTCGGGCATCTGATGACCTAACACAAGGTATTTTGGTCGATTTCTCAAAAACTATTCATTTTTTTCCTCTGAAACTTGCTATGTCCCCCTAAAATCTCATAAGAAATTATTGGAAACTTTCAAAATCTGCGCCTAGCCAAAAACCTAAGAATGCCAGATTTTTTCGGGCATCTGATGACCTAACACAAGGTATTTTGGTCGATTTCTCAAAAACTATTCATTTTTTTCCTCTGAAACTTCCTGTATCATCCTAAAATGTCATAAAAATGTATTGGAAACTTTCAAAATCTGCGCCTAGCCAAAAACCTAAGAATGCCAGATTTTTTCGGGCATCTGATGACCTAAAAAAAGGTATTTTGGTCGATTTCTCAAAAACTATTCATTTTTTTCCTCTGAAACTTTCTATATCCCCCTAAAATCTCATAAAAATGTATTGGAAACTTTCAAAATCTGCGCCTAGCCAAAAACCTAAGAATGCCAGATTTTTTCGGGGTCAAGGTGATCTTGCACATGAGACATTGAATGTCCGATATCTCAAAAACTATATATTTGATCTTTCTGAAATTTTTACGGTTTGTTAGACGAGGCTTGAAGTTTAGTATTCCGGTTTCAAAATCTGCGCCTCGTCCGAACTGCATTTTTTATACCCGAAATGGTATGTTGTCTCAAGTGTAACATAGCTTAGATGTAATTTTTAGTTTTCGGTGACAATTACCAAAATGTTCTACATGATCGAAAACATATACCTGAACTCAATTTGCGCTGAAATAGCGCTTCGTTTTCTCAATTAGGGCATATCTTTTTTTAAAAATGATGTTACAGTATGCCGTCATACGGTAATTGTGGGCAAAAACAAAGAAAGCGAATGTTTTGTGCCTATCAGTGATTAAGTTGACCAATTTTCGTTCAATTCTGAGACACTGATTTTAACAATGTCCGGGCCAAACTACGCTTTGTAATAAAACGCGTTTTAATTAGAAAGAAGAGGTGTATTCTCATCATTTACAGTAATCATACTCATCGGAATAAATTGGAAATCGCAAAAAAATCTCGAAAAATATCGGACGACCTCCTCCAAACATGGCCAAGGATAAACTGATGCACAAATTGGCCGTTTGTTTTGCTCTCCGCCGATTTCACAACATTTCGTAAACACATTTCTTTGCAACAACAAGTTCTGTTCAAAGATCACAACGAGGGAATTCAAATTTTTAAATTTTTTCGTGGTGGGACCCAATTGAAGGTTCCGTGGAATTTTAGAATCGCTGAAAAATGGAGAATTCCAACAGAACCGGCCGTCGCAAGTCTTTTTCAACGATTTTCAGACCAAAACTGACTATTTTTTCTCGTCAAAGATCAATTATATTATTCTTGCCATCAAAATTTATTTTCCAATTTTACAAAAAATTACAGTAAGATTTAAAGCGGCGAATATGTAAAGATGTTCAGAATAGCCTCTTGAACGAAGCTGAAGACAAATTCAAAAAAAATTCAAAAGGATTGGGCTCAAAATCCACACAAATGACATTATCCATGCTGAAGTCACTTGGATCTCATATTTTTGCCTGAGCTTTCGAGATGCGCGCCTAAAACATCAAATCATTATATCGTATGTGACACACAGAGTCTATTAAAGGCCCGAAAAAATTCTAGCCCCCCTACCGGTCGCATTGCGGATGGCATTCGCTCTTTCCGAGGCCAAGTTTCCCTCGCGGCGGAGATCTTCGATCTTCTGCGTGGCGTCGTCGTGGATCTCGTGCGCACGTTGAGTGGTCTGATTCACTCGGGCCTCCGCCAAACGTTGCGCTTCGTTGGCCTGTTCGCAGGCCTTATCCTGAAAGGATTTTGAAGGATACACAGTGGCGGACCTGATCCATTGGCCAAAAACATGCCATTTTGCATCCGGGAAGTATGAAAAATGCAGCAAAATACCTCCCCTCCAAGTGAAAAAACTACGATTTGAAAAGCGCGCAAACTCTTTTTGTGAGGGAAAGGGATCGCGCAGTTCAAAATGCAGTTTTTTTTAGATGGACAGGGAGGCATTTTGCCACATTTTTTATACTTCCCGGATGCAAAATGGTACGTTTTTTGCCACTGAATCTTTTTTTGATGAAAGGAACTTTTGGCGTGAAAAATTTACCCCCAGATCCTGGGCCTTGTCGGCGGCGACTTCGTAGTCCTCACGGCTCTTGCCGAAGATCTTTTCCTTCAAAGATTTTTCCTGACTCATTATGAAGATTTGATTGGAAGTTACGCTGATGTCTGAAAAAATTAGGGTAAAAGCAGTTTGAATTATTCGGAAATGACCGAAAAACGGTCTAAAACAAAACAACGAGATGTGATGTAGATTTTTTTATATCTTACAGTACGAAAAAATTATAAAAAATGCGAAAAAGCATAGAAAAGATGTAGTAATTCGCAAAAATTCAAGATTTTTTTGCGGATTTGCCCTGAGGGCATAAATTTTTTTTGTAACAACTGCTAAAAAATCAAGATCAAGGCACGAGCTACTACTTACAACCCCTAAATTGTCAAAAATGTCATGGTCTCCCTCAAAAAATCTTGTTTTTCTAGCACCGCCTCAGCCTCCCCGAAGCGAACACTGACCAAAAACCTCCCTCTCTTGGCTTTTTGTATGTTTCGTGAATTTCAAAATTTGCACAACAACAACAGCTAACGATAAGGCATCAAACAACAGGCCCATTATGGGTGTGGAAATGGGGAAGTAGCTCTGTGCTCTGTATGACATGGAAAACATTGCAAATGACGGCTCGATTAGATGTTTATGCTTGTCAACGGGACTGAAAAAGTGATTGGGCCGATAAGAAGAGGCATTTTGGTCAAAAAGTCGGGCAAATTCGGTCGAATTTTCGAGGGTGACATTTTATACGAAAGATGACAATAACTTCAAGCAATTTTAAAAGCAGCTAAAATTGATGATTAGATATTCAATGCTGTATTTTAGTGATGTTTACAATTGGTTCAAAGATTGCAATGAACGCATTCAAATTTTGTTTTCGTGGTGGGACCCGATCAAAGGGTGTGTGGAACCTCAGAATCGCTGAAAAATTGGGTTACCTCGGCAGAACGCGCCTTCACACACTGTTTTCAACAATTTCCCGACCAAATCTGATTATTTCTCCTTATCAAATACCAATTATATTATCCTTACCATCCAAATTTATTTTTCAAATTTACAAAAAAAATTACAGTAAGACTAAAGCAGCCGAATAGAATTCTGAGAACTACATAGCCTCCTAAGTGAGGCTGAAGACAGATTTAAAAAAAATTTGGGCATTAAGAGGAGATAAACAATATTATTTACATTGGAGTTACTTGGATCTGACCTGTTCGCCGGAATGCTCCACATGCCCGCCTAAAATACGAAATGATTATGTCGTGTATGATGAAAAGGGACAATTAAATTCCCTAAAAAATTGATAGGGTTTTTAATTTTTTTAAAGCATCTCTTACCGGTCGCGCCGCGCATTTCATTCGCGGTTTCGGACGCCAGGTTGCCTTGGCGTTGCAGCTCGTTGATCTTCTGGTTGGCGTCGTCGCGGATCTCGTGGGCACGTTGAGAGGTCTCGTTAACTCGGACCTGCGCCAAGCGTTGCGCTTCGTTAGCCTGTTTGCATGCCTTTTCCTGAAGAATTTCAAAGAGTATTACTTTAGGGCAAAAAATTTAGAGGTTTGATGAAAATTCAAAAAATTTTTGGCAAAAAATTACCCCCATCTCTTGGGCTTTGTCAGCGGCAACCTCGTAGTCCTCGCGGCTCTTGCCGAAGATCTTTTCCTTCAAAGTCTTGTCCTGACTCATTTTCAAAGTTTTGTTGGGTTGATTTCTGGAAAGAAATGGGGTAAAAAGCAGTTTTAATTATTCGGAAATGACCGAAAAACTGTGTAATACACGACAGCCAGGATGGTGCTTGAATTTTTTATACGTTATAGTATCCTTGACTGCTGCGCAATAGCTGGAAAATTACTGAAAGAGAAAAAAAACGAAAAAACGGAGTTAATTTGTGATTTGTCGAATCTCACCCTAAGGGCACAAAAATTTTTTTGCCAAAAATGTTCCAAAATAAAATTGAAGCCACTTGCTACTATTTACAAATCCTAAATGATCGAAAATCTTATTGTTTCCCTCAAAAGAATCCCGTTTTTTCCAGCGCCCCGCCTCAGCTTCCCGGACGCGAACACTGGCCAAACAGGGCTCTCTGCCCGCCTTTTATACGTTTCGCGAGTTTCAACATTGGCCAAAAGGACGAAAACAACTTGTAAGGCACCAAGGAACGAGGCCATAAGGGGTGTGTGGAAATTCGGGGGTGATTCTTGGTTGCTGAGATGGATGAGGTCGGAACTGACGATTAGATGGGTTTATACAAATCATTTGTGTTGGAAAATAATCATCTCCGCATAGTTGGTCATGTCGGTCCAATAGCCCGGCGGATGTGGCCGAATTTTGTAGGGTGACATTTTATACGAAAGTTAGTCAAAATTTTAAATAAAATTTGAAAAAGCATGGAGTTTTAAAATTAAATATTCAATGTCGGATTTTTAGAGTTGTTTGCAGCTTTTTTTGAAATGCTTATCAAAAAATGAGGTGACATTTTATACGAAAAATTTTGAAAATCTCGGATTTTTAGCGTAAGCTGAAAACATCAATATTTTGCCAGAAACTGTCTTCAAAAGTCATTTTAACAATTTTTAGTCCAAGTGCGATCAATTTCTCTCTTTATACAACAATTATATTATACTTGCCATCAAAAAAAAAATTTTTTATTTTTACAAAAAAGTACAGTAAGATTTAAGGCATCGAATAAATAGAAATGTATGGAATAGTGTCTGAATTCAGGCTAAACTCAAATCTAAAAAATATTCGACTAAAAGAGGGCATCTGCGATGTTATCCTTGTCGGAGTCAGTGAGATCTGATGTTTTGGCCGGAACTCTCAAGATGGGCGCCTAGAATTTGAATCCGTTACGTTGAATACAGCAAAATAGACTTTATTTTAACTCCGGAAAAAATGATAGCTCACTTACCGGTTTTCTCAAAGATTTCGTGCGTTTTTTCGGCCGCCAAGTTTCCCTCTCGGCGGAGTTCGTCGATCTTCTTGTTGGCCTCGTCCTGAATTTCGTGGGCGCGCTGAGAGGTCTGCGCTACTCGAGCGTCGGCCAGGCGTTGCGCTTCAGCGACTTGTTTGCAGGCGCGGTCCTAAACATAAAAGTTATATTACTTTAGGCGAGATTAAAATCAATTTTTTTTTTGATGAATAACTAATTACTCCTATGGTCATTTATTTTAAAGCCCTGAGCATTTGAGGCTACAATTTTCACTATTTTACTTTTTATTATTCAATTTACAGTGAGGGACCTGATCCAGCGGCAAAAAACGTATCGTTTTGCATGTGGGAAGGATCAAAAATACGGCAAAATGCCTCCCTCTCCAACTAAAAAAACTCCATTTTGAAGGGCGCTTGTGAAATTGGAGTTTTTTCACTGGGAGAAGGAGGTATTTTGCTGCATTTTTGATGCTTCCCGGATGCAAAATGGAACATTTTTTTGGCCAATGGACCACTGTATTTTACCTACAAAATTATCTTATTTTACCTACAACATTAGCTGTTTTTTTTTGCTATTTTTTATGATGACTAATAAAAAATTACCCCCAGATCCTGAGCTTTGTCAGCGGCCACTTCATAGTCCTCACGACTTTTGCCGAAGATCTTCTCAATCAGAGACTTGTCCTGGCTCATTTTGAAAGTTTGATTAGGCGTTGATTTCTGGAAAAAGTGAGGGTAACAGTGTAGTTCGTAGGGAACAAATGGGAATTGCGATAAATCCGGGGTCGGGCAAGAGATTTTACATGTATTACTGTTTGCTACATACTAAATGATGGCTAGAAATTAACAAAAAATTTTTATGAAATGTCAGAGAATTGGGTAAATTTGGACTTCAAAAAAGTTTTTCGAGGCAAAACCTATGAAAGAAGATATTATTTAGAACATTATATGTATATAATTATGTATATAATCGTCAAAAATCATGATGAAAAATTCGAAGAAAACCTAAACATCGCACTTTGTCAACATGCAATTTTAACTAATTTTTCCCTAAGGGCATGTAGAAGATTTTGTGGAAAACCCTTCCAAAACAAAAATCAGCACATGAACTACTACCTACAACCCGCAGATAATCAAAAAATTTTCCTTTCTCTCAAAAAATCCCGTTTATTTCGGCCGCCAGCAACCTCTCCAAACACTGACCGAAACGCTTCCTCTCCGTCGCTTTTTATGTTTCGCGTATTTCAAAACTGGCCAAAACAACAAATCGCCGAAGACATCAATAAACATGATTATCATCGCTGTGGAAATTCGGAAGTAATTCTTGGTGGAAGATGATGGTTCGATGTTTATCAATGTGTTTACAAACATGCTCAAGCAGTGATTCATTTTTAATATTTGTTCCTTTTCATCAACGCGTTGAAATCGCCCAAACTTTTCGTTGCAACGGAAAATTTGGTCGATTTTTGGAGGGCGACATTTTATACGCAAGACGAGGAAAATTTTGAAAAAAGGCTGTAAAACGACTGAGATTTCGAAAGTGGACACTCATTTTTGTATTTTTGTGTTATCTACAACTGATTTTCAAAGTTTTCATCAAAAAATCAAAGGTGACGTTTTATACGCAAGACGAGGAAAATTTTGAAAAAGGCTGAAAACGACTGAGATTTCGAAAGTAGACACTCATTTTTGTATTTTTGTATTATCTACAACTGATTTTCAAAGTTTTCATCAAAAATCCAAAAGTGACATTTTATACGAAAGATGACAAAAATTTCGATTTTTAAAAAATTAAAGATTTAAAGACGAAAAAAGAAAAAAATAAAGGCTTCATAAGATTTGTGAAATAATTTTAAACATTTTTGGACTAAATTCGACCTATTCCATTACGTCATATATCAATTATTTATATACAGTAGCTGCCAAAAAACTGTCAATTTTTTTGTTCTTTGTGTAACTCTGCTCAACGTGGACGGATTTCAACGAAACAAATACCATTCTGTAGATATTTATCACTGTTATCTAATGGTGTAGCGGTTGGAGGGATTTTACATCTTAGTGTGTAACAACTGTCGATGTAAAATTTTTGGAAAGACAAAAAACTGTCAATTTTTCCAAAAGAATTTTACCGCTTGCATACGTTGCGGCAAATCTTAGGCTTATACATTCCGATTTTTAAATAAAGTCCCACTGTACATAATTAACCATCAAAGGGAGCCAAGAAAGTTAATTTAGTAGACCTTTTGGTGGTCCCAAGTTCGATGCCCCAAAACATGACGTTTAAGAAAAAATCGATTTTTTTCTTTGACTTAGCGTTAATGAAATGCCTTGCAGTAGAAGCTAGACAACCTACAATTACAATAGAACAATGATTGGGAGCCTAAATGTAAGTCTACGGACTCCACTTGACATTCAAGTTTCTCTGGCGGTAGATGTACCGTGGAACTTCAGCCCGGGTGCTTCCGTAGACACCTCTAATCGTAGTTCCAACGCGGCAGAAGGCACCCATGTTAACAGTGAACAGTTTGGAACCGCTACCGCGCCGGGCCCGTACTTTGCGAATAAAAGAACAAGCTCCTAAATGGAATTTTTGAAGAAAAATTGTTGTCTCGATTTTCACTCTCCATAGGATGGAAATAACCCAGCGCAAGGACAAGCAAGATGTTGTCCCATACATTTACAGCCATTCCTGACATTTTTAACGCAATTTCACTCCCTCTAACGTGTTTCTAAAGTCTTAAGCTGGCCTGCAAGTCTCCACAAAAATTTTTTTTTGTTAATGGCAACATAACCCTTCGTAATTCTTATGTGACTTGCATCGCCGTCCTACAAATGCCCATAAAATGCTTCTAGAACATCTGTGATCATGTATTGATAAAACATTAGCAAGTTGTTACAAAGGCGGGGGCAACAAGGCCAAGTCTCTGCAGAAACTCGATTACCGGAGAAACTTGAATGTCAAGTGGAGTCCGTAGACTTACATTTAGGCTCCCAATCATTGTTCTATTGTAATTGTAGGTTGTCTAGCTTCTACTGCAAGGCATTTCATTAACGCTAAGTCAAAGAAAAAAATCGATTTTTTCTTAAACGTCATGTTTTGGGGCATCGAACTTGGGACCACCAAAAGGTCTACTAAATTAACTTTCTTGGCTCCCTTTGATGGTTAATTATGTACAGTGGGACTTTATTTAAAAATCGGAATGTATAAGCCTAAGATTTGCCGCAACGTATGCAAGCGGTAAAATTCTTTTGGAAAAATTGACAGTTTTTTGTCTTTCCAAAAATTTTACATCGACAGTTGTTACACACTAAGATGTAAAATCCCTCCAACCGCTACACCATTAGATAACAGTGATAAATATCTACAGAATGGTATTTGCTTCGTTGAAATCCGTCCACGTTGAGCAGAGTTACACAAAGAACAAAAAAATTGACAGTTTTTTGGCAGCTACTGTACTTTAACCATAAAAATTTATTTTTCAAATTAAAAAAAATTACAGCAAGATTTAGATCGTCGACTATGTAGAACTCTGTGGAACGTTCTCCCAAACGAGACGGCATAGAAAACTGTAATTATTTGGGGGCAAATCGGACATCAGCAATGTTATCCATGCCCTTGTTACTTGGATCTCATTTGTTCGCCGGAACAATCACGATGCGCGCCTAAAATACGAAATTATTACGTCGTATACAATGAACAGAGTCTATTACTGGCTCTAAAAGTTGGTGAGCTCTTACCGGCCTCGTGGCGGACGGCATTTCCCTTTTCGGCGGCCGCATTGCCCTGTCGGCGGAGCTCCTCGATCTTCCGGTTGGCATCATCCCCCACCTCGCCCGCACGTTGTGCGGTCTGGTTGACCTTCTTCTGCGCCAAATCTTGAGCTTCGTCGGCTTTGTCGTAGGCCTTATTCTGAAAATTTGACAAAATTATATTACTTTAGGTGAAAGGGTAAATATTTATGGCAAATCCTTAAAAATTTTGGTTGATCCCCTCTGGCAATTGCTCTGAGATCCTATAGGATTTGTTTTTATAAGCTTCTAAAGGTTTACTATGCCCTTAATCGTATTTCAACAAAAAAAGTTATTTTTTTGCCATTTTCCAACTGTATGATGACTAAAAAAAGACTTACCCCCAGTTTCTCGGCCTTGTCGGCGGCCACTTCATAGTCCTCACGGCCCTTTCCGAAGATCTTTTCCTTTAGAGATTTGTCCTCACTCATTTTGAAAATTTAGTTTATTTCCTGAAAAGTTGAGGGGAAAAATTTGTTAGAAATTTATGGAAATTGCGACAAGGCACGACAGCAAGAATGTAATTGAGATTTTTTATATTCTACAGTATACAGAACTGCTAAAATTTTAAGTGTGATATTTTGAAAAAATAAAAAAATCGAAAAATGCGCTCGATTTGAAGTTTTCATCGAATTTTCCCCAAGTAAAAAATCTTGTCAAAAAAGACTTCAAAATACAAAAAAAAGCATAAGCTACCGTTTACAACTTCCAAATCATCGATAACATTATTGTTTCCCGGCAAAAAATCCCGTTTTCCCACAGCTTCCAGAACCTCCCCCGGCTGTTGCAAACACTGCCCACAAACGTTCCTCTTTCCCGCTTTTTATACAGTTTGCGCATTTCCCAATTGGCCATGACAACAGAAACAGCGAAGGCATCAAGAAACAAGACAATGAAAGGGTGTGGAAAGTCGTAAGCAACGGTCTTGTTGATAGCATTGAAAATATGGTCTGATTGTTGTTTGGTGTTGAGAAAAACATGGTTATCCAATGAATCATGCGGAAAAGCAGTCATTTTTGCCAAACGTTTGGGAAAATTGGACGAATTTTTAAGGGCGACATTTTATACGAAAGATGACGGAGATTTCAAAAAAAGCCAAAAAATGAACAAAATTTTGAAATTTGATAGTGAATTTCGTATTTTAGACCTGTTTATAACATGTTTTTGAATTTACCATCCAAAAATCAGGGGTGACATTTTATACGAAGGATAACGGGGATTTCAAAAAAGGCCTAAAATGAACAAAATTTTGAAATTTGTTAGTGAATTTCATATTTTAGAGCTGCATATAACATGTTTTTGAATATACCATCCAAAAATCAGGGATGACATTTTATACGAAGGATAACGGGGATTTCAAAAAAAAAGCCAAAAAATGAACAAAATTTTGAAATTTGATAGTGAATTTCGTATTTTAGAGCTGTATATAATATGTTTTTGAATTTACCATCCAAAAATCAGGGGTGACATTTTATACGAAAATTCTTGAAATTTTAAAAATTTGTGTTTTTCAAGATTCCTAAATGTATTTTACAAATCAATTGTTGGACCCAAAATTTATTTTTTTATCAGGTTGATTATATTACAATATACAGCGCAATAATTATGTACAGAGAAATCTCTAAAACGAGATCCCAATAGGTGAAAAATGCGTCCAAGCGAAAAGAGAGTAGGTCATGTTTCGAGTATTGGGAATGGCTAAAGCTGGTACAGCGAGATTATTGAGGACTTAGTGGGCTTTGATGTTTTCGCCGGCGGCGTGGATTCGTTCACCTAAAATAAGGTAAAAATTCAATGAAACTATTTCGACATCGGTGCAAATCGTTCTAAAAACAGAAAAAACAATGGCGAAATCTACTTACCAGCCTTTTCTTTGAGTTCGTGCGCCTTGTTGGAAGCTTCGTCGGCTTTCTCGTTGCCCTGCTCTCGGAGCTCCTGAACCTTCTGACGAGCCTGTTCCCGGATGTCCTCAGCACGTTGGGTGTACTCGTCAGCCTTCTGGTTGGCCAAATCTCGGGCTTGGTGGGCTTTCTCACTGGCTTGCTCCTGAAAAATAATTTTGGTATCAAGTGTAATATCAAAATCTGCTGTTTGAAGGCGGGATTTTAAATTTTTTGGTGAAAAGAGTGGGTTCAAGATAAAGTAGGAGTAATCTCAAAGCTTTTTCAACGAAAAACTGATCAAAAAACTAACAAAAAAACTGAAGAAAAAATATATTATTCTAGGTAACGTCTACGCAATTTTTGCCTTGAAAATATGCAAACCCCCTCAAAACAAGCTGCCGGAGCGCGAAGACATCATTTAAGATAACTCTGTTGTCTAAATCCAGCAGCATCACATCAAGATGTTGTTTTAGGTATACCTGTCCTAAAGATCAACCAAAACTTGAGAAAGAAACCCACTCTGAACTCCTTGGCCTTCTCCGTAGCACTCTCATAGGTCTCGTTCGCATTCTCTTTGGCCTCGTGGCTCTTCCCGACCACCTTTTGCTTCAGGACTTCGGCTTTATCCGCGGCGCTATCATACACTCCCAGCGCCTTTTCCTTGACGGTTTGGCCGGCGTGCTGCGCGTTCTCCTTGATAATATGACCGGTGTTCTTGGCGCTCTCCTTGACATTGTCGACGTACGATTGATCGGACATTTTGAATTTGGATTTTTTTTTGTTTCTGAAAAATGGCAAGTGTAATATAAAAAATTTTTCGAAAACGGTTGAAATCGCGGCTGCATCTGATCGAAGCTTTAAATTTGTAACATAACATTGAATTTCACAGCTAAATCAACTGGTTTTACCACGAAGATCGGTAGATCCTAACAATTTTGAGCGATATTTTATCCGACCAAACATGTTTACCACGAAAATGCAAATTTTCACGGGTCGGGCGGACTTTCTGTTTGTTTACAGTGCATTCTGTGGAAATTTTAATCGTCCGCTTCCTTTCATAAGTCCTTTAGAACCATAACAAGATTAGTAAAGTTCGACGAGATTGCGTTCGGAACAAATATTATTGCGACGAATGTTTCCGATAAAACAATGATGCAATGGGAGACGAGACCAGCCCATGGCGAAACGAAAAAACCGGGTGTTACACGGGAAACGGTAATAAATTCGGAAAAAAAGTGCAAAAAGATGCTTTGCCGCCAGCAGGGGTCGAACCTGCGACCTTGGGCTTATTAGACCCACGCTCTAACCGACTGAGCTATGGCGGCACGTCCTGCGTGCTCTTTAGTTTGCTTTTTCCCGTTGCGGGCGTTTTGGCGGGAGAAAGATGATGATTTTTGGGGGTTTTTGAAGTGAAAATTTGTGAAATACGAAGTCAAATTTTCTAAAAAATATTTAAAAGAAAATTTGTTATCACTTTCAAATATAATTTCTCATCAAAAACCAAAAAAGATTTGAAAATTTTATCAAATTAAATTTTTATTCAAAAAATCCCATTTTCGACCGCATGCCTGCTCTCGAAAACAACCCATATATGGCCGAAAACCAGCTATTTATAAGGCCTGCGCCGTTTCTGGAAGCCATCACGCATTCCGGCAATTTTCGGAGCTCAAACAACAATTCAAATTGCGAAAACACGATGGCCCGTTACTCGTTGTTTACTGGAAACATTTGCGAAAACACTTTAGACACCAACGAGCACGATTCTCTTTCAGTTTGGCGGGTCTGATCTCTGGTTAGCGGGGTCTTTTTTTTGCATTCTGTGTTGAAAGAGCGACGAAAAAAGGGGCGTGTTTTTTGGATGAGAGCGGCCGCAAAACACCCGAGAAATGGACAGAATAGAGTAAAAGAGAGGTAGTGGATAATAAATAACCAAAAACAAGGGTGTGTTGGACTTTGGACGGGTAAAAAAAGGGTGAAAAGTGCAAAAATCCAGAAATTTCGACAAAAATTGGAGGAAAAATAGTGAAAATAGTTTAAAAACTCAATTTTTTTTGAGAATTACAGTAATCTTAACAAAAAAGAAAGTGTAGAATAGTAAGGGCAAGTATTTTACAACCGATTTTTATCTTGAAAAACAAGAAAACTGCGAAAATTTCAACAAAAAACGGAAATTTTCGGGGTCTTTGGGGATTTCTGTTAAAATTACAGTACGCAGTGATAGAAAAACTTAGATACTGCATTCTCCACACTATTTGTGACAATAAAAAGTGCTTTTTCAACCACTAAAATTTTATCTTCATGTTGAAAATTTCAAAATAGGAAAAAAATGAGTTTTGACCAAAACCCATGAAAAATTACAGTACCCCAACATTAAAATGTTGGCCATAGCATTTTCAATGGTCTGAAATCCCATTCCCACAAAAACTCGCAAAAAATTTGCATATTTTTTGTGGAAAATTTCGAAATTCCGATTTTGCAGAAAACATAAAAAATTACAGTAACCCAATTTTTTTCTGACCTGAAAAATCTTCCAAATATATCCTCAATACCCTAAAATGCTATTCTTCTTCAAAAAAATCCCGAAATTTTTTTCAATTCTGCCCGCAAAACCCCGAAATTACAGTAATCCAGCTGCCGCTGACAACTCCCATTTTGGTCGAATCCGCCCTGCCCATTTATAAGGCCACTTGTTTACACAGCTCTCCGAATATGTTATTTTCTTACCGCACTTTTTCAAAAATTCTTGCGAAATTTTTTGTGGGCTTTGGTCGCCGAAACCGGAGATCACGTTTTGTTTTTCTCGCTTTGGCCCCAATTTTGTTTATGAAAACAAAAAGGGCGGGGCGCGAGGCGAGCGAAGCTTCGGATCCCGTATAAAAGGCGATGTGGAAACTGGAGGAGGGAGAGGCGATCGAGTTGGACAACAGGGAGATGTTGTAATTTATGGACGCACTTGGACGTTATAATTGGAATTTTTAGGTGCATTCGACAATGTTTGGAAGGGGAATTTTTGTTTCAGATGATGTTTCAGATACGTTTCTTTGATTACATACCGTTTTGTTGAAATTTAGTGCTATTATTTTGGGGAAATTTGAGATTTTCGAAAATTTTTAGAAAAATTTCGAAATTTTGATGATTTTTTTGAAAATTTTAAGGATTTTTTTGTTCTGAAATCGTGTTTTTGGAAATGGTTTTTGAATTTCAGGCTAGTCCGTATATGCTTTTTGTTAGTTTTAGAAAATTTTGGGTATTTCGAAATTTTTGGGATTTTTTGAAAATTGAATTTTTTCAAAAATTTTTTATGGAAAACCGTATTTTGTGACAAAAAATTATGCAATTTTTTAACTTATGTACATAAAATTTAGTTTTTAGCAGATTTTTTGTAATTTTTCCCCGATTTTGGCATTTTTTAGAGATTTTTTATTTGAAAAAAATGTAATTCCCACTGAATTAGGCCTAATTTTCACTTCGTATTTTCCAATCCCCCCTCGCGTTTCACCTCAATATCGCTGTATTTCTCCCAAAAATTTTCTAATTTCCCCATTTTTTCAGTCAAAACCCCCAAATTCAAATCGAAAATCAATTTCAAAATGTCCGAGCAAACCTACACCGAAGCCATCAAGGAGAAGGCGCAGGGCGCCTACGATGCCGTCAAGGACACTGCGCAGAATCTGAAGGAGAAAATCGTCGGCGAACCGTCGAAGGAGGACCAGGCCGCCGACAAAGTGAAGGAATACGCGGACAAAGCGGCCGGCCACGCCAAAGACGCCCGTGAGAAGGTCAATGAGTACTACGATCAGGCCACGCAGGACTCCAGAGACTTGAGAGAGAAAGCGGGTGAGTGAAAAATCAAAAAATAATTTGGAATTTTTTGAAATTTTGAAATTTAGGTGATGATAAATAGCAAAAAATGATTTTTTATTGTAGTTAGAGTAGTCCTATCTGGATTAAACTTGCCAAGAATTTATTTTAGACTATTTGTAGGGTATTCTGAAAATCTTAGCTCTTGCTAAGCAACCATCTCTGAGTTACAGCAAAAAAAATTTCAAGAAAAATTTAGGTGATGATAAATAACAAAAAAAGGTTTTTATTGTAGTTAAAGTAGTTGGATCTGGATGAGATTTGACAGAAATTTATTTCAGACTGTTTATAGGGTATTCTGAAAATTTTAGCTTTTGCTAAGCAACCATCTCTGAGTTATAGCAAAAAAATTTCAAGAAAAATTTAGGTGATGATAAATAGCAAAAAATGATTTTTTATTATAGTTAAAGTTGTCGGATCTGGATCAAACTTTCCAGGAATTTATTATAGACTGTTTATAGGGTATTCTGAAAATTTCAGCTCTTTCTAAGCTACCATCTCAGAGTTATAGCAAAAAAAATTTCAAAATATTTCGAAATTTTTGTTCAATCCAAAAAAATTTTTAGATCGTATAGTTGAAAAAACATCCTAGACTTGCAAAATTTTTTTCTTCGATTACCGACCATAGTAATTTAAATTTTTTCCTTCTGAAACTTCAATTTTCCCCTCTCATTTCTCGTTTTTCAGGCGACAAATTGAAGGAGGCCGGTGAAAAGCTTCAGTAAATGTCTTCAAATCGCTACCTCTACCATCTCAGTGTAATCGTCGTTGGAAAACTATCGCTTTCATCGTATATCTAGCTCCATGGACTAGTAAATTTATCTTATTTTGTGTTTTGAAGTAAAAATAAACCAATTTATGGTGATTTCCCCCAATGTTTTTGAATTTCTGGATGGGTTTTGATACCGTAAAAATATCTGATGAAATTTTACATTACCTTTTGTTGATTTTTGAACTTTTTTTTGATGAATTTCAAAAATTTTTTCAAAAAAATTTTTTGCTTTAGAACTTGGCTACAATGTGCGAAAGAAAGCCGTGGCCTTCGACGGTCCATGACTACACTTGCGACTTCTTTGACAAAGTTTTTGGCAAAGCAGCGCCAACTTATTACCAATTCGAAGATAGAGTCAAAAAAGTGAAGGAAGACGCACTTGGAAGGGAGAATGATGTTGAAGAAAAGGTTGAGGATACCCCTGAACAGTCTACAGACCAAGTAGAAGAGAATGAGGTGAGTTTCCATAGCGATTATGAGTAATATAACCAAAAGATATTAGTTTAGACCTAAAATAAGGTAAAAAAATCCGATTTTTTCTCTAAATCAAGGTCTAGATGCCTCAGAATTGACGGACACATAGTCTTAGGTGCTTTAGAATGTATGTATTTTATTTCTAAACATCTGTTTTTTCAGAAACAGCCTACCGAAAAATCCGATGACTCTGAAGATGCCACCGAAGAAACGACTGAGAACGCAGGTAAATACCTGTCGTATTTTAGGAATTTTAAGAAATATGATAGCTGAAATACTATTTTATCAAATATGATGTCTAAATTTGATAGCAATAGTATTTTAGGTAGCAATTTTCGAACTTTATAAAATCATCATATTTGATCTAAAGTAATATAATTTGTTAAATTTCATGACGCTTGGTGGGAATTTTATGGGATAAATAGTTTTATTGGGACATAAAAAGTATATCCTTTATATTTTCAGATGACCAGCCCGAAAATGTCGCCAAGCCGGCCTAGTCGACCACTTCGAATATTCTCCTTGAGAAGCGGCCCCGCGCTTCTTTCGGACCGAGTTTAGGTACCTTTTCGATTTCATATTTTCTCATCCTGTATTTTATCTAATAAAATGGTATCTAAGAAATGTTCTGAGACCTATTTTAGACACTTGTATATTTAACTTTTCCCGATATAACTTGTTTTTCGCGACATGACCGAGATTTCTTGCTAGTTTCTCCATTTTGAAATTTAATTTACGGAATTTAGAAACCAAAACCCCCACTACTACTTCGAAAATGTGTGACAAATCCTACACCGAGTCCGTCAAGGATACCGCCCAGAACGCCTACGACAGCGTCAAGGACGCGGCCGTGAGTGTGAAGAACAAGGTTGTTGGAGAGAAGTCCAACACCGACAAGGCCACTGACAAGATCAACGACATGGCTGACAGCACTGCTGACACCTTCCACGACCTGAAACAGAAGGCTGGTAAGTTTTGGAGCAGGGTTTATTTTAATTTTTTGGGAAAATCTAATTTTGATGAGAATTTTTAGAAATTTTCGAAAATTGAAGGGGTACATGGAGGAAATTTAGATAGTAGACGGAATTATAAGGTCTGGAAATTGATATTACATTATTTTTTACTGGGGAAACTTTTTTTAAATTATGGTTTGATCCAAAAAAAATCAAAAAATCATCCGATTTTTAGACATTTTTCGACTAAAATAAGGTAATTTTTGACTTTTCATCCAAAATTTCGCCGGGTTTTGATAAAAAAATTCATTAGAAATCACAATAAACTATAATTTCATCTTCTTTCACTTTACTTTACCTGTTATCTCAAAAAAATTCAATTTGTTCAAAACCAAAATTCAAATTTCCCGCCAAAATTTTTTTCAAATTTTAACGGTTCATATTTTCAGGAGACAAGCTCCGCGATTGATTGTACCATGTAGGTCCCTTCCAACGATCTGATGTTACAAGCCAATTTATGATAAGCCATGGCGTGTTATTTATCTAACAAGGGAAGTCACTTAAATCACGGATCGATTTTGTAAAACGACTGCTACAGCGATGGGGAGGGTAGGAAAGAGATATCAAATCTGAAAACCGTTACCTCCACCGGCCTCTGGAAGCCGAGATAATCGACCAAAAAGTTTGCCCAAATTCCTCCGAACATTTCTTCCTTCCGAAAGAAAAAAACCCAACGAACCGAATGGTCCGGTGGTCTGGAAGCGCGCTTCCGGGCCTTCACCTTTTCGGGTTCGAATCCGCGCGGGCCTCGAACTTGTGAAAATGTATAAAACAGTTCCTGTGATCCGGTAAATTTACTAGCAATTTATTTTTATATTTCATGCCTATTTTACGGTAAATTTTCAACCTTGAAAATCCAAATCGTTTGGAACTCGCATTCAAATTATTACTCTGAAATTTTATTGTCAAATATGCAAAAAACCAAAAATTTTATCCTACCGGTAAATTTACTGGACTAGAGGAAAAGTTCAATAAATATTTGACCCATGCGGATTCGAACCTGAAAAGGTCAAGGCCCGGAAGCGCGCTTCCAGACCACCGGACCATTCGGTTCGTTGGCTTTTTTTCTTTCGGAAGGAAGAAATGTTCGGAGCAACTTTTTTTGGTTAAACCTTTTTGGTCGATTATCCCGGCTCCCAGAGGCCGGTGGAGGTAGCGGTTTTCAGATTTGATATCTCCGTCCTACCATCCCCATCGCTGTAACAGTCGTTTTCAAAAATCGATCCGTGACTTAAGTGACTTCCCTTGTAAGTCCTCTATTCATCGATGAAAATGTGTATATTTCATTCGCTTTGTATATGACACAATAAATTATAGTCCCGAGAACATTTGAGGAGTGATTTGGAAACGATTTATTATTGTTTTTGATACTTTTTTCGATTTTTTATGAGGAGTTCAATTTCAAAATTTGCCCGACTTTTTCAATGCGCTGTTACAGGGGAAATACCTCATGTGTGACTCTAAGGTCTTGGTGAAACTTGGCACAAGCCTTGACTAATTTTTTTAAAGATATATGCAGGATTTCTAGCTCGCGTTTTGCAGAAACCATAAAGATTTATTAGGCAAAAAAATAGAAATAATCTGAAGTTTTCCTGTGAATTTTACCATAGAAATTTCTCATACTTACAAGGGACGTACCCCGAGTGCGACGCTCAGATTTTGATGAAACATGGCACAAATTTAAAATGCTTTTTTCTAAGACATATGCGAGAAACCTAGCTTGTGCTTTGCAGAAACAACCAAAATTTTTAGATCGAAAGTCGGGAAAAGTTTGACAATTTTTGCAGAACTTCGGCACAAAAAGTTTCACGCCAAATTCTACCGTCGAGGGTAATGTTTTCTCAAAAAATGACTTTTTTCCGCGCGAAACTGACAAAGATATGGCCAAAAAGTGTTTTTTATCTCCGTCCGCTCTCCGCGTTTAGCGTACTCTCTCGGCGGCAAAGATCGTTAAATATCTCGGCGGCGCTTGCAAAGCGCGAGCTAAAACTTTTAGGAATTGATACTTAGTTCATGAACGACATTTGTGCAAAATTTAAAGAAATCCTGAGCGTCGCACTTGGAGTACTTCCCTTGTAAGAAAAATCCGTTTTCAAACGCGCTCCCACTCTTTTTGTGAGGCAAAGGGCGACATTTTCAAATCTGAGTGTTTTTAGTTGGAGAGGGAGGGATTTTGCCACATTTTTAGGTACTTCTCGGATGCAAGATGGCACTTTTTTTCCACTGGATCAGGTCAGTTGCTGTATATACTAGCCTTTTTATTTGGTCAAAAAAATAATTGTTTACTCGGAAAAATCTTTGAAAAACTTTAGTCTTGTTGACCATCCACCTTTTTTCTGTTCGCTTGAGGCAGTTTGCAGAGCTTCCGTGCATTTTCGGTTTTTATCGGCGCTCTGATTGATCTTGGGGTCGTATAAATAAACAAGTGGAAGAACGGGGGAAAACATCTGGAAATTACAGGAAACAAACTTCAATTTTTTCACAGACAAGAGAATAATCTTACATTGATAAAGTTTGTTTACTCCCAAAATTAACAAATATACAATGAAAAAGGTTTTTCTCTAACCGTCTCTCTTCATTTTCCAGAGTCTTCAGGAAAATGAGGAGCATGAAAAGATCGTCGAATATCTCGAGCATACTTGAAGGCTGTGAGCCAAAATTTTCACCAATCAATTTGTGGTAAATGAAAAGCAAAATTGCCAAATTTGACAAAAATTCCAATAAAACTGACTCTACTGCGCAAGACCTTGTTTTAGATGACATAAGCTATAACAAGTTAAAAAAATCTTTAAAAAATATCTCTGCCTTTTTTCACCGCCTTTTCAACGCGTTGTAAACTGAATAACAAGTATTTTTCATAAGTTCTTTTGTGCTTTTGCCCCTTTCATATCGTATATTTCGATATTTTTTGAACATTTCATTACCTACAGCGCTGTTCAAAGTCGACTTTCGAATTTTCTATCATCACCGAAAATCTAGAGCTGTCGTGACCTTATTTCCAACATCTTTGAGATGTTTACCCTCGCTTATCCAGTCACATGTAGATATCCTCGACTTGTTTTCCCCCAAAAATCTATTTATTAGTATATTTTGAAATCGCCTGTCCCGTTTTTTTGCGTTTTTTGCAATTTGGAAATCGTCCATTCTCTTGTTTTCCGCACGTGCCTTCCTTCGAGAACACTCCCAATGGGCGGGGTGTTTACGCCGCCACGGCCGCTATAAATAAGAGGGGGATATTCTAATTTTAACTCAAAGGAAAAACAAAAGTTTTTGGCTTTGGAAACACAAGAAGTTACTGGTAAGTTGAGGTGGATTTTTGGGCTTTTGAACTTTTGAATTTTGAGGGTATCTTGGGGATTCAAAGTAGGCTTTAGATGGAAGAAAATCCGGAAAATTTGAGATGGATTACTGCACAGTAAATTTTAGAAATTATTTTAGGAAAATTGGCCAAGTTTTTGAATAAAAATGGCAATTTCTCAGCGATTGAAGCTCGGATTTACTTTGAATTTTGTACATACGTTCTGTCAGGTCCATAAATTAATCCTTAAAAATCTTAGCTCCCAATTTGCAGCCACAACCAAGGTATTCAACAACTTTGGCTGACGAGAGACTATCAAAAATGATGAGAGACAGTTAAAGAAAAAATTTTTCCCATCTTTGTCTTGAATTTTAGCGGAAAGCACTTATTTTTGTTTACAAATTATTATCTCTTTTTTATTCGTGTGAAATTTGAAAATTCTGAAAATTGAAAATGCCATTTTTTACCCAATTTTGATCAAAAAATTCGTCGTTTCTTCAAAGCACGAGCGAAAAGCTACCTTTTTTGAAACCTTTAAGTTATCGTCAAATGCCATCAGGATACGTTTTGCTAACGCGAAGTTTGCGTAGAAGCGATCAAAATATGTTTTTTCTCTGCCCGTATCTCCTCATTTTCCAAAGTCTCTCGTCTGAGAGGATTGTTGAATATATCGGCAGGAAATGCTGAGTAGAAGCTGAAATTTACAGTAAATGATGTGCGTTATAGATAGATTACACCTGTAAAATTTGAAGTAAATCCGACCATAGACTTTTGAGAAATTCGAATTTTGATTTTAGGTTTAAAAACTTGTCCGATTTTTTCTCAAAACAATTTTTCGAAAATTACAGGATCCCTCTGTAATTTTTAACTCCTCAAACTAATTTCTTTTTACTTAAAATTATATAGACATTAATTATTTTAAATATTTTCAGATTCAAAATGGAAAACGTTCAACAAATCATCAACGAAGAGCACCGCGAGCACGACCGTCGCGAGGGCATCAGAGAAAAGTTCTCCGATGGCTACGACTCGATGAAAGATACAGCTCAAGACTTGAAGGAGACCTTCATCGGAAAGCCCTCCGAGACGCCGGAAGAGGAGTTCCGCCACAAGGTGGGGCATTTCGCCGACGAAATGGCCGAATGTCTGGACGATCAGTGCACAACTGATGTGTTTGGGGCGGCCGAAGAGCCCTTCCATCATCTGAGCCATAAATAAGAGGTGCCGTCGACAAAATATCGATTTGTAAATATGTATTGTGATCTAGACTCAACATAATTAATATGCTATGTGTATAAGACAAGGTATAAAATATCGAAAATAAATGAATATCTCAATAATTTTTGAACTATAATATTAAAAGGAAGTATTGCAAAATAAAGAAGTAAAATAGGTATAGGATTTTTTTAAAGTTGTCAACAATTTTGCGCTCGAATTTAGATCAAGATAGATCATACCCAACATGGTTAACTTCCTAGAAAAACTTATTTACATAACTACAGTAGGTATTTGAATAAATTTTTGTCTTTAATTTAACATCTTGATTTATGCGCACAGCTACAGTGGGGACCTGATCAAGTGGCTCTTTTTGTGAAAGAAAGGGAGCGCCCTTCAAAACGAAGTTTTTTCACTTGGAGAGGGAAGCATTTTGCCACACTTTTGATGCTTCTCGGATCCTCTCCATTTCTCCTCTTGTCCCCAAGTTCTTGCTTCTTCATATCATCGCTTGGTCCATTATTTCATTTGGGGTTCGCCTTGTATATATTTTCATACAGATATTAAGATGGCGGTTACCTATGTTGTCTCCCGTTATTCAGATACGCTTCATATGCGTTGTTTGTTTATTATCTGCCAAATGGCGCATTTACTTTTATTTTAAATTACGTATTTCATCGGAATGGATTACAACCAGTAGTGTTGGTTCATTTCTGTCGGCTTTATGTATTTTTAAGCCTTCCAAGCCAGCTGTCATGGTCATAAATCCTCGGTTGGTCGCTTCTGGTCCAAAGATCCAGTTTTGGCAGCGTGGCCGGTTCGGTATCGCCATACTCCGACATATAACTTAGGTATTTATTACATTACCCCACAAAAGTAAAATACATAAAAGACTACAATAAGAAATATTGTTACAATTAAATAAAAGAAAATTAAACAGTGTACTCCACACGCATAGAAACATATATATTTAAATTATATCGCCACTGGCTTTCAGCGGCTACCTCGGTTATCCCGAGGGCCACTGCGTCACCTTGGCTCAAAACCAGTGTGTCGGGGTGGACTTGGTTGTTGTCCACTCTCACAACCACATGCCCTTTGAGCCGCACGTCGATGTACGACGGGGCTACATAGGTTACGGTTCCACACACCAATTTTCGTGGGGCGGAAAAGGTCACTCGCTGGACGTGGATAGTTTCCTCAATGGGAACCCCGCGACACTGCTCCTTTTTATAGAGAGTGGTCGCGGCGACCTCGTCGCCAACAGCGAGTTTGCCAACCTTGCCTGGGTTGGCCACTCTGAACAATTGCCCACAGCGACTCGACACCAGGACCCCCGTGGTCGCCGCCGCATCTCCCCTCTCTCTCGGGTCTCGATCTAGGAGTGGGCGGACCCTTACTATCAAGACCGATATTGTTGATCTACGATTACGGCTTTGAAATGCGAGTCTCTTTGCGGCGGACGTTGAAGGAATATGTTGTTGTGAATATGAGCTTGTTTGATACTTGAATGAAGCTCGTCAAACAGGCTGCCGTCTGATCTTTTGGAGGCTTTTCCGCCTTCGTTTCCTCGAAGATAGGACCCGTTGGCCTTTACGAAAAGGGGTGCAATTTCAAAACTTGCTCATTGAGCTCGGTGATAGCTTTTACGATCACCTGCTGATTCTGACCAAGCCGGCAGAAGCCGTGCTCGACTCGAGATTCCAACTGTCGGCCTCTTCTAAAAATGGACCTACATATGGCACTCTTATAGCTTGCCTCTTTCTCGGTCATGAAGGCGGGGGCAGCGTATCATCTATTACGATTTTAAATTTCGAGTTCATGTAAAATTTACGGAAAATTTTTTTGTTTGGGGATTTTTTTTTGATTTTTACGTATTAAATTCACTAAAGACAGAAAAGAATAGGCTAAGAAAATAAACCAGTGAACCTGAAAAAAACCAACAAACTCAAAAGCTCAACTATGTGCAGCAACCTACCTACTATCAAACTGGGTGTAATAAATAGTTCACTTACCTGGAGGTTCTTGAGGGTATGGTTTCGGTGAGATCTGATGGTATGGGGCCACGTTCCACGAGGTGGCGATGAGTAGATTTGACCATTCTCCTGAGCCATCCTCTTCTTTGGCCTTCCTTCTGGTGGCCAGATCGCGTTCTTGGCCTTACGGATTACGGTTCCCATTTTCCAGTCCCGTCTGGGTCATTGCCCAGAAAATTTACGTTCAATGTTTCACAGCTATCTATCTTATGGTAGACAGTCGGCTGGTATGGCCGCTCATATGCGACCATTGGGACACCCTGGCTAATAGCCAGGACTACGGCCTCTCCCACTCGGGGGAGGTGGACACTTGTGAGAAAGCTCACAAATGCCACATACCTACATAATTTTGCATTTTGGGGCCTCACCCAATTCCAAAACGCTGAAGTTTGGTTTCACAACCCAGTATTCTTTTTACCGTGGGAATTTTCCCTACCATGATCCTAACTGCCCCTTGACGTATAGCGGGATACCGCATGTCTTGTTTTACTAGGCCTACGGCCACTACCTCCCGCAGGGTGATTTCCGTCCCTAACGGGAGGAATCCCCGTCCGGTCTTACGCCCTACTATGACAAATTCATCCCAAGCTGGGATGTACGCGAGACCCATGCTTCCTTCAACTAACGCTATGTATCCTCTGATACCCGAGCGCAAAACCCGCTTTCTTCCGTAAGACCTAAAGTTATACAATGCAGGAACCTTATACTTGTAGTATATAGCCACGCTCTTCGGAAGATATGCTGTCCTCTCCATTTTCCCATATCCGATCTGCCTTCCTCTCACTTCCAGTTCCATTTGTTCTTCGTCTTGGCCACGTTGTTGGTGTTCTTGTCCATCTTGTTGGTATTCTTGGCCATCTTCTCTCTTATTCCTTCTTCAATTTGTTGTTCTGCTTCTCCTGTGGAATCTTCTTCTGATATTTCTTCTTGGCGTTGACTTCCTTGTACATTTGGGTCTCTTGCTTGTTCGGCCATCTGTTCCGGGTTCAACGAGGTTTTGAACTGACCTTCTTGGGAATCTCTGGCGGTTTCCATATGCTTTTCTTTGGCGGTCGACGTACTAGACTGTTCCTATTGAGGTGATCTGGCTTGGACGTTGCTGGAGTTGATGGTTGGCGCACAATAGATTGTTTTGCTTTTTGGCTGGTTACAGCTCAACCACACTCTTGTCGAAAAGTGAAGTGACCAAAATTGGTGCAGACGTCTCCGTCTTACTTCTAGTGGGCGGGATTATTCTAAAATTACCCTCTAATGCTGACCTCGTTTTTAGTCTGAGGTCGCGGCGGCCTTATTTATGGCCAGATTTGTTGCCATTTGTAATGCCAACAATTTACCGGCATTTTATGGTTGATCAACAGCTGTTTGTTGTCACCTATCCGGATTACACCGACCCGTACCAAAAATCGTGAACTTGTCGGGGAACTGTGCCTAAAATCTGCTACCATCCGAAATTGCTACCAGTTACAGCAAAATTGCTGCGGATGCAATCATAGGATATTAGAATAGTTTCGCTGAACACCGTTCTTTACGGGGGGTCCACTCCATCGAACCGAAAGAGTTCTCCAACTTGGAGTTCGTCCTTCGCACTGCCGTCGGCCATTGGCTCATCCCCTTCGGCTCCATCTTCTTTCTGGATGAGCTCAAGCTCCTTCTCGGCGTCCTGTATGCTTAGCGACCTAAGCTGTTCTTCCATCGCAGAAATCGCCATAGACCAGCATTCTAAGCTGCCGGCTGTAATAACGGCCTCATCTTCCCCGCTCTCTACGTGGCTGAAGAGGTTCTCGTTTGAGGACAGCTACTGTCTCGACAACGGTCGAGAGCCGCGACGTCTATCTGAAAACCCCGCTCTCTAGTCACCTACCAACCGGGCTGGGTTACCTAGAGTTGCGATGTGGAATAGACGGAACTTTGCACCGTGCAAAAATGTTTTGAAAAGGATCGTGTCGCGCGAAGAAAGCGACATGCACAGTGCAAAAGTCCATGCACTTTATGAAAATGCTAATAGTCGGCACACCCTATTTGATGCGTATATCGCCATCATAACGGCCTCAACACCTTTTAAAGTGTGGAAACTTACCATCTGTTCTCAAAAAAAGCACAATTTGTTCACAGAAAGGTTATTTTTTTTTGGATCTTCAGTAGGGTAATACAAAAATAAAAAAGATACATAACAAGCACAATAGGCTTGCAGGGGAAGGATTCCTAGTGCAGCACTCGGGCTGCAGGCGCTTTGTCGCTTGAGCTACCAGGTCGGCCTACGCTAGCATCTGGCCTTGTACCTTTAGGGTTGTCTAGGACCAACTGGTCCCAGAAATTCCATTTGAGAGTCTGCCCAAGTTTTGGGTCGCGCTTGAGCACCATTGGATAATTTGGTATTTCAGCCTTGAGGCGATTGTTGCCAGATTTGTCTAGCTGAACCGAGGCATAAGAGTTTGTAGTTCCGCACTGAGGCGATAAGACGTCGACAGAATGAGACTTAACTGTTGATCCCAAAAAAACTTTCCCTCGGGCGCTGGCTTTGCCAGCGCCAATCAACTTGTCCGCCCAGACAGTAATTCTTCCCAAACATATCTCGTCCGCTCGTATTATACTCAGCAATCATTTCGCGTCTATCGCGCGTCAAAATATCCCCACAAGTTCCCTTCCCCTCCTCGGTGCTGTTGGGTCCGCCCTGAGGCGATGTTGGCACCAGGCCCAGATCCCTCCATCATCCGAATTCCCTTCAAAACTCCTAAAATAAATCAAATAAAGTAAATAAAGATTTTTGAAGATCTTTTTAAAAAAGGCCGTTTATAGCCTTGTCGAATCCGGGATGCATCTTATTGACAAAGGAAGTACCCCAAGTGCGACACTCAGATTTTAATGAAACTTGGCACAAATTTAGAATAATCTTTTCTTAAATACCTGTGAGAATCCTAGCTCGCGCTTTGCCGGAACAACCAAGATTTTTACATCGAAATTCGGCGAAAATTTGACACTTTTTGCCGAATTTCGGCACGAAAAGTTTTATGCCTATTTCAACCATAGAGGGTAATGTTTCCACAAAAAATCATTTTTTCCGCACAAAACTGGTAAAGTTACGGCCAAAAAGTATTTTCCTCTGTGACCGCTCTCCGCGTTTAGCGTACTCCCTCGGCGATAAAGATTGTTGAACATCTCGGCATTGCCATCAAAGCGCGAGCTAAAACTTTCAGGAATTGGTATTTAGCTCATCACCGACGTGTGTTCAAAATTTAAAGAAAACCTGAGCGTCGAACCTGGGGTACTTCCCTTGTGCGTATACAATCTTTGAGATTTCTTACTAATATATTATACATATATAAAAATGTTTGCAGTACAACATAGTATTATAATTTTTAAATATATTTGTAATATATTGTAAAACAAATATTATAAAAATTAAGGCATATATCAAGAATATATGGTAAATATATATGCATATATAATTTAAAAAATAAAAAAAAAATAAAACTAAAAATATTACTTTTGAATAAAAAAAAATAAATAAAACTCCGTCGCGTTATTCATCAATGCCTTTTTGTTATAAGTGCCTCAAAAAATAACGCGAAAAAGCAGAAAGTTGCATAATTTGCTAATACGCCCCGCGTATTATAACACATACGTAATTGCGCAAAAAAAGTTTGAATGCAACGCGGTCTATGAAGTTTTGTGCCGACAATTTTATTGCGCTCTTTTTTCTTATAACGCAGAGAAAACTATAGTACAAAGACTTTTTGGTTGTCTAAATGTGCTTACACATGGCTAATAACAGAAAAATTTGCATATTTGTATGATTCTATAAAAATTTGAGATTTCTGATATTACACTAGTCACCAATAAAAAATAAAGTGAATTAGAGATGTTAGAGTGAAAGGACGGGACCTACACCGTTCGAAACATAACAGAATGAAATTTCAAAACCCCAAGTTTTGCCTTTTTTGGAGCCAAATTGCGCCCGTAACGGGCCGAATACTCTGATATTACACTAGGCACCAATAAAAAATAAAGTGAATTAGAGATGTTAGAGTGAAAGGACGGGACCTACACCGTTCGAAACATAACAGAATGAAATTTCAGAACCCCAAGTTTCGCCTTTTTTGGAACCAAAGCCTGCGTCTCGACACGAAAAGACGAACGATTCCTTGTTATTGGCATTCTGTCTTCGGCCGTTTTTTGAAGCCGTTTCGGCTGCGCTTTGATGATACTGCATTGTACTGTGAGAAAAGAAAAAATACGATTGGAAAATGATACTATATACTCTTTACTATACAATCACATGCGTTTTTTGTATTTGGATCTCGGGACTCTGCTTTGAGGTCCATGTCCTGTTGGAGCTGGTGGAGGAGGTGGAGGTGGTGGTGGAGGAGGTGGTGGAGGCGGCGCAGCGCCAGGACGGGGCACTCTGAACATGAGCTCCAGCTTATGAGCGATCTCGGCCATGCTGTAGCGATCATTCGGGCTTTCGGCCCAGGTCCTCTTCGTTATGAGCTCGGCCAGATCGGGTGGGGTGTCGGCGGGCATGAACATCCGGTAGCCCTCCTTGACCTAAAGAAAAAAGATCAGCATACCAGAAGCAAGGTTGAAATGAAGTAAATAAATATTTTTGATCAGAACACCAAAAACGAGGCTAAACCTTACAAACGTAGCGTAAAATGGCGATAAATCACTTTAACATTAAAAATGGTAAAAACTTACTTTCTGGAAGGTTTCGGCTGGACTCAGACCAGGATAGGGTTCTTGGCCGTTGGAGAAGATCTCCCAACACAAGATTCCAAAGGCCCAGACATCAGTTTTCTGGGTGTAAATGAAGGTCTGAAGGGTCTCTGGAGCCAGCCTTAAAGTATGTTAATTTTTAAATCACTCTGAAACTCTCTTTATACCTTCCATTTTTCATCAAACCTCATCTACAAACATATATTTCCCCATAATTTTCCTACATTATACTGGACACCTACCATCTAATCGGAACTCTTCGATGTGGATCCATTTGATATACCGTCCCCTCTACACTCAGTCCAAAATCGCTAATCTTGACTTGACCATCTCCATACAAACAATTTCTAGCGGCAATATCACAATGAATCACATTCTTGACATGCAGATATTCGATGCCAAATGAGGCTTGAACACACATGATCGCCTTCCGGGCCGGGGGTTGTTCCCCTTTCTGGAGATACGAGTCCAATGCTCCGCAGTCGACCAGCTCCATCAGCACCATCAGCGGCTCTTGGCCTGCGGCGACTCCGTAAAACTTGACGATATTTATATGATCAAAGTTTCGCATGAGTCGAGCCTAAAATAGGATGACGTTAGAGGTCACAAAAAGTAATGAAAATTAAGGTCGTTTTCTACTTGGAGACCCCAATTCACATCAAAATGTTTTCATTTCTTACCTCTTGCATGATCTCCTTGATCTGCTCCTTGGTCAGGTTGTCCAATTTGGCCAATTTAACGGCCACATTGGCTATACCCCCTCCTTTCAGCTTCAGCGTGCCTTTACGGACCTCTCCAAAGGCGCCTTCTCCCAACTTCTTTGTTAAAGTAATGTCACTATGACTCAGTTCCCAGGCCTGTCGACCGATCGGAGTTCTCAAAGTAACCTCCGGGATGCTCTTGGAGATGGACTCGACCCTGTGCACGTGATATTCGACCATTGCCTTGATGCTGTCAAAGCCATATTTCTCGATTGTCCAACGGTTGCTCGAGTTCTGGATGACGTAATGTTTGATCTGGAAGTCGAAGGGAGAGGTAGGCAACGATTATGTCACAAGTTGGTCTAGTTAATCGGAGGACTTACACCACTCTCCTCTTTGTCCTGATAGACCATAACCGAGAGGATGTAGGAGCGAACTCCGTCTTTGGCATTGGGCTCAGAAGTTCGTATGAGAAAGTCGCCATTGTTGTGCAACATCATCCGAATGTCTTCTCGGGGCAAAAGGCCTAAAAATATTATAAAAGGTCGTTTGGGATTTATAGGGACAGAAGTAACTGACAAGGCGTTAGGGTTGGACTTACCGTGATAGTACGGCTCATTCACGATTGATGGATCATAAGGACCACGTTGATGCGCCATGACAGAGCCTCCCGGAAAAACCGGTTGTGGTCCGACCATTTTCGACATGGCCAGAGCTATGGAATGGATTTGAAAAAAAGGAAGGAAGAAAACGAAAGCTCGGAATTTGCATAATTTGAGGACAAAATTTGAGAAAAATTATTTATTCAGATTTTTTTAATTGAAATTTCAAGATGACTCAATTTATGAGCTTTCCTCGAAAAGGGTAAATTGTAGAGTAGACTCTGTGATTTTACAGGTAGTTCACAAGAGAGCCGCCGAGATTTGATTTCTTTTTTTAATTTTTATCCATCACCATCAAGAATTTTGACATCCAAGTCAAAGAAATTATCGATTTCGAATGCTTTGATAAATCAGGATGATGGTGAATCCCCGACACCGCAATTGCAGATTTTATATATATAGGCGTGTCTATCATTTTGAAATGGAGTGTATTTTAATAAAATTCGCGAAAAAATATCTACGCACTTTATGACATCACATTTGTTTTTCGAACAGCACATTTTCGGTCTGTTGGGAAAATAATGAGCACAATTTCGCTGCCCCAATCACATCGCTGAAGTGAAAAGCAATTTGATTTTTTCGCCACACAATTCATTTTCCCGACGGCGATGCGATCTTCGCCACGACAGAGTGCTCATTATTCTCCCGACAGACTGATAGCAAGCTTCCGTTCTTTACGTTCCGTATAACGTTTCAGACTCTTCTGATCGCCGATAGCATTTGGTTTTGTGTGGAGCTGTACAGAATGGCCAATAAGACGATGGATGGAGAATACTACACACTTTTCGGCTGGACCTTAAAGTTCGTCGAAGAAATGGGCGTCTTTTTTATTGTCTTTGCCTGCTTTGGGGCCCTCTACGTTCTGCTCAACATTTACTTCACCTACATCGCGTTCAAGGCCTACCGTTACCTGGTTAATGTCCTCAACACTCAGGCCCATCACATCGACGCGGTGATGGTGTCCACGCATCAGACGGCATATCCTCCGGCTTCGGCGAATCCGGGCTTCAGCCCGTACCCGCACGCGGCTCCGGCCGACTCGTTCAGCTCGCCTGCCGGAGTGCCGGGCCGCGGATTCCAGGTTCCTCCGTCGGTTTATCCGGATATAAAGTCTGACAATGCCAAATAACATATGTAAATGTTGGCTGGTGGTGTTGACCAAGTGCTCGAAATATTCTATAATAAAGGTTTCTATTCTCTCTACCATTGCCAAGCGTGAGCTAATACTTTCAGGAGTTGTTACTCAGTTCATGCCCGACGTGTCTAAAAAAATTAGAGAAAGTCTGAGCGTCGCGCTTGTGGTAGACTTGGATGCGGGCTCGGCCGGGCCGAAGCAAAATTGAAACGGGCCGGGCCGGCCCGAGAGCCATGTCTAGCTTGGGGTACTTAATTTTTTCTAGTGTGAATTGACGAGACTATACCGCTCAAAACATCGCAGAATGAAATTTCAAACCCGCAAGTTTCGCCTTTTTTGGAGCCAAATTGCGCCCGTACCAGGCCAAACACTGTGATATTACACTAGGCACCAATAAAAAATAAAGTGAATTAGAGATGTCAGAGTGAATATACATGACCTATACCAAAAACTTCTACTTCTAATGTTGTACACATCATATGTATAATATATGCGTGATTTTTTATTTTGATGATTAGAAATTTGATGTTTTTTCTTCGAGTGTACAACTTTTTATCCCAGTCGGAGCTCCGCCGTGTCTTCGTCGAGCGCCTTCGGAGAACCTGCACCGACCTTACTCCAGGATCCTAAAACAATATTTGTTGGCCTGAAGCTTCGTTGACCTGAGTTGTTGTTGACCCGAACAATCGCGTTCTAAACTGTCGCTGGTTGAAAATGTCGAGACGCAAAGCTTTCAGAGATTGTAGACTATTTGGAGAGTGTTTGCAAAGCCTAGGGAAGTTCTGTTTGTTAGCCTTGTCTAAGTCGCTCCATCAAGACCTACTGCAATATAGCAAAATGTTTTATGTCAAAAAATTGTTATCTCGTTGAAAATTTGATGTTCAATATGTGAAGTTTGGACTATATTTTGACCATCATGTCTCCGTTTCGCCTTTTTTCCTCGCAAAAGACGTGATCCATTTTGCTATTTTCTCTTTGTAAATAGACCCCCACTGGGCTGAAAGACCCTTTAATGGCTGAAAAAACCAAAATTCTTTTATCTTTCCCTCAAAATTTCACTCTTTTCGTCAAGAATTTGAATAACAAAACTTATTTTTGAAATCTTTGTTTTCGATAAAAACTAGTTTGAATCGGATTTTACTCGTTTTCGAGTGGAAATGTTGTCGGTAATGACGTTCAATACGTGGAGAATGGGGGATTTTGTGGAGAATGGGCGGCAAAAGGTTGCACATCAGATTCGACGGGCCGATGCGGATATTGTGGGAGTTATTGTGAGTTTATTTTTGTGTTAATTTGCATAAAATTTGAATGAGTTAAAAATTTGCTTAAACTAAAATTTTATTTTTTTACTAGAAAAATATTTGGATTGAATGAAATTGGAAAATTTTGCAAAAATTTGCATAAATAAAAAATTTGCATAAATTTTTTTACAACAAAAAATCTCACATTTCGCATTGATTTTGTCATTTTCCAATAATTTTCACAATTTTCAAATCTTATAAGCCACAAAAAAATCAAAAAAATTTGCAAAAAATCAGAATATTTTATGGGATATCCTTATGACGCGCCCTCTGCTGACAAGAAAAGACATCCTTGGCAGCGAGGCATTCAATGTCGGGAGCGGTGAAAGTATAGGTGCACATTTCGAATTGGTCGTTCTTGTAGCAGTTCTGAAGACATTTGTAGAGCACCTCTTTGTCACCGTTGTGTTTCTCTTGACACAATTTGCAAATCCTTTCGCGGAGGGCGAAATGAGCGGGGTAGTTTTGGAGGAGGTCCTGGAAAAAATGTGTAACAAATAGAAAGAGTTATTGTAAGAAGAAAAGTGATAAGAAATTTCTAACGTCCGACTAGTGAGACTATCTGATTTAATCATTATTTGGGGCCAAGGTAGTACAAATCCCCAGTCCAATTTCAGCCCCCCATGACCCAGTATAAACCCCCTCATCCCATCTGAACCGCCTACTCGGGATTGGGTTCTCTCGGCTACGATCATCGTCGCCTGAACCACAACCAGCGGGGCTCATTTTACTCTAATTTGTATTTTTTGTATTATTCTAATTTTTTCATTATGGGGGGCGTGAAATGGGCAAAACAGTGGGGGTTTGAACTACCTCTCGTGGGGGGCTGAACCACCAAAACCCCCATTATTCTGTCCTCTCTAAAAAGGGAAGTAGCCCGAGTACGAGGCTCAGATTTTCCTTAAATTTTGCTCATATCTCATGCATTGGTCACGTATTAATCTCTGAATTTCTCAGCTTGCGCTTTGCTGGCGCAGCCGAGATACTCAACGAACTTTGTGGCCGAGAGAGTACGAGAAATGCAGAGAGTGGCCACAGAGGCCACTTTTTTGCCATATTTTTGATTTTGCCGGACGTGCGTACAAATTACAAAAAAAAATTTTTTTTTGAACAGAAAACAGATGAAGGAGAATAGAGATTTAAAAATTACCTCACAGTCCTTGAAATAATGAACGGTGCAAGAACATAAAGTTATAAGAAAAGAGAATAGTAAAACAGCGAATTTATCCATCATGAAAGACAAATAGCCTTTCTGTTCCAATTTAAAATTTCATTTTGTAATCGAAATTTAATTTATAGCTACTGATAGGCTTTTAAGAATATAAATTAAAATTAATTAGAAGAAATCATGCATGATTTTAACCAAAATTTTAATTAGAATTTTTGGGCGTTACATTAGCCATAAGAATTTTGCTTTCAGGAGTCCATGAGTCAAGATCAGGTCGATAAAGTCGACGAATTACTCAAAGGAACCTACAAATTTTCCTATCAATATTGCGCATCAGTTGCGGTAAAATCAAAACATAAGGCAAGACTTTTATGATCTGCCCTAAACACAGTAGAACTTGTTAGATCTTATACTCATCAAAAATCTCGAACAGTTGCCAACGTGTTGTGGTGAGATTGGACACGGGAATTATCGTCAAAATATACGCCGTCTACATGCCATCCGAGAATTATGGGCCGTATTTGCTGGAGAAACATCCGAATATCCCCTTTATTATATTGGACTTGAATGAAATGAGTAAGCGTAGAGTTTTATGAGTTGAATAGAGATTTTCAGCCCGAAGACTGGAGATGGGAAGGATAGCGACGTGCGAGGAAATGAAGGACGACTTGAAAAATGCGGAAAAATGCCCTGTTTTCGTTTTTGGAGACTTCAACAGCCCATCGGATATGGATTATAAAGGGTAAAGGAATGAAAGAAGTGTTGCTCGGGTTTTGATAAACCTTGACAAGTTTAGAATAAGATTTTCTAAGCCTTATGCGAGATTTCTAGCTCACGCTTGACAAAAAACCGAGATTTTTAGGTCAAAAGTTGGAAAGAATCAAAATTTTTTTTGCAAATTTGGGCATGAAAAATTTTATGCTTATTTCTACTGCAGAAGGTATTTTTTCCACAAAAAATTAATTTTCTCCGCACAAAACTGGGAAAGATATAGCCAAAAAGTGTTTTCCTCTCTGACCGCTCTCCGCGTTTCGCGTAGTCTCTCGGTCCCGTAGATCGTTGAAAATCTCGGCTGCCCTTGCAAAGCACGTGCGAAAATTTTTAGGTATTGATACGTGGCCTATGACAGAAATGTCTGCAAATTTTTTAACTAAAATCTGAGCGTTGATCCAGGGGTACGGTACTTCCCTTGTTAGTTTGACATGAGAAAGTTTACTTCGTCTCAAATTGACCCTTGGAACCACCGAAATTCCTATTTTTTGACATTGTTGAATAACACAAAACATCTTTTCCGAAATGAATAGACCTTCCTGCAAAAAGGTTTTTTAACGATTTCCTCTGAAATTTAAAGTGTAAAATCAACATTACCACCGTCGTATTTTAAAAACCACTCAATTCCTTAATTTTTAGCCAACTCCGTCCCTACGAGTGGCCTACCACAAAGATCCTAAGAGCTCACGGTGGCTTCACGGACTCGTTTCGTGAAGCTAACCCTTGCCCAGCCCAATACCCCGGCCATTCTTGGGCGACCATCTACAAAAACATCCATGAGAATGGAACGCCAGGGCGTGAGCCTCAGGATCGTATTGACTTCATTTTTTACAAAGCCGGAACTACTTGTAGATGCGTTCAAAGCGAACTTTTTGTTGACGAGTACGTTGAGAAACCGAACATTGTTGAGTACAACGTATGGCCATCAGACCATTTTGCTGTAATTAGTCGATTTAACATGGATGTTGGGAAAGCGACAACGTCATCGGTTAGGCAAAGTTTAGTGGATGGACATAGTTGTTTGAGGTGTGGACAAAGATAGGATTGAGTGAATATAACATTAGTTGGAGGCCTCTTTTTACATATAGGAAATGTTCAAAGTGCAAGGCTCAGATTTTATGAAACTTGGCACAAATTAAGAATATTTTTTTCCAAGACCTATACCAGATTTCTAGCTCGAATTTTGCAGAAACGACGGAGATTTTTATCCCGAAATTTGGCAAAATTGTAACACCCATTTTTGCGAATTTTGGCACAAAAAAAATCATGCCTTTTTCTACCGTAGCGGATAATGTTTCTATACAAAAAATTAATTTTGTCCGCGCGAAACTGACAAATATATAGCTAAAAAGTGGTTTCCTTTGACCGCTCTCCGCTTCTCTCGTACTCTCTTGTCAAAAAAGATCGCTTAATATCTTGACGGCGCCGGCAAAGCGCGAGCTAAAACTTTCAGGAATAGATATTTGGTCTATGTCCAAAATGTATGCAAAATTTAAAGGAAATCCGAGGGTTGCACTTGGGGCCCTTTCCATGTATAATATATTCTTATAACCAATTTATAATACATTCCAGTGCATTATTATAATAACTATAATAACTTATTTATTCGAATGTACAAATCTCCCTTTAAATCAGCTGATAATAAAGATTTATCAATGTCAACGCCGGCACGACCACCCCCAGCTTCTTCGCGTCCGCCGAGTCCGTGGTGATGTGGATTCGATCGTAATACATGCTCATTATGTCCAATACAACTCCGTTCGACCAACCAAAACCGGTCTGAACCTTGTACTCGCCTCCGTGGCCGGGCTCGGGGACATCTCCGATTACGTTGTACTAAAAATTCAGTGTCATGAAAGATTTTTTGATTTTACAAAGAGAGACCGTAAAACTTACCTTTTCAAACATAGCTTTCGACTTTTTATAGACCTTGTAGTTGCCCATCAGCCATCTGGATGCGATCTCGTAGGCTTTGTCCTGCATGATTGGATCGGTAGACTTCCGGAGACCTTCTATGACCATGTGATTCAGAGGGCTCCATCCATTCGGGAAGTCCCATTGCTGACCGGTCAAATTGTTGATGCTAGTGGGAATGCCTCCGGGGAAATCGAAGAACTTGGCTTCCTAAGAGAGAAAGAAGAAATTAGAAAAGTAAATACGACCTCTACAGTAAGCATAGGTGTGAAAATTTTCATGCCACAGTTTGCAAAGAACTCTCGTGTTTTTTGCCAAATGTCAATTTAAAAACCTCGGTTGTTTCTACAAGGCGCTTATATAGGAATCTCGCATACAGCGACAGACCTGATCCAGTGGCAAGAAAATACCATTTTGCATCCGGGAAGTATCAATAAATGTGACAAAATGCCTCCCTCTCCATCGAAAAAAAATCCGGCTTTGAAGGAGTTTTTGAAGCCCTTACAAAAAGAGCGGGCGTGCTTTTGAAATCAGATTTTTTTTCACTTGGAGAAGGACGTTTTTTGCAACATTTTTGATGCGAAATGATACGTTTTTTGCCACTGGATCAGGTCCGCCACTGTACGTCTTTGAAAACATTTTTTTTAAATTTGCTTCAAGTTTGGACAAAATCTGAGCGTTGCACTTGGAGCACTTCCTTCATAGGCCAAAACGAAAAAAAGTAATTTTATCGAAAAAAATCTATACAGTGTGGACCTATGTATAAAAAACTTTTATAGCAAAAAATTTCGTGGGTCCCACGGGTTCATTTTAGGTCAAAATAAAAATTCATGAAACAAAGACTTTCTGTAACAAATATCAGCTTGTCGGGAAAATAATAAGCACTCTGTCGCGTCAAAAATCGCATTGCCGCTGAGAAAATTAATTTTGTGGCGGCAAAATCAAATTGCTTTTCACTTCAGCGACGCGATGGGGGCAGCGACAGTGTGCTCATAATTTTCCCGACAGACTGATATTTGTCACAGAAGAGCTTCGTTTCATGGGGGCTCATTTTGGCCTAGAATGGACCCGTGGGGCCCACGAAATTTTTTGCTATGAAAGTTTGTTGTACATAGGTCCCACTGTATAGATTTTTTTCGATAAAATGCCCTGTAAATTTTTTGGTCACGATTATTTGTGCTTTCACTATAAAACAACCAAAAATAAACTTACTCCAAGTTTCTTGAAGAGCCTCACACTTTTGCTCTCGTCCAAGCGATTGTAGCACCCGGTGAACAATGGGACCGCAATCGACGGGAACACATCCAAATTATGTTTCTCCGTCCTCGTGTTATAGTCATACCACGCTCCTTCGGTCTCGTTGTAGAAGATTTTCTCAAAGGTTTTTCGGAAGTCCTCGAACTTCTTCTGATACTTGTCCGCCTTCTCCGGTTTGTCCGCAATCTCGAACAAATACCCGAGAATATCCGTGTTGTAGCAGAGAAAGGCGTTCAAGTCAACTGGGGCGATGAGCTGAGTCTCCATTGTATGCAGGTTGACGCCGTCCTCGAACCAGCGCGAGGAAAAGTCCCAGCCGGATTCGGCCGCACTGGCCGCGGCTTGGAAATAAAATTGCGATTCTTCGGTCTGAAAAAAAATAGTTTTTTTTTAAGATATCATAGAGCTGTAGGTAAAATACGACAGGAAAAACTGTGATAATAATTGAAAATTTTTGAAGAAATGGAATATCGCAAGTACAGTAACACCTCTGTACAACGAATTCCAAGTGACCAAAAATTTAGTCATCGTGTTTTGCCCTCTACTAATTAACCATGTAATTAATTTGTAAACCAAAAAATCGTAAAACTCTTTTGGGCATGTTTCAAAAAAATTTTGGAAATTCAAAAAATCTCATTTTTAAAGCAATGAAAAAAAAATTTGGAATTTTTGGCCTTTTTAACCCTACTTTTTTAACAAGGAAAGTACTTCTATGGGGTGTGGAGTTACAGGTCGAGATATACATCAAAAAATTCGCAAAAATTTTCTGATTCAGAATATATATAAATTAGCTGCCTAATTTTGGTCTGATGACATGTTTTTGTCCTCAGAAGTTTTCTCGCGACACCATGCAAGTGTCCTTTTGGCCGCGTTTTTACCAATAAAAAAATTTTATTTTGTGCTAAAATAAATTCTGAGGCCTTGACAAGCCTTAAAATATCAAATTGGATTACAACTACACCTTAAAAGTAGTTTCAATGTAAAAAATGGGTTCTAGTGTGGCAAAAAGAATCGAACCCTTCACCCTCGGATTTCCCATCTAGCGCTCTAACCACTCGGCCACACCGCTCTCTTCCAAAGGAAGAGACCGAGCGCGCTTTTGTTGCCGCAGATTTTTTCCTCGAGAAATACATTTATTGATAAAACTCGTTGATAGACCAAAATTAGGCAGCTAATTTTTATATATTCTGAATCAGAAAATTTTTGCGAATTTTTTGATATATATCTCGACCTGTAACTCCACACCCCATAGAAGTACTTTCCTTGTAAAATACGTCTCCGCCTCTATACATTTGTGTTTAATTTTTTTCTGCACAGTGCAACAATTTTTTCTATTTCACTGTGCAGCCCTCAAAAATTTGAAATTTTGCGCACAGTGCAAAAAATTTTGTGGTAAACTGCACAGTGTGGCCGTCAAAAAATCAAGTTTTTTCGCACAATCCCAAAATTTGGAAATTCAAAAAATCTCATTTTCAAAAAAAAGTTAAAATAAATAATTTTTTACATTAAATTTTTTTTTTAAATACGAAACCTTCTTTTTTAACAATTTTCGAATTTCCCCTACCGTCATATTGTATTTCTGCGCCACCTCCAGATCAGCCGAAAATGACTCTGGCCTTGGGACGTTCGTTGGGACATCGTAAAAGAAGGTCTGCACCTTCTCCGTGCCCAAATCAATCTCCTTCATTCGGTTGTTGCACCAGAAAATGTACTCCTTTTCCAGAGTGGCCAAATGTTTTTTGACGAAATCCACATCTCCAGTTGATTGATAGTACTGATAGACGGAGGGAATCAGGGTTGGAGGCTGGGAACGGCGTGTGTAGTAAATTCGGCCACCATTCGGGACAAATCCGAATCTTAAAAAAAAATTAACGAGGGAATGGTCTGAACTTCCCCCAGCGTTTGGGAAAATGACTAGTACAGGCGGATAGAGCAGGTCAACTTTGGTAAAAAGAGCCATTTTCCAGCTGCGGAATAAGCCCGGCCGACGAGAAAAATCGACCGAAAGTTCCACAAAAATTTCCTCTTTCTCTTCCCTCGGAAAAGAAGAGCGGTGTCCAGTGGTTCGGTTAGCCGAGTGGATAAAGCATCCGCTCGATATCCTTTTGGGGGTTGGTTCGATTCCGGGGTCTCGCGAAGGACCGTGATAGGGCTTTGATGAGCAAGATCAAACTCTGACCACAAAAAAAAAATATTTTGTCTTTTTCAAAGTCAAGTCTATCACAAAACAAGTATAACGTCTACGTTCCATCGCTTTGAAGGTTCGGAAGCACCGAAAAAATTCATTTTTTGACGATTATTGTTCTGGTATAATTCACGTATACTAGGCGGGCCAAAAAGTCTTGACATGTCTGCACAGTGCGCCGTCGTGCATGAAATTTGTCGCGCGGCGACAAGAAAAAATTACGGTGCAATGCGACACCGCACAGTGCAAAAAGATTGTTTTGAAAAGGGTAAACAACGCACAGTGCGTTCTTCATTCGCACCCCGCCAAAGGTTTTATCGCGCGACACCTCGTCGCGAGGAATCCTTCGATTGCGACCCCGCTCGATTGCGACCTCGCATCGATTGCGACCCCGCATCGATTGCGACCCAAAATGGGGTAAAGCGACCCCGGGATGAAAATTCTTTGATTCTCTTCGGGAAAAGCTTGCTTTAGGGGTTTTCGAGGGTGCTGATTTCGAAAATAATGTTCATTTTTCCTTTAGTACTACATAGTACTGTCTGATACTATATAGTACGAAGTGAAAATATCGCTTTTGACGTTAAATACTCGATTTAGGGGTTTTCGAGGGTGCTGATTTCGAAAATGATGTTCATTTTTCCTCTAGTACTACATAGTACTGTCTGATACTATATAGTACGAAGTCAAAATATAGCTTTTGACGTTAATGGTGTTGGTTTGATGCTTAGTACTCTTCAAAAACACGTTTTAAAGACTTGGTGCTATATAGTACTGTCTGATACTATATAGTACGAAGTCAAAATATGGCTTTTGACGTTAATGGTGTTGGTTTGATGCTTAGTACTCTTCAAAAACACGTTTTAAAGACTTGGTGCTATATAGTACTGTCTGATACTATATAGTACGAAGTCAAAATATCGCTTTTAACGTTAATGGTGTTGTTTTGATGCTTAGTACTCTTCAAAAACACGTTTTAAAGACTTGGTGCTATATAGTACTATCTGATACTATGTAGTACGAGGTGATACTATATAGTATCAGACAGTACTATGTAATACTAGAGGAAAAATGAACATGATTTTCGAAATCAGCACCCTCGAAAACCCCTAAAGCAAGTTTTTCCCGAAGAGAATCAAAGAATTTTCATCCCGGGGTCGCTTTACCCCATTTTGGGTCGCAATCGTTGCGGGGTCGCAATCGATGCTGGGTCGCAATCGATGCGGGGTCGCAATCGATGGAATTCTCGTCGCGACACTGGATTCATGCGCCCGCACGGTGCGAAAACATGTCAAGACTTTTTGGCCCGCCTAGTAAAACGTATAAAAATGGCAAAATATTTTTTGGGTTGTTAGAGTCCCAAAAAATATTTCTGTGCAGTCCTCAAAATTTTAAATTTTTTTTTGCACAGTGCAAAAATTTTAATCTACTGCACAGTGCAGCCGGCTTTTCAAAAAAAGCCTTTTCACTTTGCACCGTGCAAAAAAAGCGACAACAATTTGCACTGCGCGGCTTTATGATTGTCGCTTTTCTTCACTGTGCTTTTTTGACACTTCCGCACTGTGCAATTTTTACGAGAAATAGTTCAGTGCACCGTGCAGTTTGAATTTTAGGCTAAAAATTTAACTGCACAGTGCAGTTGGAATTTTAGGCCCAAAAATTGACTGCACTGTGCAAAAATTTTTTTTTTCAAATTTTCCAAAATTTACATATTTTTTAAAATTTTTAGCCCTCTAAACTTACTCATTAACCATATCGAGCAGATTTTCCAGCATATACTTGCTTGTTTTGTCCATCCCAGATACCAACAATCCCTTGATGATCCAATAAGTGTCCCAATAATAGAACTCTCGGAATCTCCCGCCCGGAATGATAAACGGATTCTTCACAAACAACAACGAATGTTTGTCCTTTTCCGAAAACAAATTCTGCTTCACTTTTCTGCACAGCGTTTTCCAAATCCCGTGCAGATTCAGCGCCCATTCCCTGAGGCTATCGTCCTGGATTCCGATGATTTTCTCGGGCTTCTCCACCCAATCCTCCGGCTCACAAACGTCCAACTCGCTTTCGGGGGGATTGAAAAATTTGATGATAAAGTTGTTTAGTTTGGTGCGGTCGATTTTTGGGATGATCGGATTTGGGCCGAAAATTTTTTTGAATTCTGCGTTGATTTCCGCTGAAAAAATTAAAAAAATTTTGGAAAGCAAAGTGAAATTTGATGGAACTTTTGAGTTAATTGGGTCAAAAATAGCCTAAAAAAGGAAGTTTCAGTCTGTCGGGAAAATAATGAGCACAGTCTCGCTGCGCCGATATATTCTAAAAAAATCTTTTTTTTATTTTTGTGATGAAAAAATCAAATTTTTTATGAAACGATGAGAAAAATTTAATAACTAGACAAGTAGTGTCAAAATAAAAATTTGTGGCCTTTATTGTTTCCAACTTACCTGGCTCCGCCAAAAGCACACTGTCCACGAAGTCTTTAGAGTCATTGTAGATTTTGTGGTAATTCACGGCTTCCAGAATTGGCCCTTTGCAATAGACTTCGCTAAAAGACAAAAAATAGGAAATACAAATATTAAAAATCGGGAAAAAAATTTTTTGGGCCATATCTTTGCCACGCAAAAAAATTTTTTTTGTTAAAATTTTTAATGACGAAATTCAAAAAAGAATGAATTTTTGCAAATTTTCGACTAAAAAATCTCGATTGTTTCTGCAAAGCGCTTGCAAAAAATCTCGCATATATCTTCGGAAAATTTTGGCTTACAAGGGAAGTACCCCAAGTGCGACGCTCAGATTTTCTTAAAATTTTGCACACACGTCGGGCATGGACTATATATCAATTCCTGAAAGTTTTAGCTCGCGCTTTGCGGGCGCCGCTGAGATATCGAACGATTCTTGCCGCCGAGAGAGCACGCTAAACGTGGAGAGCGGTCAGAGAGAAAAGCGACTTTTGGCCATAACTTTGGCAGTTTCGTGCGGAAAATTTTGATTTTTTGTAGAAACACGAACTTTTACGGTAGAAATAGGCATGAAACTTTTCGTGTCGAAATTCCGCAAAAAGTCCTAAATTTTCGCCGATTTTCGATCTAAAAATCTCGATTGTTTCTGCAAAGCGCGAGCTAGGATTTTCGCATATATTTTAGAAAAAATTATTCTAAATTTGTGCCAAGTTCCATCAAAATCTGAGCGTCGCACTTGGGGTACGTCCCCTGTTAATTTGAGCCAGGTTTTATAAAAAAATCAGCGTCATACTTGGAGTAATGACCGGCTACGTTAAAGGGTTATTTTAATCATATGGACAGTCAAGTTTCCCAAAAAATCTCACCTATTTTTGAACGTGTCCAAACACATTTCCTTTTCCAGTCCATCCTCTCCAAAAGTGGGTTTATCATACCAGTAAAACTGCATATATCCATCATTCTTTTCTTGAAAAATTTGATTCACAGGATGACCAGAGGCGCCCAAAATAAATGCCAAAATTGTAATCCGTCGAAGTAGCATTGTGAAGGCCCAAATTCTGAAAAAAGAATCAAAAATTTTTCCAAAAAGTTTCGATTTAATTTGAAAAGTTCGAAAAAATCGTTATTTGTTTATATTTTCGGAACATTTGTAAACGGAAAGCGTCGTAAAAAGGGCTTATCATAAAAAAATAAAACTGAAGTTTAACCTCGTACGAATACAGTAAGAAAAAGAGGGTTCAGGAGAGGGCACAGTAAAAATTTGGTATAGCAAAACCTGTCTATAACAAACGAAATGGTTTTTGAGAGCTCTGAAAAAATCTATAGGAAACATTTTTGAGGCACCTTGATAGAGCCTAAAAAATTTAATTTTATCAAAAAAATCGATACAGCGGAATCGATGTACAACAAACTCCTATCAGTCTGTCTACAAAATAATGAGCACTCTGTCGCATCAAAAATCGCATCGCCGCCGAGAAAATGAATCGTGTCGCGGAAAAAAACAAATTTTTTTACTTCAGCCGGCATCTCCTCTAAAGGCCCCATACACGGTCCGGATAACGTATTTTACTAACATTTACACCATCACACTGTCGGGAAAATAATGAGCACACTGTCGCATCTAAAATCGTCGATTAATAAATTGTGTCGCGGCAAAATCAAATTTCTTTTCACTTCAGCGACGCGACTGTAGCAGCAAAATCGCGCTCATTATTTTCCCGACAGACTGACAGAACAAAAAAAATTGTGGGTCTCACGGGTCCATTTTAAGCCCAAAATTGACCCCCGTACAATGAAACCCTTCTATAACAAACACATTTTTGGGTTCATTTAAAATTTGTTGTATAGAAGTTGCACTAAAAATGAAAAATATTTTTGGAAAAGAATTTATTATATAGAGTAAGAAAATGATGCCAAAATATAATCCGTTTGTGTGCGAGGAATGTTATCAGCCTCTTTTTTTGTCTTACGAAAGAAAATTATCAGTTCGAGAGAACAAAAAAAAGGATTCGTGAACGGAGTGCTGATATGGTCGAAGTAATGTCCAGAAAGTGCAAGGTAGTCGGAAAAATAATGGGCACGATGTCCCTGCGACAATCGCGTCGCTGAAACGGAAAGAAATTTGATTTTGCCGCGACAAAATTCATTTTCTTGGCAGTGATGCGATTTTCGATGCGACAGAGTGCTCATTATTTTCCTGACAAGCTGATATTTCTTATCAAGGCCTTCGTTTCATGAGGGCTCATTTTGGCCTGGAATGGACCCGCGGGACCTACGATATTTTTTGCTCTAAAAGTTTGTTGCTTTTAGAGGTTACATTGTATCGATTTTTTAATAAAATTACGTGTTTTTGGCTCTATCAAGTAAAAAAGTGATTTAAAAATCTTTTTTCTATAGATTATAAGCATTCTAAATCAACGGCAATGCACAATACAGTCCTAGACAGTAACAGCAAAGACTCCAAACGTATTCAAATTAAATCTTTGATCGGTTAAGAAGCAAAATAACTGACAATAAAATCATTTTAAATTAAAACAAGAAACAGCCAAGTCTCTAGAAGAAATCTCGACTTGGATGAGACGTTCCAAACAAACCGCTTTAAAAAATATTTTAAAAAATTGTTTCGAATTCCTTCAGGCGCTAAAAGGACAGCAGCCGATCCCGTTTAATCACTGTTCTTTTCTATTCAATTTATCGACTCGCGATTTCGCAGACAAAATGGGCATGGTCGACTTTATTCCACCACTGTTTGAATCATAAATGTAATTTTGTTCAAACACAAAGGTCATTGTGAATTGGTGATTCAAAACATGACACACCTCTTTGGCTACCGTCGTTCTTTTGATTATTTACATAAAACACAATGTTGTCCAAAACAGTCTAAACTCTAAAAAGTGAAGGGTTTCGGAAAGTACTCTATGCTTTAATTGGGATGAATTTTACAACATAAAAATAAAAATTCTGTCGGAAAAATAAATGAGCACCTTGTTGTTGCGGCTACCGTGTCGCTGAAGTAAAAAATAGCCTGATTTTGCCGCGACACAATTTATTTCTCGACAATTTTAAATGCGACATTGTGCTCATTATTTTCCGGACAGACTGATAATTGAAATGGTAGTAAAATACGCCGTTAGAAAATACTTGGAAATGTCCTAATCCTTAGAAAAATGTCGGCAAAAAAAAATAGGTAATTTGACGGGTTTTTTTCAATCTGATGTCAACATCATATTGCCGTCGTTTCCGTCATTTTGGCTAGATCGAAAATTCTGATATATGTAGTTTTCAAACGCGAACTATTATGAATACTTTTTATATTAATCGTAACTAGTTTTACTGCTTATTTCATCGGTCGGTTTGATAACAAGAGACCATTTATAGTTCATAAAAATTTTTAATTCCTACAGTTTTTGAGTAAAAACCAACAAAAATTTTCCGAAAAATTTTAATTTGACAATCACAACCAATAGCTTGACATGACGAAAATGGCGGCAATTTGACAACAACGCCTCGATTTGACAACTTAACAACCCTATTAGATGACATATACCTTTCGCAATTTTTCGCTGACCATTCAATTTACACTGCTAGTTTGTAGTATCAACCATTCCGGACAAAATTTTTTTCTTTACCACAATGTGTAGCCGACTCAACTCCGAAAAGCTGCTTTAAGAGTTTATTTGATACTTCGCCATTGGGAGGTCGATAAGCCTCAATAAGAGGATTGGCGATGACAATGCTGATAACATCTTCACTTACCATCCTTGTGGGTGCGTGCTCGATTACTTAATCCGCCTATTTTTACATACCGGAACTGGCGATAACAGAGTCCGATTGACATAGAATATCAATTAGGATCGCTTTTTTGCCGTGAAGATAAAAAAGCAGCGTATTATTGGTGATATTTTGGTAATTTTGCGGAAATAGGCAAAGATAAGCAAAACATTTTATAATCGAGGAATTTGAAAAATGTGGTGTTTATATTGCAAAGTTAACAATCAATATCGAAGCCTACGACTATATACTACAGAAAGTTACGATATTTTGGCCGTTTTCATCTAAACAGCGGACACTATCATCAAATTATATTATTTATGACATCAAAAAGTTCAAACCAAAAATTTTGATAAACCTCAAAAAATGTTGTGGAGGACGATAAATAATGACGCCAAAAATGGTATCAAAAACATTTTCTGGCTCTTTCCAAACATTATTTCTTACTGTAGCACCCCTAATCTACTGTAGTTTCGATTTTGTCCTATCTATATATTATACGATCCCCTCGAAGAAGCCGATTAACTAGAGACGCCACACCTTAGCTTTCACGAGAAGAGCAACTGACAAGTTCTCCAGCCTTTTACAATCTTAAGCTTCAAATTAATTTTGATGTTCCGGGCAGTTTGAGAAGTTCTTGGTCTTATCAATTGTTCGCTATTCTCGGGTTGATAAAATCACTCAAACAACGTGTTTTACATGCAAATGGTGTTACTGACCATGTTCTCTTCGAAAACTAATTAGACCTGTTTATCAGTGCAATTGGTTAGGTGTGGTGCGAAGGTCGGGATATTGTACATGATGAATATGACGGATGTAATTCAAAGATCATTCTGAAATATGAAAACCTGCCCTATTTGCACAAATATATCTTTTATTTTCAATGCTAGGCGAATTCGCGACAATTACAAGTCAATTTCATCGAACAATGTCACGCCACCTGAATCCCAACACGAAAACAATGAATGCCAACTTCCCTTGGCATTCCGTTTATTCGTCGGCTTTTCACGTTTTTTCGTGGGCTTGAGTAAGATCAATTTTATTGCGAGTGATACGCTTGTCCTTGGGCTATTTTTACGCACGAATAGCCGTAATAATTTGGATGTTGTTTTAGGTACCTAAAAATGGTGCGGACTCGGCGAGGGAACGGCACGTCGTTAGGTGGGACAACAGAGTCTCCAGTTGTGGCAAATGGAACAGAAACCCCTAAAGAAACGATGAAAAGCTTGTTGAAACCACAGTTGAAGTAAGGAGAGTTTGAGTATTGTTTTTGGATTTTAGGATTTGATTCTGAGAGTTCCTCTATGTCGAACTTGTTTGGTTTAGAATAAGGGTAAAAACAGGTTTTATTGGAAGGCAGTTGGCAGAAAAGTCAAGAAATGAATGAAGCTAAATTTCTGAAAACTTACAGTTATTCTCAAGGCGGATTTCGTCGAATTGCATTGAAATTGAAGAAGGTGTCTTCTTTATACCTAAATTATTATAAATTTCTGCGAAATTACATAAGAATACGCCTAAAGCTTGTTTCAAATATGTATTACAACCTATTGTTGCTGCTACACGCTATTTTCTGGCAATAGAGATTTCTTTTAAAAAGAATGTGGACTTTTATCTTTTATATTATCCATGCCAAAATTCTTCGAGTTTGATAACTAACTTGATTTGTTTTCAGAGCGCAAGCAGCCCACAGCCCTAATGAGTCAACTGAGGAACCTAAAACCCCGAAAAAGAACACTAATAATAATGGGACGCCTGTAAAGTCATTCGCCTTCCTTCTACAACAAGGAATCTTGTCAAATGATGTGGAGAAAGTGGGAAGTGCGATAAAGGCTTGCGGGAAGGACAGAGCGTCAGCTCATCAAACAGCTGAAGATCTGGATTCGACAAAAGTGATCCCTCTGCTTCAAATGATGGACCGAGTTTTCCGAGAAGGCCAAAAGAAAAGAAGTAACTCGTTGTACCTCAGAGACCTTAAATATTGGATTGATTTTCTGGAAGTGACACTTCAGGCACATGCGACTTTCCTCTCGACAGTAAGTTTTTTTACATTCTTTGGTTTTTCGAGATTTAGGATATTACACTTGACATCTGATGCGGATTGCTGATTTTCGGGCTAAAATCATGTCCGAGACATCAGCATTTCGTCAAAAATTGAAGAATTAGAGCGTAATCTCTTTTATTGCAGGTTTCAAACTTGGATCAGCAGATTGGAAGTCTCATCGAATACGTCGAAGCTCGGACAGCTAATCTCGAGAAATTGATGAAACTTGACGGTAAAATCACTTTCTTCTGTGAGCAAGTGCAGCGACGATTAAATCCTGTGAAGTATGTGGAACAAGAACCTCAAGTCATCTTTGAAGGTAAGATTTTTTGAGATCTCTGATATTATCCATGACGAAAAAAGCTCGATTTTTTTGTTTTCATCTATCACATATCTTACTCTATTTCCTTTCAGATGATCTCTCGGACTCGGATATCGACCCTACCAAGGAGCACTCGGCGGAAATTGACGCGGATTCTGATGCCGAAGCTGACTGGTTCGGAGATACCGCTGACAAAGAGTTAGAAGAGGACTTACTTGGGGACGATGATGACGAATAAGCCTCAAAATCTATTGTTAACAAACCTTGTTTCAATTTCTTGTTGATTTTTTTTCATTTGTTGGATAAAGTTTCAAACTTTTTGGTATTAGAGGTCATGTGTAATATAAAAAGTTGCTCGAATTTTGGCCAAATGAGTTCTAGATTATTTAGGGCCGAGGTGGGGATGAAAATGGCTCTTGCACCTTGTTTTTGATTCAAAAACATTGTTAAAAATTTTGACATTAGCTACCATGTGTAATATAAAAAATGGTCGTAATTTTTGAGGTACACTCCATTTCAAAATGATAGACACGCCTATAAAATCTGCAATTGCGGTGTCGGGGTTTAGTTGACGGATACGAAACCTTAACAGATTGAAAGAGGAGGTTTGAAAACCTATACCAACAAATCATTTTTCTTATTGCACTGCAATTGCACTTTGCACAAAAGATTTTCCAAATTTTGGGTGTTTCAAAATGATAGACACGGCTGCTATTTTTGCTAAAAACTTGGGAATATGGGCCCCATAGGGCCTGAAATTATTAGTATGACTGTATTGCAACTGTCTGGACTTTATTGAGTTCAAAACGCCCGAATTTTTGTGCAACTTTCTCGGAATTGCACATATACTTCCATTTTGTGCAATCTGACCTGCATCTTTCAGAAGTCCACTTTCTATGGGCAGAGACAGTGCAGATGCGACCTATCGTATGTAATGGACTAGATCCAGTCAGTTTTCACTGGTATGCAACAAAAAAATGCGTGGAAATTGCAACGAAAACTGATTTCGCAACGATAGTCGTCACTTTTAAAGCTTCTCAAGCGGTTGCCTGTTGTTTGCACAACCCAAAAAGCCCTGAACTATCTTGACAAACCACAGAAAAACGTTATTGCATAAGCCTTATGTCCAGGTTCCGTCGGGCCAACGCCAGAAAAGGTCAAGTTTCCAAAACGCCGTTTTTGACCCATTTTTAAGCCTATTCCGCATAGATTGGCCAAAGAATGGTTCTCTGCGGACTCGCTGAAGCAAAGCTGCAAATGCTACTGACCTAAACGTTTTTATAAGACCCTAAACATTCCAGCCATGAAGTTTTTCTTCGCATCTAGCTTGTTTCGAAACGTAGGGTAGCCTTCAAAGCTAACCATGTCGCAGCGGAATCAGTTTTTGTTGCAATTTATACGCATTTTTTTGTTGCATACCAGTGAAAACTGACTGGATCTAGTCCATGACACACGATAGGTCGCATCTGCACTGTCTGTGCCCATAGAAAGTGGACTTCTGAAAGATGCAGGTCAGATTGCACAAAATGGAAGTATATGTGCAATTCCGAGAAAATTGCACAAAAATTCGGGCGTTTTGAACTCAATAAAGTCCAGACAGTTGCAATACAGTCATACTAACAATTTCAGGCCCTATGGGGCCCACATTCCCAAGTTTTTAGCAAAAATAGCAGCCGTGTCTATCATTTTGAAACACCCAAAATTTGGAAAATCTTTCGTCCAAAGTGCAATTGCAGTTCAATAAGAAAAATGATTTGTTGGTATAGGTTTTCAAACCTCCTCTTTCAATCTGTTAAGGTTTCGTATCCGTCAACTAAACCCCGACACCGCAATTGCAGATTTTATAGGCGTGTCTATCATTTTGAAATGGAGTGTATTGCTTTCAAAGGATCCGTATGCTTTGAGAGACTCAAAATAACGATTAAAAAAACTATTAAGACATCAAAATCTGTGTAAAAATCAACGTCTGTCATCAAATATCAAGTATAACAAAAAAATTGTTTATATTCCCTGTAGTTTCAAGTTTTTTCCGGTCGTTTCTTTTTCGAATCGTCGGAGTAGTCTTTATATTCAGATCCCACCATATCGCTTCGTTCATCATTTTTCTTCAGATCTTTCGACTCCTTTGACAAACTTTTCTTCTTTTTCGAATGCCTAGGCCGCGCCTCTTCCTTGGATCGTGGACGGCCTTTGCTCCTTCTTCGACTCACTCCGCCAATGTAATGGTCTCGTTTTAGGAGGTCTTGACGGGAAGTCTGAAATAGAAAAAATCTAAAATTTGTCTGCACAGTGCAAATTTTTGAGTGTAAAATTTTTTTGGGGGTTTTTTCGAAAATTTTCCTTTCCTGCACAGTGTAGTGGGTTTTTGGATTAAAAAGTGCCTCAGAGTTGGATGAGTTGTATGAAAATTGGCATCATTGATGACAAAGGGTCTACAAGTTATTTCAAAAAAAAAAATTATACAGCGTTATGCGGAAATTGCAAAAATATGGGTCCTTTAATTTTTAAATTTATTTTTGAACATTTTCCAGTCATAAGTCGGCAAAAAAAATTCTTTTCACAGACTATTTTTTCAAACGTCCGTAGACTTCTAATGATCTCTAAGCTCATTGACTACAGTGGCGGACTTGATCCAGTGGCAAAAATGTATCATTTTGCATCCGGGAAGTATCAAAAAATGTGGCAAAATACCTCCCTCTCCAAGTGAAAAAACTCCGATTTCGAAAGCGCACTCGTTCTTTTTGTGAGGGCCCTTCAAAACGAAGTTTTTTTAGTTGGAGAGGGAGGCATTTTGCTGCATTTTTTGATACTTCCCGGATGGAAAATGGTACGTTTTTTGCCACTGGATCAGGTCCGCCACTGTAGTCAATGTGCTTAGAGATCATTAGAAGTCTATGGACATTTGAAAAAATAGTCTATGAAAAGAAAATTTTGGCGACTTATGACTGAAAAATATTCAAAAATAGATTTTAAAATTAAAGGGCTCACATTTTTGCAGTTCCCGCATAACGCTGTATAATTTTGTTTTACATGACTCTTAGACCCTTTGTCATCAATGATGCCAAGTTTCATGCAACTTATCCAACCCTGAGGCAATTTTTAGTCCAAAAACACACTGCACTGTGCAGAAAATGAAAATTTTTGCACAGTGCAATCCAAGCCCATTTTTTCGAAAATGATGGCTTACATAGAAAATGCAGAGTCTCTTGACTCCCTTGATTTTATTCACAGCCAGATCATCGATCTGTGGGAACTCAGCCATGTGTTCTTCTAGGTAGGCCAACAACAATGGGACAATTTCAGTGAACATTGTGCGTTTTTCCGGTTCGACTTGCCTGGAAATGGCATTTTATTACTCCTCGAGCCTTTTTATAACAAACAAAGCCTTTCAAAGCCCCAAAATCATCCGAAAAATCATCAAAATCAAAGAAATTTTCTATATTGCACTTGATTTCGCTCATTTTTTGAAATTTCCCCCCGAAAAATCGCGAAATCTCACCAAATCTCCTCCCGAACCAGTGTCCTGATTAATTCTGGTGCTGTGTGCGGGAATTTGGGCATCTCTCCAAAATGAATTTTCTTGGCAACCTTCTTGAAATCATCTTCGTCATCAAAAACCACCTTTCCTTTGTTGAAAATCTCATAAAGAAGTACTCCATAGGACCAAACATCACTATTCAGAAGGTACACCGGGCTTTTCGAGAGTGTTTCCGGGGCCATCCATTTCAATGGGACATTCGAGATTTTCTTTTCGTCCTTTTTACCCTCCATGTCATCGACCAGCTGGCTTAGGCCAAAATCGGAGATTTTGAGTTGACCTCTGAAAAAACGGAAGTGAAAATTGAAATTACTGCAAAAATTAGACCTGATAAATTATGGCTGATGTCTTCAAAAAATCAAGAAAAAAAATATTTTTTGAATTTCTCAAAATTTGATTTTTTTTTTTTTTTTTTGAATTTTTTCAACATCTCAGATTTTTTTCAAAATTTGCATGCCTCCTCTAAATATCCCCCAAAGTAATCCCTGAAAATATTAGCTCTATCTTTGCTCTCGCAGCTGAGATATTCAAGGATCTTTTTTCGAGAGAGCACGCGAAATGAGGAGAGTCGGTTAGACAGTGACCGTTTTTGAGCTATATCTTTGCGGATTTCGCTGGGGAAAAATTGATTTTTTCTACAAGCGTTAAACACCCCACTTGTAATAGAGGCTGAAATTTTCAAACCTAAAATCCAAAAAAAAAAAAAATAATTTTTTTGCTTTGAATTATTTTCTCCAAATTCTCTTACTTTGAGGAGATCAAGCAATTTCTCGCAGCCAAATCTCTGTGAAGGCATTTCTGAGTGTGCAGATACCTCATTCCTTTCGCTGTTTCGAATGCGTACAGGACCAATTCAACTTGGGAAATCTCAATTTTATCATTCTTGAGGTGACTCTCCAAGCTCCCTCCAGGGCAATATTCCAGGATGATTCTGATTGGAGGATGATCACAGGCGACTCCGAGGAACTGAAAATAAAAAATTAGCCTCGTAGAACTTCGGAAGACAAATTTTTTGTGATCATCGTTTTCTCCGCTGGCAATCATTGGAGACGAGAGACTATGAAAAATGAAGAGACGTTCAGAGAAAAAATGAGTTTTGGCGGTTTTTTTCGAAGTTTCGAGGCAAAAAAATTAAAAAAAAATGTTTTCAAAATGAAAGAAAAATGATTTTTTTTTCAAATTTCCCTCCAATTTTTCTAACTAACCTCAATAATATTCTCATGCCGATATTTGGACATGATCTTGGCCTCATACAACATGCTGTGCCAAGCCTCCCTGACTTCTTGTAATTTCGCGTCCATTGGATCCGTTGTTCCGTGACACACCTTGATCGCGACAATTTTTTTGACCCCATCCATGGTCATTGTGCCTTTGAAGACTTCACAGAAGTTCCCACTGCCCAGACGATCTTGGTCCTTGTAATCGGTGGAGCTGTGGCGAATCAGCCATTTTGGGCTGAAAAAAAATTGAAAATTGCAAAATTATGAACAAATCTACAGGCTAGTTTCATAATAAAGTATTTGCGAAAATTTTAGGCGATTTTTTCTTGCGAAGACCAACGAGATTTTTTGCTCGAAACATTGAAAAAATAAAAAGTTTTTTTGATTGGATTGAAAATTTCGACTAGGATTGAAAATTTCATACTCTGCTATTTCAGGAGTGTACAGTGTTTCTACAAAAAATCAAATTTTTCCCAGCGGAACCCACAAAGATATGACCAAAAAAAATATTTTTCTCCGACCGGCTCTCCTCATTTTACGTGCTCTCTCCAAAAAAGATCATTGAATATCTCGCCAGCGGGTGGAAGGAGAGCGATAAAACTTTCAGGCATTCATTTATGGCCCATTTCGAGTCAGCATGCCAAATTTCAAGAAAATCCGAAATCATCGCCTCAGGCATTTTTCCAATTTTTAACCAAATTTCGACCAAAAAATCGCCCCTTTTGCCCTGCAAATCGCAAAAACTCACCGTGGAACTCCAAAGACCAGTCGTTGGCCGGAAGGAAGGGGGTATTGAGCGTAATGATTTATCAATAAAGCCACCGAATCGAAGGCCATCCGCTTGTCATTATTTCTCTCCGTATCCAGACAATATTTGTTGTTGACCACGCAAAGCCAGTGCTGAACCAGCTCCTTTTTTGTTTTCACGTGCAAGAAGATCCGAAAAACCCCATCGGCGAGGGTGGCGCGGACAATAAAATCGCCCGAATGGCGGAGTTCGGAACTGAAAAAAATTGGTTTTTTCAATAGTTTTTTGGGCATTTGTTGGCTCAGGGTTTGGTAAAAATTGGTAAAAATTAAGAGTTAGAGTTTTCCAACATAAATTTGAAATTTTTAGCTCACATTTGGACAAAAATTAAAAAAAAATTTTTTAGTAAAAAATTTCAAAACTCGTATTTTTTATTTTTCAGAGTATTAGAAATGGGGAATATAATATTTCTACAAAAAATCAAAATTTTCCCAGCAAAATCAGCGAAGATATCGCCAAAAAATTATTTTTTTTTTGTCTAACCTCCTCATTTTGCATACTCTCTCAGAAAAAAGACCGTTGAATATCTCAGCAGTGGGTATAAAATGAGCAATAAAATTTTCTAGGACTAATTTTTGGGCCATTTAGAGGTCTCCTGCAAAATTTAATCAATTTTAAAAAATTTAATTGTACCCTAAAATTTTTTTTTTGAAATTCAAAAAATCGTTGCAGATTAATTTTTTGGCCCTAAAAACCTAAAAAGAAACTGAAGAAAACGTACATGACCTCTTCGGTCTCCCTAATTCCATGGTAGTATAGCTGCGCCTCCAGTCGAGCTTGTTCATTTGCCCCTTTTTCTTTTTCTTTCTCAGCATCGGTCATTTCTCCAAAAAAGTCGACCGTTCACTAGGGTTACAGAAATTGGACTGAAGCGTCATTTTTGAACCGAAAAATGACCAATTAAAAAAAAATAAAAAAATGAAAAAAAATTTTTTTTTTCATTTTTTCTCAAAATTTTCATTTACACTTTTCCGGTTGCTACACATAATTTTGATGACTACAAACCTCATTTTCGTATCTTGCACGGTCCTTCAGAGTCTAGGTAACTGATTTTTTTTAATTAACAGATTTTGTAACATCGTATTTTACATAAAAATAAAAAAAAATCGAAATTGGTTTTTAGTGTTATCCATACTGTTTTGTGCCAAACCCAAGCAATTGGGTTCGGAAAACGAAAGACAGCGAAAACGTCCGATCAGACGGAGAAATCTCGATTCTCCAAATTCTGATGAAAGAGAAATCCAATTGGAATATCGTGGCTCCGAACACACTGATGATTTTGGTTTTCCAAGTGCCCTGGAACGGTCGGCGTAAGTTGGGTTGCAAAGTCATTTGTTAGCCAAGAATTTTTTTTTATTTTGCTCTGTGCGATATTTTTATTTTTGCACTGTGCGATTTTTTTATTGTTTTTTTTTTTGCACAGTGCAATCCTTTTTATTATGCACCGTGCGATTTTTTATTTTTCGCACTGTGCAATTTTTATTTTTTTTTTGCACAGTGCGATATTTGGCGCTACGACATTTCGGGTCAGGGACAACTCGGGTCAACGACAACTCGGGTCAACGACGTTTCGGGTCAACGACACCTCGGGTCAACGACACTTCGGGTCAACGACATTTCGGGGCAAAGATGCCGTTTAATATTTTCGCTTCGGGACTTGGAAAAAAGAATTTTTTGAAGAATTTGAACAAAATTTTTAAATGTTTTCGCTTTGGAACTTGGGAAAAAGAATTTTTTTGAGAGTTTGAACAAATTTTTGAAATGTTTTCGCTTCGGGACTGGGGAAAAAGAATTTTTTGGAGAATTGAGGTTTATTTTTTAAATTTTTTAGGGAAATAGTGCATAAGCGACGAGCAAATAAGAAAATCGTATCCATTGTTTATGTTTTTAACTGGAAGCACGGGATTTAAACGCAGACAGTGCCAGAGAGTGGAGTAAGAAGATAGTCGTAATGATTGTATGCTCATAACGATTTTTTTTATTTGCTCGTTGCTTATAAACACCATTTTCCCAAAAAAATTTTAAAATAATAAACCTCAATTACCCCTAAAATAACTATTTATCTAAAGAATTAAAGAAATAACATTCGTACTTTATGAAAAATAAAATTGTAACATTCAGAACAAAAAATCCTTTCCCACGTCCCGAAGCGAAAACATTTCAAAAATTTGTTCAAACTCTCCAAAAAAATTTTTTTTTAAGTCCCGAGGCGAAAACATTTCAAAAATTTCTCAAATTCACCAAAAAATTCATTTTTCCCAGTCCCGAAGCGAAAATATTAAACGGCATCGTTGACCCCAAATGTCGTTGACCCGAAGTGTCGTTGACCCGAGTTGTCCCTGACCCGAAATGTCGGGACGCGCGATATTTTTATTTTTGCACTGTGCGGTTTTTTTATTTTTTTTTTGCACAGTGCAATCCTTTTTAATATTATGCACCGTGCGATTTTTTTTTGCACAGTGCAGTATTTTCTCTTTTTCTGCACAGTGCAATTTTTTCGATTTCGCACTGTGCGATTAAAAAAAAATTTTGTGCGTTTCGCACCGTGCAGAAGACTTCAAATGCTGGCTCGCACAGTGCAAAATTTCACCAATTTCACTTCCTATTTTCAGAAACAGAACTCCAAATAATGTACCCGACCTAAAGACAGCCGAACCAGGTGATCCATCGACCCAAGAGGCCCGCTCTAACACTGGCACACCAACTCTGACAACCGGCAGAGAAGGAGAAGATACGCATCCGCAGAAGAAAGGATGGGCCTGGTTTAAGAAAAGCTGCCACAAAAAGACCACTGGAAAGCCGGGATCCAAAGAGGATGTTCATACCGGATTGGAACTGTAAATACGAAATTTTTTATTAGAAAAAATGAGATTTTTTGAAAATTTTTGCATTTAAAAATTTTTTATCAATTTTTGATGAATAATTTTTGCAGCTCCGGCACTGACCCACATCCGGGTACTAAAAAGAAGCTTCAGAAAACACCCCGTCCATTGAAAGAGCCCGGCCGATCCAAGGAAGCCATACGAAATCGGTTGACTTTAAAGACACCCACTAATACGAGTGGTGAAAAAATATCGAAACGGAAGAAATCCCATGATAAGAGCAACGATGACACCAACTCTGTAAGTTTTGAACACCAAAACGACTAATAAATGGGGAGATTTGACATAAATTATATTGTACATGACAAAAATATTGACTTTATTAGATTCCAAGCACAAATTGTTTGAATATTCATATCCGGTGATCTAATTGGACTGTATTAATATTTTTTACGCATTGTGGATTAAATAACCATCTATTTTTAGGACTGCTCATCACACCACTCATCGGAACACACCCAGTCCCATGATCTAGTCGATAAACGTAATGGATAAGCCAAAATTTTTGAATAAACTTTCTTTCCACTTCTTATTTTGACGTAACACTCGATTATAATCCGCTTCGGAAAGTCTTTGTTGTTGTTTTATCGTATCTTACATACGCAGTCCGCGACGTGTCGGGCGCAGCTCGCCGACTCTAATTACATGAGTCTGCTTTTTTTCTTTCCCCCTTCTCGCGAATGTCTGTCCATCTCACTGCAACCGGACTCGCGAGAGGTCAGCCGAAAATAGTCGGGATATAAACGAATGCCTCAGACACGATCGATTTTTACATTGTACTTCACATCCGTTTTTATGGGAGATTTTGCGCGTTTTTAGTGGTTTTATCGATTTGTTTTCGGTGGTGGAGGCTTTTAGAAGGTGTATTTCGCTTTCGTCTCGTTGAAGAGAAAGTTTTGCGGGAGAGGGGATAGAGCTTTCATCGATTTTTGCAGAAATTTTTGAGGTGTCCAATAGCTAATCTAAAATAATGTTTTCTGTCAAAATAACGGGAGTTTCCTCCGCAGAGATGTGACTCATGCAACAACTGAAGGTGCGATGTGTATTTCTGTTGCCAATTCAGTTTCTTTTCTAGCGTTTCCTGTGCATTTTTTGAGATTTTCGGGTTTACGTCTAGTGTAATATAAATTTGATCAATTCCTGAACTTTTTGACGTTGTCTAATTTTAGAGCTTTACCGATTTGAGTTCCAAACTTCAGGCTAAGGATGTCGAACCGTGGTGGAGCTGTGAAAGTGAAGCGTGAAGAACGAGGCGGAGGTGGACGTCGAGACGACCGTAAAGACGATCGGTATGTTTGTTTCGTTTTGGTTTCCTGACTTTTAGGTGGATTTACATATGAGTTGTGGCTCGTAAAGGGTGTTTAAAGAACTCAGAGTTAGCGACTTGACTTTCACCAATTCTAAACCAGTTTTATGGAGTTTTGACGATAATGAAATCTTCTCCATGATAGCTAATTTGAAAAATTTGGAATGTTTCTCTGTATACCATTAATTTTTTAACAGCGATTTTAGTAGCTGTTGGACGCTGTTTTAGCATGCATTACAACATCATAGTCTTTTATTTGGTTTTGTGACTTATATTATCCTTGAAAAGTTATAGACGTTTTGGGTCATAATGAAAATAACTCTTGTTGAGAGCTCAGAGAAAGGCAACTTGGGCTTTCAGACAACGTCAAAAAGTTTACTTATCAATGTTTTTTGGGGAATGAGACCGTATTTTAGGTTGATCCTTTAAACATACTCTTATCCTTTACATCTTCCTGTAGTTTGCGTTTAACGGTCTTACGAGGTATTAAATAGTGCTGTGAACTGTTGCAATTATATTTCTAAGTCTATCTTGTTAACATACAGCGAAAATTATATGAACTATGATCTGGCAATACCTAAAGTTAGTTCGACCTTTGATGGGTGTAACGTTTTGCGTATCAAGCCGTGCCAAGAGCTTACAGATCGGTATTATTGCTCCTTTCCATATTATAACATTTTTACAACTCTTCAACATTTTCAAGTTTTTGATTTATCATTTTTCAAGACCTGCATTGATCGTAAATCCCCGTTTCTAACCCCGGTTTCAGGCCTCCAAATCAATCCAAACCCCGTCCGAAGAACGACGATCGTCCGCGCGGAGGCGTTCCTCAGGGGGACTTCCGAATGCCGGACAAGAATGCGCAGAGTTTTACTCTTGAAATACCGCGAAAGAAATTCACCGGCAGATGCCGGCTCTTTGTCGGCAACCTGCCGAATGACTTGAAGGAGGAGGAGTTGAAGAAGATGTTCGTCGACTTTGGAGAGATCAACGAATGCTATCTCAGTGGAAAAGGATTCGCTTTTCTCAGATTGGTCAGCTATTTTTTATGGATTAATTGTAATGAGTATTCGGGCTGAGTGGGGGAAATTTGGGGACTTATTCGGGCAAAGATGGGAAATGGAAGGACTTTATGGGGAAAGTGGTCAATTCTGGGGAAAAGTGGGCTTCATGGAAATTCGACGGAGTGGAATTTGACAGAGTTAAACTCGACAGAAGGAAACTCGACGGTATGGAAATTGGACGGGGGGAACTCAACAGATTTTTTTCACTGCAAAATACTAATTCTCTAATAAGAGAAAATTCAGTAGTAACATTTCGTACCATTGCAATGAAAAAGAATTCGACAGAGTATAGAAATAGGAAAGTCGACGGGTTGTTTTTCATTGCAACGGTACGAAATGTCACTACTGAATTTTCTCTTCTCAGAGAATTCGTATTTTGGCCTCGTGGAAACTCGACAGGGGGGAAATTGGACAGAGAGAAACTCGACAGAGGAAAATTGGGCAGAGTATGGAAATTGGACAGGAGGAAATTGAACAGAGGGAAACCCGACAGATTTTTTTCATTGCGATCGTATCACCATTACATTTTTTATCAACTAATTCGTACGATTGCAGTGAAAAGATTCTGTCGAGTTTCCCTCCGTCCAGTTTCTCCTTGCCCAATTTCCATATTCTGCCCAATTTCCTTCTGTCGAGTTTCACTCTGTTCACTTTCACTCTGTCGAGTTTCCATGAAGCCAATATTTTGCGGTGGAAAAATCTGTCGAGTTCCCCTGTCGAATTTCTATACTGTCGAATTTCCATCTGTCAAGTTTTACTCTCTCAAATTTCACTCTGTCGAGTTTCCATGAAGTCGAAAGGGAAACCTTTATATCCATTATTTTGGCTCTTTATTGTTTGTATAGGTATTGAAGATTTTTTCTTCGACTCTTCAAATTTTATTTTTGGGGTTCTTATAGAACTTTTTCATAATTATTTATAAGAACTCTTCTACTTTTTGCGGCGCGCGATGACTTTTGTAACACACCTTTGTTATGACGACTGAGGATCAGATCAATGGCAAGTGGGGGCTGAAAGTGGAGCTTCGGTTTCGCCTATGGACTAAATACCACTGCAATTTTGGCTCCGGCCTCACGTATTCGGGCGTAAAAGGGGTTGTGGACTTTGTGAACTTTGTGTGCTAATTCGGAAGCAATGGATCCGAAGTGGAGTAAAGGTGTTAACTGACTAACGTTACTGGACTATTTACTACAAAGCGACCGAAGCTCCGGACGAACGATAAATGAATGGAATGAAGCTGAAGTATCGACACGATCGCGGCTCGCAGAGTATTTATCATGGGGGTAGAAACGGGACCTGAATGTTTTTGGGGTTTTCTGGGGGTTATAAAACTTTGGATAAATATGATTCGGGTTGATCAGAAATTGGATTCAAATGCATCCCGAATGCAATAAAATTCATTTCTTTGTATCCCTTCTCTGACTGAAAATACAATGACGGAATTGGTCCAGTGGCAAAAAACGTACAATTTTGCATCCGCGAAGTATCAAAAAATGTAGCAAAATGCCTCCCTCTCCAAGTGAAAAAACTTCGTTTTGAAGGACGCGCCCTTTCCCTCACATAAAAACAGACACGCTTTTGAAATATAGGAGTTTTTTTCACTTGGAGAGGGAGGCATTTTGCTAAGTTTTTTGATACTTCCCGGATGCAAAATTGTACGTTTTTTGCCACTGGATCAGGTCCCTCACTGTAGCTTTCAGTCAGAGAAGGGATGCAAAAGAATGGATTTTATTGCATTCGGGATGCATTTGGATCCTTTTGGCTGGATTATCCTTCCCCGAGTTTAGGGTGTTATTTGAATAGAAGGGGAAGGGAAAAGATGGGCGCCTGTGGGTTATATACAGTGGCAGACCTGATCCATTGGCAAAAACGTACCATTTTGGATCCGAGAAGTATGAAAAATGCGGCAAAATACCTCCCTCTCCAAGTGAAAAAACTCCGATTTCAAAAGCGCGCCTGCTCTTTTTGTGAGGGAAAGGGCGCTTTTCAAAACGGAGTTTTTTAATTGTAGTGGGAGGTATTTTGCCACATTTTTGATACTTCCCGGATGCAAAATTATACGTTTTTTGCCATTGGATCTGGTCCCTTACTGTAGGTGAATAGTTACTTGAGATATGAATTCTGGGGTTTTTGATATTACACTTGGAATGTAAGATGAATTTTGGGGATTTTTGCCAACTTTATGGACTCTATTCCGACTATAATTGGACGTTAGCCTGCCTTCTTTGACAAACTTTGTGTACAGTTATTATTATTGCCATTTCAGGACACTCGCGCCCATGCCGAAGCGGCCAAGGAAACCCTCGACGGGAAGACGGTCAAAGGCCGCCAACTTCGCGTCCGTTTCGCCGTCCACGGCGCTGCCCTCAGGGTGAAGGAGCTGTCGGCATGTGTGTCAAATGAAATGTTGTACCATACGTTCTCGGTGTTTGGCGAAGTTGAACGAGCCATTCATATCGTGGATGAGCGCGGAAAACCGACCGGAGAAGGAATCATTGAATTCGAAAGAAAGTCATCGGCCCAAGAAGCCTTGAAGAACATTGAAGAGAGGGTTTTCATCATGTCTGCGTAAGTTTTTGAGGTGGTTTTGGGAGAATGGTGCCTTGTTTTAGGTAAAAATTGAAGATTTTTTGTGGAATTTTGGTTTTTGAGGAATCAATTGGACCTTATTTTAGACAATTTTGATTTTTTTTGAGGTTTTTATATTTTTTTAGATTTTTTGAGTAATACATTGATTTTTTTAGCCAATCCCATCCGCTCCGCGCTGAAATGTTGGAGCCGAAGGACGACGAAGATGGTCTGGCCGAGCGAATGATCCAGCGAACTCCTCAAACTGTGAAAGAAAGAGAAGTGGCCCCTCATTTCGCCGACCTCAAATCATTCGAATTCGTTTACGGCCAACGCTGGAAGGAGCTGTATCGTCAGGAGAATGAACGCCGCGCCCAGTTGGAAGAGGAATTGAAAGCAAAACGACGTCAGTTGGAAGCGGATTTGGAAATTGAATACGAAGATTATCGCGCTCAGATGATCCGCGAAGACTTGGAACGCCAGAAGCGAGAGTTGGAACGCTTGGAGGCACTGAAGAGAGAAAGAGTCAGAGCCTTCCCTCAGGGACCTCCGAGATTCCCAGGCGACGATGGCCCCCATGGCCGCCCACCACCGACTTATGGCCGCGATCCGGGCCGCGGAGGCCCGGATTTGGATGTAAATAAGATCCTGAACAGCTTCAGAGGAGGCCCCGATATGGGACCACCAATGGGATTCGATCCACACGCCATGGGCGTACAAAGGAGCCTTCAAAAGGTAGGATTTGGAAAGTTAGAGCTGTTTATATTGTAGTAGGTAGAAGTGGTGAGATATTTGGAAAGAAGGAATTTGAAGTGTCGGAAAGGTACTTTGAAAGTTATTTTTAGCAGTTTGAAGACAAAATATTCAAAAAATTTTATGGAAATTTGAATTTTTGATGTTATACTTGCCGTTTGTTGACCTTGGTCCCCCTGTTGATTTTTTAAAATTTTTAGAATTGGTGAGATATTGGGGAAAAAGGGATTTGCCACGTTAGAAAGGTACTTTGGAGTTACTGTTTGCAGTTTGAAGACAAAATATTCAAAAAGTTTTTATGAAAATTTGAATTTTTGATGTTATACTTGCTGTTTGTTGACCTTGGTCCCCCCTGTCGATTAAAAAATTTTTTTTTGAAAGTTTTTGTTTTTAAATTTGCGAAGGAGGTCTATAAAGGCTTGAGCAATATTCTAATAATTATTATTTCAGAGTCTTGGCCTCGGTGAACCCCTAGGACCCCCTCCAATGGGCCCTCCTCCAGGTGGCCCCGGCCCTTACGGAGCGCCTCCTCGCGGCTTCTTCAATGGCCCACCCGGATTCCCCCCTGGAATGGCCCCACCAGGAGGCCCAGTCCCACTCAGCAGTCTCGGCGGCCACGACTACAGACCTGATATTAAGCGGCAACGGCGTTAAATTATATTACACTTGGTTCAGTTTATTCCCACACATTATTTATGCTAATCTGGATGTTCCACTGAGAAATCTCTTTTTGAATTGTGCGTATTAGATCGGGAGGTTATGGAAAAAAAATTTTTGAATGTTTTTTGGAGAGTTGGATAAAAAATTATATTGTAGTAGGCGGATATACTTTTTTTGGTAAAAATTGCTAGTTTTTGAGACTAAAATTATGTTTTGAAATTTTGAATAGCTCTTCCATGAATTTCCGAGGATTTTTAGCGCAATTTAATCGTGTCACCGTTGTTTATATTACCCTTTACCAGCACTTTTTTAGTAGAGTTTTTGTTATGAAACAGTCTTTTCATTGGATTTTTAGCTGATGTAGATAAATTCGGCCATGAATTGTGGTCTAAACCACCATTTGCTTCTGTTTTATCATATGGTTTGCACGTTACAATAATAAAGTAATATTGGATGTCTTGAATCTTTGATTTTTAGTGTAATATCGCGAATATTATGGTGATTTGTGGGGTTGCAGTGTTTTTAAAAGAGTACTTATGGTTTTTACGGTATTTTGGAGGGGTTACAGGAGGAGTTGAAGCTTTCTAAGAAGGAAAAATTTTTATTTTTTGTCATGGATAATATAAAAATTTTGATAAAAAGCATTCATAATACGATTTTTAAACGAAATTTTGATTGAAATTGGCAAATTACAGTATGTCTGCGCCTGTGATTGAATTGGACGTCGGAAAAGTCCGTGGAAAGTCGGAAAAAGTGGCTGGAATTGAGGTGGAAAGCTACTTCAAGGTCCCGTTTGCCGAACCTCCGGTTGGGGAATTGAGGTTGGAAGTGAGTTTTGTTTGCCGTAAAGATGATTATGGCAATTTTTGAGCTTTTGAAATTTGTTTGATCTATGACTTTGGGCCAATTTTTTAGAAGCCAGTCCCAATTAAGGCGTGGTCTGGGACCTTGGATTGCCTGGAGCACCCAAAAGCCGCGATCCCGCTGATTGCCCCAAACTTGAATGGATTGTCCGAGGATTGCCTTTATTTGAATATTTTTCGACCAAAAAATCGACCGGATGCGAAATGCCCGATATTTTTTATGGTCCATGGAGGTGGTTTCGAGTTCGGAAATTGCATGCGATACGCGAATATCGAGGAAAATGCGAAGAAATTCTTGAGCAAAGGGATCATCATGGTCGCCATTCAATATCGACTGGCTGTATTGGGTAATTGAAATTGAATTTTTTATCGAAATTTAGGCGAAAATTTTGTGAGGACTGTAAAGAAAATCATTTTTTTTTTTGATGTTAAAACTTTTGTTATCTGAGACTAAATAGGGTATAGATAAATTTTCTGAAAATTTTAGCTCTGGGTTTGAATTCAGAGCTGAGATATTCAACGAATTTTTTTAGAGAGAGTATAAAAAATGAGGAGAGTCGGACAGACAAAAAAAAGTATTTTTGGCTATAAATTGGACGTATTGCGATTAAAAATTTGTTTTTTGGGGTAATTTTGTAATCTTTATTTTGAACAGATACTGAATTTGCCCGAACTTAAAAAAAAATCTATTTTTTGGTCGAAATTTTGACAAAAAATCGACAGTTTTTTTTGAGATCTCAGGCTTGAAAAGCCATTGTCTATTGCAGGTTATGAATACATTGTTCCTACAAAAAAAAATTTTTTCGTCCAGGCTGAAGAGAGTTTTAGCCGAAACTCTTTTTCTCTGTCTGGCCGGGCTCCTCATTTTCCATACTCTCTCGAAAAAAACGATTGTTGTATATCTCCGCTGCGGTTGCAAAGTGGGAGCAAAAATTTTCAGGGATTGATTTGTGGCCAATTTAAGGCATGAATAAAAAATTTTGAGAAATCGACTGGTCGATTTTTAAGATAGCCAACTTGTAATTTGAAAAAAAAAATTTTTGAATTTTTTGAAATTTCGTTTAATTTGGTGTTATTTTGGATCAAAATTATATTTTTTATCATTAAAAATTATTTTGAGAGTCGATGAAACAAAATTTTTCCAATTTTTCCCCAATTTCAGGCTTTGCCTCCGACCCTTCGGACCCCTCTTTGAACGGAAATCTCGGACTTTTTGATCAAGCGACCGCCCTCGATTTTATTCATCGGAACGCCGAAGCCCTTGGCGGAGACCCCTCCAGAATCACGGCGTATGGATGCAGTGCCGGAGGCGTTTCCGTCTCATATTTATTATTATCACCGCTAACTCGAGACAAATTGGCGGCCGGAATTTCGTTGAGTGGAAGTGGATTAGCGGTTTGGGCGAATTGTGAAAAAGTCAAGGAAAAGACGGTTGCATTGGCCAAGGCGTTGGGCCAGAAAGAGGGCGAGAGTTGCAAGGAGGTGATCAAAAAAGCAACGGTGGAGGAGATTTTTGCAGCGTTGAAGAAAATTGTGAGTTGGAAAAAAAATTTTTTTGGGTGAAATTTTATGTGTTGTTTTAGGTTCAAATTGTAGTGAAATTTTGAAAAAATCGAAAAAAATAAAAAAAAATTTTTTTTTGATGAAATTTGGCAAAGATTTTGATAACGATCTTTTTTTTAGGTATAACACAAAATTTTGACTTGTCCGTTGCAGAAAAATTGAAGTTTTTTGGTCGAAAATTGCCAAAAATTCGGATAAAAATGAAATTTTTTCATTTGTCATTGCGAAGTTTATTCGACGGGGTTCCTTGCAATGTTTATATTTTATGAAAGCCGGGTTTTTACTCTACTTCCATGCCAAATTTTAGCCTTCTAGCTCAAACGACTAGCGAGATATGAAGAGAGAAAGCAAACGCATTCCGAAAAAAATAGAAAAAGTCGCGGCGATCGGTTGTGTCCCAAAAGTACCGAATGCCGTGCGGAGCGAACAACGTTTCTACGAAAAACTGATTTCCCCTGGACGTATTTTACCAAAAATAGGCGTTACTCGTCTTTCTCTCTCCGTCTCTCCTCATTTTCCGTAGTCTCTCGTCTGCAGAGACTGTTGAATAACTTGGCTACGCCTGAAATGTAGGAGCTGAAAATTTTAGGGCTTGATTTATGGCCCATATAGATCATCGATGAAAATTTTGAAGAAGATCTGAGATTTCTCCTCCGACATATTGACCTAGTTCAATATGATGACTTTTTGAAAAGTTTTTGCAAAAAATTTTTTTTTCTTTGACTTTTTTTCGGTTTTAGGAGTTCATGAAGTCAAATAAGTCTTTTCTGAAGGACTTGGATTTTTGAAATTATTATTTGAATTTATTTTTTTCATGTTTTAGGGCATCACATACGACAATCAAAATTTTACCACATTTGGCCCTCGGATCGATGGCGAATATTTTCCCAAGGACATTCCCGAACTCATATCTGAAGCGCCGAAAAAACCGTATGTAATGGGTTGCACTACGCAGGAATCACTTCTTTGGAGTAGGTTTTATATTACACTAGGTTACCAAGCTAATTTTTGATATCAAAAAAATTTTTTTAACCTCTCAAAATCCTTTTCTAGCCCTTCTTTCTGCTTCAAATGATGTCTACCACACCATGGGGATTCCGGATTCGAAACGGGCGACTTTCGGAAAGCCGGATTTAATAAAGCTCGCGGAAAAGTTGGCCAAGCCGGTAGACCCGTCAAAGACGCCGATAGAATTGATGATTGAGGAATATTCGAACCGAGAGGGCGATAAAAACAATGTTTTCTACATGAATCAGTACACCAGCATCTACTCGGATCTCCAGTTCAATATCCCTATTTTACTCGAATTATGGCTCAAAACTCTGGCTGGCTGGACTGTTTTTGCGTATAAAAATGAGTATGCGAATGTGAAATTTTTCCCGGAAGATTGTCCAATACACGGTAGGTGGATTTTAGAGGAGAGTTTCGGGGATTTATATTACATATACTTGGCCTTGGTCATGGATAACATAATAAAAATTTTTATTTGACGGTTATGGATGTAAAATAGGTTTTAGAAAAATAAGTGAAAAGCTAGGACCCTAATTTGAGTAATATAATTTAATTTTCGAGCGCTAAAACAGAATGCCAAAAATGGCGAGAAATTTTGAATTCGAATTTTGAAGTTTGATTTTGTCCAGGAACTAGTTGTCTGGGTAGAATATGGTTTCTTGTGGTGCTGATTTAAATCTGAGGAAAAATTTTTGACATGTTTTGTATTGTACTTGACATTAGTCATGAATAATATAATAAATGTTTTTGTGGATGAAATAATAGGGTAAAATACGTTTACCAGGGAAATTCAACCATTTGAAAAATATTTTTGGCCACATTTTGTCAATTTTGAAGTCCTAGAACACAATGCCAAAATGGCGGGAAATTTGAGAATTTGAATTTTTGGGCTCAATTTGGCCTGGAAGTAACTCAAATAGATTAATATTGATTTGTAGAGATATTTAGTTAATTCTAATTTAATTTCAGTGAGCTATCACGGGCTGGATCAACGTTACTTCCTCCAAGGCTATGGCTACTCTCAACCCGAATTTTTTAGTCCTGATGACCGAAAAGTGGAGAATTTATTGGTTGATTCGATTGTAAATTTTATCAATACTGGGTGAGTGGGAAAAAATAATAAATTTTATTCTAAAATACGATTCTTTTTTTCTTTTTTTTCCAAAAAGAGCAAAATTATCGATTTTTTGCCTAATTTCCGAAAAATTACTGCACTTTTTACCATTGAATTATATTTATAATACTTTGCTTTTAGTAATCCATCATCTGAAACCTTAACTTGGCCGCACACAACCCCAGAAGAGCCTTTCAAACACGCCAAAATCCATCCCCAGCCCGAAATTCAAACGGATTTCTTCCGTGACAGCCTCAAATTTTATGCAAATTTGATGACAAAATACGATTATGATCTACCGAGATTACTGAAGACTCCAGTGGAGCAATTGGAGAAGAAATATCAATTAAAAAGATTGTTGAAAATTTTGTCGAACGTGAAGAAAATTGGTGGGAAATTGTAAAATTTTATACTAGTTTTCATATTTATAAAAGAGTGATATTGTTGGTTGAATAAACGTACTTATAAGTTTTTTTTTGATAAATTGAGTGAAAACGTAATTTTCGATAATTACAGAAAAGTTTTGACAAGGAAAGTACTTTTATGGGGGCTCCTGCTTTTTGACGGGACATATCTCAAAAAATCAGAAAAAATGTGCTGATCAAGGATATATAGATCTTAGCTGCCCATTTTAGGTTTTTAGGGGTGAAAACTCAATCGGAAGTTGACTTAAAGTCCTATATGAACCCCTTTTCGCCTAATTTTTCACGGGTTTACAATTTTTATTTTGGCTTAAAATGATGTTTATTGAGTTTCTAAGACGTAATAAATCAGTCTTGGCCCAAAAATTTATTTTTCAGACCCGTGCGGAGTCCTACCTCTTGATTCCCAGACTACGGCACTAACCACTCGGCCACACCGCTCTCTTTCGAAGGAAGAGACCGACTGCGCTTTTTATCGTTTCGAATGCCCGCGCCTTTTGCAGGGAAATTAAGCCAGTTTTTGGGCATTTTCACCCCTAAAAACCCAAAATGGGCAGCTAAGATTTATATATCCTTGATCAGCACATTCTTTCTGATTTTTTGAGTTATGTCCCGTCAAAAAGTAGGAGCCCCCATAAAAGTACTTTCCTTGTGAGGAAAAGGATAATTTTAATTAAAAGCTTTTTACAGGGTACTTCAAGGATTCAGATTTTATTTATAATAATTTGTGCGGCTATTGACTCCATTTTTGACAGAATACATAAATAAAGTTAAGAAAACTGTAGCCAAAACGCGTTTTCCCATCGATTCTGTTATTGTTGCCAACTTTCTCACAATCAGAAAAAAGTTTGTTGAATATTTCGGCTCTCATTGCTAGAAGATAACCAAAATTTTCAAGACACAATTTATAGCCGATTAAAAATAGACAAGAACTGTTTCATAGAAATCATGGTGCTACAGACTGGGAAGTCGACATTGTTTCATGCTTAGTGGTCTATATTCACAAAAAATATACTATAAAATCTCTGTACAAAAGCTCACAGGGGACCAAAAGTCTTGTTTTTATAACAAAATGAACAAAGGTTCATTGGTAATACAAAAGTTTCGTTTTTCGATCCATTTTGGCCTCAAACGACACTTGTGACTTCTAAAATTGTTCGTTATGTACATGTTTCATTGTACAGGAGTTCGTTGCGGACAAATTGCCACTGTATGTTTTTGACGCCAAAAAATCAAAATAAAGAAGCATTTTCGTTACATAACATCGAGCAGAATATTAATTTAAAAAATGTTTCCCATAATATATATTACGCAAGAAATCAAGCGCAGGTGGACCATTTTTCTGCTTATTCGTCCATCCCTCGCCTTGCGGTTTGCGAGGGAAAAAAGCGAACGGAGAGAAAAAGCGAAAGGGTGGCCACTTTTTAGGTTCCTCTTTTATTGAACGGCGAGGGGGGCATAGGGATAAAAAAGAGAAAGGAATATTTCCAAAAAGAATTTGCTTGATTTTATGGGCAATACTTTTTTTGGCCTTTCGGGTACCTTTAGACAAGAAAAATAAGAAAATAATTTTGTATTTATAAACAGGAGAACATTTTTGCTTTCTTTTTATTTTTATATTTTTTAATATTGAGAAATTTGCAAAAATTTTGTTTGTTTATGATTTTTACTTGATTTATTATAATTCATTGGGTTAGGAATATATTTTTTGGGGTGATAATCAAAATTTTTAATTGATAATAGTTTTTAAAAGTGTAAATAACATGTCCGTCCATAATATGATGTTATATTAGGTAGGTTTTGAGAGCCCGTTCGAATATGACTGATTCTTATTCTTTCCATAATTTATATGTACATAACTAATAGTAGATTTTTTTCTCTATCCGTTATTTATGCATTTTTTAAATCCATGAAATTCGCGATTTGTTTTTTTCGAGTTTATCCTTTTATGTACTGCTTTAATAATACTTCTTTATATAGTAAATATACTATGATTTTTACCATGTAAATAATATATTTTTATTGCCCTTTATTAACATATATTACTGATATACTATCATTTTTTTATAATATTTATGACAGATTTTATTACAAATAATAAAATTAACAGCAGAACTAAGCCTGAACGTAATGGAAAAAGCCACTTTTGTTTTTTTTCATACAGAGAAGATGGTTCATTTTTGGGAGCCATATAAGACCGTTTTAAGCCGCCAAAGACTTGTAGTTTTTTCGATTTTAGTATTAAAAAGCTGCCTAAATTACTAAAGTAAGCAATGCCGAGATCGAAGATCAAAAGTTTCAATATACGGTGGAAAATTTTAAACAGTGACAACCCGATAATTGAGTTGGTCTGGCAAAGATTAACACAAAAAAATGCATAAACCTTGCAGACCACATCATTATAGACGAAGCCGTAAATCATCGAGCTGCGAGGCAATTTTTAGATGACAAAAATAAAAATATAACCCGAAGGGCGAAAAACGGAAAAAACAATTAAAATAAAAAACCTCTGACGAGTTCTTTACACGATTTTTATAAAGGTAAACCCATATAAACAGAAAAACATGCTGTACACAATTTATATATGTACGTAACCTATTGCTCCTTGTATAAACAGGGAAATGACGTAAAAAATATAAATCAAGCTGGATGTTAACTCTATACGATAAACTATGCACAAGAAGTATATATCTCACGCAAAATGAGAATATCTTTATGGCTTGACCACAAAGATTGCTGAGTTCTTAGCCAAAATTTACGCAATGATTTAGTATCATTTTAACATGAACCATATATAAGGAAAAAATATTGGTAAAACAAACTCAATAGATAGTGTCGTAAATAACATACAAACAACCATTATTAGGTGAAACCCGATTGTAGATGATTACCGTTTCGTAGCCGGACGTAAAAATCTACGAATTGGATGGATCCGTTTGCGACACGGACGGATACCATGTGGTAACGAAGACTTGCTATTTTTAGTAGAAGGCTTTCAATATAACTTCGCAAAAATATGCGAATGCAAAAAGGCTATATATAGCAACGATCAGAATTGGTAGTTGGGATGAGTAGTGCAAAGGGCGTAAAATGCGCAACAACCGGGTTTAATGGTGCGTCTTAAGAAATACCGATCTATTTTTGGAATCCATCCAAAAATAGACAAGAGAGATCACGTCGTCGAGGATTGCCCCAGTCGTGATTGTACCACTTGTCTTTCGGATCACCATTCGTTTATTTGTCTGAAATTCGTACCATTTGCAATGCCTCTGTCAAATCTGTCGTGCTTACGGCCGGAAATGTACTATTTGTAACTTCAACATGGAACCTGATCTTCGGACACTTCCACGCGACGAACGATATATGACTCAGACAGTGACCTCAGTATTAGCTCGGACATGATTCGAGACATTAATAGCGTAAAATGCGCAACAACCGGTTTTAAAGGTGCGTCTTATGAAATACCGATCTATTTTTGGAATGCATCCAAAAATATAGACAAAACCACGTGCCTTTTTTGGTTCTTTTGGTTGCCCAATGACGTGTTTTCAGTGCGTAAAACCATCGGAGCTTAACATCAAAGCGGCTAGGTATTTTACTATACTTTCAATATAAGCCAATATTTATGAGAAAAATAAGTAAATTCAGAGAGGCTAGTAATAATCGGCAGTTGTTAGTTGCACTGACTCGAGCAAAACGCGTAAAAAAGTTCCACAACAGATGTTGCATGTGGCATAGACAATAGATTTTTTCTAACAAAGAAAGCGTAAGATTCTTGTGGAAAAAATAACCATGCTAGAGTCGACGTAAGAGAAAATAGAATAGAATTTTTGATGATTATGACACCGGGAGGTTCCTCGCGGAGCGTGCGGAACAGCTAGCCTTGCCGCATACGTTTGTGGCCCCGACTAACGCGCTGGAAATAAATCTACAAATCCAACAAATCTTCCTTCTCGACCAGGTAGATAGCGATCTATTTCTGGCCTACCCGCCTCGCCAGCCTAACCCAACCCCAGTAACGGACGTCGTATTAATCAACATCGTAAGCGAATGTCGCCCAGACGTCGTATCTCATCTGGCCTTACCATACTTCGGAACTGGCTCATCCACCGAGCTCCACATAATCACAATGGCGGTACACCGTCCAACCAGAGAACTCTACAGGAGCCTGCTACTGAAGAAACCGAAGAGGAAACCAATCCTTTATCAAGGAATGACCCTCCAAGGAATCATGGAGGACAATACGACATCCTTCGGGAGTGTCTCCAAAATCGAATACAGCCCCGCCCACAACTGACCCCTCTACCGACCCGCCGTGTCAACGGCGGTCAAAGGCCTTGAGAGAGTCGGGCCGTTTCGGTCTGGCAAACTGTCTTTTACAGTATTTTTTATTTTACGTTTATTTCGCGTTGTTAATAAAATAGTTTGAGGTTGACCAATAAAGTCACGACTTCATTCACAGGGATCCAGGAGTTTAACGCAGAATACTCTCCAACGGCAGGAACATTGCTTATGGAATTTTATGTCAAACCAAGGATAGAATTTGTCAGCAGGACAACTACCGTACAGGACATTGCCAACTTACGACCGAAAATGGTCCGAGCACTCCTGCTCAAAATCATGGAGCTAGGATTGGCTGACCAGGATCACGGACTACGACCAGTCTTAGACAAGTTCCAGAGAATGGATGAAGAAGGAAGAACGATCCACTTTATACCAATCAACAGTCGTATTCTACCGCCAAAAGTTTTCGTGCCGAGACCAATTTTCGCAGATCATGATCAAATAAACCAAATTAGCAATTGGCTAGAATAAAGATCTAAAAAGATTAGAATACAGTAGGAAAACAAAACGAACGTCACCCACGAAAAAATATCGGGATACAGTAGCAAAGCGAACATAAGAGGTCAATTAAACAAACGAGGGGACTGCCACCGCCAGGCACGCATTGAAAAAACGTAAAGTGCATGCACTTAGACTTCCCTCTGTTCCCAAAAGTAGAGACAATCCATCAGCGGCCCACGACTTGCACTTTTAGAGTATACAAACGTCGCAACGGGCCAGCCGAGCGCCTGACACAGAGGAAAAGTTCAACTTTTCAAATAAAAGGGCAACATGAAGGCGGAGTTTGACTCCAAAATTGCACGGAAAAAATGGTCGCACTTTATAAAGCTCGCCTTGGCAGTGTATAGCCACCAGTTCTGGTAGACTGCAACCCTCAGAGCGCCCTCAACCCAACTTTACCTCTATAGACAAAAAGTAAAGACAAAATTTAGTTCGTTTTCGTATACGGTAACAGAGTATTTGCTTAGTGAAAAAAGAAATACCCAGTTTGTAATTCTTCTGTCCTATTGATTTTACGAAAGTAAATAATCAGAAATAACCCAACCCTAAATACAAATAAACAAGAAAAGAAAAAATAAACAAATTTGTTATTTTATCGTGTAAGAATACCCTCTCAGACCTGTAGTACTGCTAGTAAAGGTCATAAGTAAAGAACGACGCCAATTGTCAAAATACCTTGAATGACTCCAAGGCCATTCAAGAGGAAGCCCGAGCTTACAGCGGAACCAACAGCGGAGTACCACAGGCCACCAACTGTCATCAATTTCGAAGAGAGCCTTTCGGAGGAGGACAAATCGGTCATACGACGGATTCGTCCCTCAGCGCTGTTACGCAAATTTAGGTTTGGGAGGAGAGCCGAGGAACCGGACGAGTCCGAGTCGACCTCGGGAACTTTTGTCACCGCGCGGTCAACACAACCGCTGACACCAAGGACGGTCATGTCCAGCAGGCCGGTGTTCCACCTTCCACCGTGCGATTTCGCACAGTATGTGGGTCGTGAAGATCCACGAGCATTCGTCACGTTCCTCCGCCAATTTCGGCGGTTTGCGAACAACCACGGGTTCACACCCGAAGAGCGCCTCGCCCGGCTCCCGGCATACCATGCGGGAGATGCGGCAGAGGTGTACGAGTCGCTGCCAGAAGCAGCAAAAACGGACTTCACAGTACTAACGCACGAACTCTCAAAGCAATTCGCAGCGGGCGCCAAAGAGTTAACTTGCCGGGACAAGTTTCAAACCCGGACACTGAGGCAAGGTGAATCGCTACATATGTATCTGGCGGATTTGAGAAACCTGCTCGAACTGGCATACCCCGCGGCAACCACGTCGGAAGTCACACGCCAAAAGCTGCTGCGCCAACAATTTGTCAAAGGGCTGCACCCCAAACTGAAGCAGGCACTTTTCTTTAGAGATGCTGACCAAATAACGGACATCTCCGAGCTCCTCAAAACCGCGCAAGACACCGCCGAACACCTCACACAGATAGGAGAAGCCAAACGTGGCCGCAATTGAACGATTGGGCGACAGAATTGAAGATCTAGCGGTCACATAAGACATTAAGACAAAAGTTAAGAGTTGATTTTCAATGCCTCTATCGAATCTGTCGTGCTTACGGCCAGAAATGTACTATTTGTAACTTCAATATGGAACGGGTGTCTGATCTTCGGACACTTCCACGCGACGAACGATATGACTCAGACAGTGACCTCAGTATTAGCTCGGACATGATTCGAGACATTCGTAAAATACGCAACACCCGGTTTTAAAGGTTCGCTTTATGGAATATCGACCTATTCTTGGAATCCATCCAAAAATATAAACAAAACCACGTGCCTTTTCTGGTTCGTTTGGTTGCCCAATGACGTGTTTTCAGTGCGTAAAATCATAGGAACTTAACATAAAAGCGGCTTGGTATTTTACTGTACAGGGTGTTTCAAGAAATTCCGCGGAAAGTCGTCGTCGATTTCTCGGCGCTCAGCCACGATATCCAAAAAATTTTTTTTGCAGTAGAAAGAATGTAGTGGGCGGTTTTTTGCCTAAAAAGATTTTTTTCTACGCCGACGCGGAATGCAGTGTATTCGGCGGAGACATTTGATAGCTTTTTTGCCAATCCCACTTATCTCAAACGCTTTATTACGATTTTTGACGGTTCAAAAGAGGATGAATCTTGAAGATTGAAGGAGGATTTGCATATTTCTATGTTTTTCAAGCATTCGGCGAAGGTATGGCGGACGCTTTCCATATCGGCGGAGGCCATAACTCATCTTCGGACAAAGGCACAGAGCTGGGAAATGGCTCGAAATGATTCCTGTGCTCTGGTTAACACCATCCTTCATCATTTCTTATGAAAATCAAATTTATTCTCAGTTTGGCGGAGGAATCGGCGGAGGCCTTAACACATCTTTGGACAAAGATACAGAGCTGGGGAATTGCTCAAAATGATTCATGCGCTCCACACTGGGGTTAGTCAATGCACATGAGTCATTTTGAGCCATTCCCCAGCTCTGTATCTTTGTCCGAAGGTGAGTTATGACCTCCGCCGATTCCTCCGCCAGATTGAAAAGAAGTGTGATTTTCATAAGAAATGACGAGGGATGGGGTTAATCAGAGCACATGAGTCATTTTGAGCAATTCCCCAGCTCTGTATCTTTGTCCAAAGATGTGTTAAGGCCTCCGCCGATTCCTCCGCCAAACTGAGAAAAAATTTGATTTTCATAAGAAATGATGAAGGATGGTGTTAACCAGAGCACAGGAATCATTTCGAGCCATTTCCCAGCTCTGTGTCTTTGTCCGAAGATGAGTTATGGCCTCCACCGATATGGAAAGCGTCCGCCATACCTTCGCTGAATGCTTGAAAAACATAGAAATATGCAAATCCTCCTTCAATAATCAAGATGCGTCCTCTTTTGAACCGTCAAAATTCGTAATAAAGCGTTTGAGATAAGTGGGATTGGCAAAAAAGCTATCAAATGTCTCCGCCGAATACACTGCATTCCGCGTCGGCGTAGAAAAAAATCTTTTTAGGCAAAAAACCGCCCACTACATTCTTTCTACTGCAAAAAAAAATTTTTGGATATCTTGGCTGAGCGCCGAGAAATCGACGACGACTTTCCGCGGAATTTCTTGAAACACCCTGTACTTTCAATGTAAGCCAATATTTATGAGAAAAATAAGTAAATTCAGAGAGGCTAGTAATAATCGGAAGTTGTTAGTTAAAAAAAGTTCCACAACAGATGTTACATGTGGCATAGACAATAGATTTTTTCTAACAAAGAAAGCGTAAGATTCTTGTGGTAAAAATAAGCAGTCGATGAAGAGGAACATTGAACAATAGTAAATTGCTCCTTCTATAAATAAGAAAATTTTATATTCATGCATGTTGAAAACGACGCCATAGTGATAGTAAAGAAAAAAGACGTAAAAGCAACGCTAAGACTGTCAATTTCACATTTTATGCCATGACAAATAGTGCGGCAACGATCTCAAATGATCTGCGTGAATATGATGTTTTATTACTTTGCACTATCAATGATGCACGCAGCCGTAGAACGACCCCTCCAAAGGCCGGTAGAGGCCGTATTAGTTTCACACTTCGGTGGGATGTGGTTCCTCCGGTCGTGTGTAAATGGCAAGGAGGTGTTTTGCCTTATTGGAGAAAAATATCCTGACATTTACAATGTGGCGGACTTCGAGTTGCTGGCGGAACCGTACAACACCATGTCGTAAAGTATTCAAAAAGAAATTTTCAAAACCACAAAAAAGAAGAAAAAACAAACTTCATTTCAAATTGTCCAGAAGCAATGAAAACAAAAATTGCAAAATGAAGACCAATGGAAAAATTGGAAAGCAAGACTTTTTACTTGTTGGAACTCACAGGGAATGTGAATGCCAGCCCACTACATGGAAAAACGAGAAGATTTTAAGTTTTTTGAGCTGGTGCGATTTTAAAAAGCTGGTGCGATTTGTTCGGTTGCCCAATAACATGTTTTCAGTGCGTAAAGTAATTCCAGAACATCATGTTAGCAATTCGATTATCACAGAATGATATGAAGCAGTCAACCTCGTGTGGTGTCTGGAAGCCCTTGAGAAAGGCGATGATTCGGTTATATCAGCCTCAGAAACCATTTAGCTCGCTATTTTCAATGCGTAAAACTAATATGACGTATGGGCCAACAATAAGACGCATTGAAAATCATCTAAGAATATGTACAACCCCGTAATTGATACGTGAAATACAATATGCACCACATCAGTCGTAAAAGTTCATGAAGATAAATCCGAATTGTTTGTATAGCCTAAACCCAGACACTTTCCTCGCAATATATATTATAGTAAACCTGTTGTCCTAGTTCCAAAAAAGGACGTAAAGAATACAAACCTAGCTGAGCTTCTGACACTTTCAAAGTGTCTGTAATGACAAACAATGCACACGAATCGTTTCATAAACGTTAGATTTTGTCTGCAACTTGATAAAAGTACCTAGTGTAATATCGAAAATCGAATCAACAAAAAAACTGCAAGTCCTTTCATGCTGAAACAATTCTGGCACGAGGAAGGCTCGACGCCGGTTCTTTTACGGGAAACACTTTCAAATTTCGTTCATGGAATCGCAAGAACGAACAGCATTCAGCTAAATTTGTATGCCTACAACAATGGCTAAATGTGCAAGGACAAACTTATGTAACGCAAAAAATCATTGCATATTTAGAAAGAGGTTTAATTTAGCTTACTTTTGGAGCTATTGTCCTGTCGATGTATGGAGATTACAACATAAAGAAATTTATATTAATCTTGACAAAAAAAATTTTCGGAGGAAGAGTTGACCAACCCGTGGAACGACTTGGCTCATCCAGCAGCCAAGTCTTTCCGTACGCAATTTTATTATTTCGCTTGCCGCGGGACGCAAAATTAGAAAATTGCTTGCCGCGAAAGATTTGCTTGCCGTTTCGGTCAGCAAAATGAAAGAATCGCGTCCGAGCCAAAAAGTGAGCAAATTTAGGTACTTTTTGAAAATGGCTCGCGAATACTTCTATCTTCACTCTTATTTGTTTCGCTTTATGGAAAATCCAGCAGATTATGGGGAAATTATGGCTGAATTCATTGTGAAAACTTTAAGAATTGAGACACAACCTTTATCAAGGTGAGTTAAAACGTCTATATAACTCCGTAGAATTTACTTCTCAATATTACGCAACAACTCAAGCACAATCTAATTTTTTTGTCTGCTTATTTACCCATTCTATATTTTTATGGTTTTGGAGGGAAAACTGCAAACGCAGAGAAAAATCGCAAAGGTAACCACTTTTTCTGTTCTTTTTTGAACGGCGAAGGGAGAGGGGGGCAAAAAAGACGGAAAAGAATATTTTAAATTGGTTATCTTCGTGATTTAAATGTCTTTAAATATTTGAAAATAAAAATTCGCGATTTGTTTTAGTCATTTATGGTTTTAATTTGTTAATTTTTTTATATATTATAATGTTTTCTGACGTATATAATAATTTTGTTGATATTTATATATATTGAAACATAATAACTTATATATATTGAAAATATGTTTTTGTCATGTACATAATAATTTATATATGTATATATTGAAATATATTACTGATATATTACTATTTTTTATACTATTTTTGATATATTTTACCTAGAAATAAGAGAGAGCCTCTAAAATTCGAGTTTCTTTATTAATATGCCCGAATAAGCATAGGGTCCCTGATGTATGATACTATTGAGGAACACATTATGAAACCATTTGTTATTAAGGCCAAGAAAATGCCTTATGTTTTAAACTTCTTCGTAATTTTCAAAAATATAGATATTGATTTATGTCTCATTATTCCTAATATTAAAAACGCAACTAAACTCGTAAATACTTTGTCGACTTTATGTCAGATGATCCAGAATATTAATGTAATAAAACAATTATGCCTACGATAGTTACTGAATATATATTAGCGAAATTGTCAATCGTAATTTGTAAGTTACAGACCATTTGTGAGTGACACGAAGTTTGGAATGTGGAACAATAGACTATGATAAGCGTTGTGCTTAAATACAATATCACGATTACACGTTACTTTCGTGATGTAGAAACTCCAAGACGCGCAAGAAATTGCTGCGAAAATAAATTTTCGCTAAAAAATGGGAAAAAATGTACTAGCCTTTCAGCGTTCCTCTCGATGATGGAGATATTGAACGTGCTTTAGCTGCACCAGGCGTAGGTAAGACTACCGTAATCAAATCCTAATGACTGTCAAAACTACTTTCAAAAACAACAATATCCAATAATTTTTGGCCGTTGACAATTATAGGTAATATAACTTACAACACAACAGATTAATTACAAAAAAATTTAAATAAAAAAAATGCGGTTTAAAGACAAAAATTGCTTTTTCAGAGCACTCGTAATTGTTGCTTCAACTTGGATACAAGATTTACAAAAAAGGGTAAACAATAACACAAAAAATCAACCTTTTATAAAATAAGATTCTCGCTTTTATTGTTCGTTT